CATGCCTGACAAGAGTTTTCCCATGTTGACCAGGCTGGTCTCAAGGACCTGACCTCAAGTGATCAGCCTGTTTCAGCCTCCCAAAGTGCTAGGATTACCGGCATGAGCCACTGCACCTGGCCTGCTGGGTTTTTAAAATTTTTTTTTCTGTCAACATTATCAAACAGTCTCCTTCTATGTACTGAATAATAGACATCTTTATAGAATTGAATTCTTCATTTAGGTTTGTGTCTGGCTGTTGCCCTGGTGATGTTTATAAATACTGATCATACAACTCCTTTGGCATTGCCCACAGCTATTGAAGATAAGAAATGTGATGAAGAAAGTGTTAGCTGCCCTCAGTAGAAGCTTATAAATACATTGTTTTTAGTTTCAAGGGATCAGTTAATCTACACCTTTTCATAGAGCATTTCTTGGTTTAGACCTAATATCTTGAAACTGGATAATACTTTGTATTTTTGATTATCCAATTAATGTAACAAACATGGTTCTACAGCATTGGAGACATAGCATGTTCACATTTACTCACCCAAAGTTAACTATCCGTGCTGATTTTCCTACCCACCCTCTCCTACTGGGCTTACCCCTGAAGAACAATAACTATTTATTTTTTAATTTTAATTTTATTTTTGAGACAGTCTTGCTCTGGCACCCAGGCTGGAGTGCAGTGGTGCAATCTCAGCTCACTGTAACCTCCTCCTCCTGGGTTCAAGAGTTTCTCCTGCTTCAGCCTTCCGAATACCTGGGACTACAGGTGCCCACCACCACACCTGGCTAATTTTTAAATTTTTAGTAGAGAAGGGATTTTGCCATCTTGCTCAGGCTGGTCTCAAACTCATTGGCCCTAGGTGGTCCGCCCACCTTGGCCTCCCAGAGTGCTTGGGATTATAGGTGTGAGCCACTGCACGCAACCAGCAAGAACAATTTAAATGTAAGCCAGTCCATGCAGTGCATGTATACTCCAGAGTCGGAGATTCACATGGGAATTATGAATCCGCATTTCCCTCCTGCCTTTCACAGTTTAAGCATCTTGTTATTACCTGGGATTTTAGTGTTTATAAATGAGTATTCATACAATATGGCTTCTGAACCAACCATTTTGTGTGTGTGTATGTGTTTGTGTGTGTGTGTGTATGTATTTGTTGTTGTTGTCGAGACAGGTTCTCACTCTCGTCCAGGCTGGAGTGCAGTAGTGTGATTACGGCTCACCAAAGCCTCAACCTCCCAGGCTTACATGATCCTCCCACTTAAACCTCCCAAGTAGCTGGGTACTATATGCACACATCACTGTGCCAGGCTGGTTTTTGTAGTTTTTGCAGACATGGGGTTTTGCCATATTGCCTAGGCTTTATTTTGTCTATTCTTTTTTTTTTTTTTTTTTTTTAATCGAGACAGGTTCTTGCTCTGTCACCCAGGCTGGAGTGCAGTGGTGCGATCTTAGCTCACTGCTGCCTTGACCTCCTGGGCTCAAACAGTCCTCCCGCCTCAGCCTCCTGAGCAGCTGAGACCTCAGGCATGCACCGCCATGCTCTACTAACTCTTTTTTTTGTATTTTTTGTAGAGATGGGGTTTTGCCATGTTGCCCGGGCTGGTCTCGAACCCCTGGACTCAAGTGATCCTCCTGCCTTGACTTTCCAAAGTGCTGGGATTACAGGCATGAGCCACCATGCCTGGTGTATTGTATCTATTCTTAACTAAAATATTCATTATAGTTCTATAGAAAGAAATAGCTGTGTTGTACTTACAGAGGGAACAGTATGCTTATATCCAGTCTGGCATGCCTTCCTAAGGGATTTGCAGGGTAATACGACAATCAGAGAATTGAGCCAACTTTAGACTCTTGGTCTAAAGAGAAGTCAAAATTTGTAGGAATCTGAATCCCTTCCTTCAGGAAGCTTATAATCTAATTGGAGAGCACATTTATACTGGAAAGCACATCTGTAAAACAGTTCACAGTGAAGAATGTAAGGAATCATGAGGCTAAATGGTAGTTGCACGTCAAAACGGCCTCAGCTGCAGGCATTCTGTCCCGTTGTCCCCACAAATACAGCCAATGTTGTCAGGCAGCAAGTCTAGATTTTTGGTTTAGGAAAAAAGGCATCAGTATCATTAGAGGGTATGTGAAAGAGCAAAGATGGCTTTATCCCTAAAGGTTTCCTGGAATTATTTACTTGTAATTGAATAGGTGGCAAGAGATAAAAAACACAAGGGTGTTTCAGACAGACGGTTTTTGGGAGCATGAAGGTGTAAATGATCAAGCCAAACTGTTTATCTTTTCATCTGGCCGGATGGTAGGGGACATATGGGAGTGTCACAGAAGTGAGGATCATCAGGAGCATCACCAGCTGACTCAGGGATGATGATAAATTCTCTTGACCATCATGTATTCCTCATTCTCTTCACTGTCAGCCCTGAGGCCTTTTTCTGGTGTTTTCTGACCCTTCTCATGGTTAAAATGGTGAATTTTATTGAAAATACCTGTTTTAAAATTTGTCTTATAATCCCATGTCTACTAAAAGTTGGAGTGGTTGTGGCTAAATGATTACCTTGTAAGCCCTTGTGGGAGCCAGGGACCCCAGGTTCTGGCACCTCACTGTTATTTGTTAGCTCCATGACTGTTGGCAAGTCGCTTAACCTCTCTGCATTACCTCCAAAATGTTAGACCTGAATCAGACGTTTTTATGCTATACATTTTTTTTTTCTTGTTTGTTTTTTTGAGATAGGGTTTTACTCTGTTCCATGCTGAAATGCAGTGGTGTGATCATAGCTTACTGCAGCCTCAAATTCCCAGGCTCAAGTGATCCTCCTGCCTCTGCCTTCTAAGTAGCTAGGACTATAGGCATACTCTACCACACCCAGCTCTTTTTTTTTTTTTTTTTTTTTTTTTGTAAAATGGGGTCTCACTGTGTTGCCCAGGCTGATCTGGAATTCCTGGCCTCAAGTGATTCTTCTGCGCCTCCCAAAGCATTTTTTTTCAATGAAACTTTTTACAAATGAAACTTTACTCAAAACCTTGTTATGGGCCGGAGGCAGTGGGTCACGCCTGTAATCCCAGCACTTCGGGAGGCCGAGGTGGGCAGATCAGGTGGTCAATAGATTGAGACCATCCTGGCCAACATGGCAAAATCCCACGTCTACTAAAAATACAAAACTTAAGTGGGCATAGTGGCACATACCTGTACTTCGAGCTACTCAAGAGGCTGAGGTAGGAGAATTGCTTGAATCCGGGAGGCGGAGGTTGTAGTGAGCTAAGATTGTGCTGTTGCACTCCAGCCTGGGCAACAGAGTGATACTCCATCTAAAAAAACAAAACAAAGCAGACAAACCAAAAAAAAACCCTGTTATATAAAACAGAGCTGATCCGCCCAGTGGAGGGTAGGGAGCTAGAAGCCCCAGCTGTTTACCTAATTACTTCCTTTTCAGTTCTCCCAGGGGACTTAGGCTCAGGAGAACACAGTGGGGAAAATCCCTGGACTAGATCCCTTAGGTCCTGTCTAGAATTTAACATTTTCTGAGTCTTGTATTGATAAGCAGAGTGGAATTTCTTAAAAACAATTTTGAGGAGGCAGTGCAGTTCTAAATACATACATATTGTATGCTACACTGTAAGATCTGCTAGATACAGTAAGGAACAGGAAAAGATAACACAGCTCTTGCTTTAAGCAGCATTCTTGGAAGAAGAGTAAGAGGGGAAAAAAAGACCTATAACTTTCATAACAATTCATATTACACAGAGATTGAAGTCAACAAGAATTTGCTCCCTAAAAATAATTACAGAGATTATGAAGAGAGAAAGGGAAACGAATGCGTGTTTTAATTCTGTGAAAAGGCCGATGCAGTGATTTATGCCTGTAATTCCAGCACTTTGGAAGGGCCAGACAGAAGGATAACTTGAGCTCAAGACCAGCCTGGGCAGCATAATGAGACCTTGTATCTACAAAAAAGATTTTTAAATTAGCCAGGCATGGTGGTAAGCGCATGTACTCCCAGGTACTCAGGAGGCTGAGGTCAGGGGATCACTTGATCCCTGGAGGTCAAGGCTGCAGTGAGCCACAATCACACCACTGTACCACTAGCCTATGTAACAGAGCAACTGTCTCAAAAGTAGTATTTATCAGAATAGCATGTCTTTGTATAACTGCCACATTGTTTGTGTGAGGTGAAGCTGACTCACTTTAATTATCAGAAGTGTGATCTCATCAAAGACCAAGCTGTCCAGCTGCCTTGGACTGTAGGTCATGTGTTGCCAGTACCTTGGGGCTGTGTACAAAAGCCAGGCTGAGGGGATCTTGTGGTTACCCTCATGGGACTAGTAACTTGTCCAGGGGGAAGGTGACCCCAAGTGGAGAAGGGTAGGGTCCTTGGTTTTGGCCTCACCTGGTTCTCCCCAGAATGAAGGGCAAAAAAATAATAATTCTGGGAAAAACTTTAAATTCTTAATTTTGTTTATTTTTTGGATGGGAGATAGGTGTATGCTGGGTAAAATTCAAAAAGAACAAAAGGAGCCTGGGTGCATGTGGCTCACACTTGCAATCCCAACACTTTAGGAGGCCAAGGTGGCCGGATCACTTGAGGTAAGGAGTTCGAGACCAGCCTGGCCAACATGGTGAAACCCTGTCTCTACTAAAAATGCAAAAATTAGCCAGGCATGGTTGCATGTGCCTGTAATTCCTGCTACTCGGGAGGCTCAGGCAAGAGAATTGCTTGAACCTGGGAGGCAGACGTTGCAGTGAGCTGAGATTGCGCCACTGCACCCAGCCTGAGTGACAGAGTGAGACTCCATCTCAAAAAAACAAAAAAATTTAAAAAAAAGTGGCGGCAAGTGTGGCTGAAGGACTTTTACTTTTTCTGTTACACTTTAGTACTGATGGCAGTTTTAAGATCATGCATGTATTTTACAGTAAATCCACAAGAAATTATGCACTTAATTTTTCTGGGTGAATTGTGTTGTAGAGGCAATAGAGAATTATTTACATTTCTCCTTTTTCTTTGTTTACCAGATAGCAGACCCCACGCTGGCTGAAATGGGAAAAAACTTGAAGGAGGCAATGAAGATGTTGGAGGACAGTCAGAGGTGAGCACTACGGAAACGACCTGTTCCGCGAGTTCAGCCTGCTATGAAGCTGGTGGCTCTTGTGTTAAAGATACTTCTTGGTGTCTTTCCTTGTGCTAAAGATACCTCTTGGCTTCACAGTGTCACACGTAGCTTCTACTGACTTGAAAATTGGTATTTGTCTTGAGTAAAAGGTGCCTTGTAATTAAAGGATTTTGAAATGGAGAGGAAGGACTTAAAATTTTTAAATCTGTCTGTTAAGAATTCCATTTACTTAATATATTGATTTGACTCTCTAATTACTTGTTATATATTCAGGTCATGTAAAGCACCAAGTAAATAAGAAGTGGGTGGAACTTTTTGTTGCGTGTTCTTGTCTTTTCCAGAAACTCAAACTATACCTAAAACTAGAGGCAGGGAGATCTGATAAGTATGTTTCAAATCCTGCCTCAATCACTAAGAGATTGTAGGCAACATAGTCATGTTTGCGTGTTTAGGAGTTAGAAATCTGATATGATGAAACAAATGAATAGCTTTTTCTTTTCTTTAAATTAGAAGAACAGAAGAGGAAAATGGAAAGAAGCTCGTGTCGGGGGATATTCCAGGGCCACTCCAGGGCAGGTAGGTGACAGTGAGGATCCATACCTTTAGTTAAGGTGTACATTTTTGTTTGTTTGTTTTTGAGATGGAGTCTTGCTCTGTTGTCCAGGCTGGAGTACAGGGGCACGATGTGGGCTCACTCCAAACTCTGCCTCCTTGGTTCAAGCGGTTCTCATGCCTCAGCCTCTTGAGTACCTGGGATTACAGGCGTGTGCTACCACACCTGGCTAATTTTTGTATTCTCAGTAGAGACGGGGTTTCGCCATGTTGACCAGGCTGGTTTCTTAACTCCTGACCTTGACCTCAGGTGATCTACCCGCCTCAGTCTCCCAAATTGCTGGCATTAACAGGTGTGAGCCACCATGCCTGGCCTACTTTTCTTAAACCAGTATCTTACCATCATTGATTTACGGTTTCAGTTTTAATGAACATGTAACAAATTTAAATAGACTTCTGTGCAGTATAACATTAGAAAACTGAAATACCACAGGTGATACTGCTGCACCTGCTGGCTTCTCTCCCTCTCCCATTTGGAATTCAGTACAGGCTGGGTACAGTGGGTAATACCTGTAATCCCAGCACTTTGGGAGGCCAAGGAAGGAGGATCACTTGAACCCAGGAGTTCAATGTTGCAGTGATCTGTCATTGTGCTCCTGCACTCCAGACTGAGTGATAGAGACTCTAAAAAAAGAATTTTTTTTTAAAACCAACAATTTCATGTAACCTCATGACTCAGAAATGATATATGGAGCCAAGCACAGTGGTGCACACCTTTTTTTTTTTTTTTTTTGCTATGAAGACATTTTATTAGGTCAAGCTACTTGCTATGAAAATGCTTTAAAACGCAGGTGGAGATGTAAAGACTCAAGTGTGTAGTGACAACGGCTATCAAAACACACTAAAAAAAAATCCACACTGCTTCCCCCTTTACCTAGAAAAGGAAGCTTCTAGGCTACCTCCTCCTCCTCCTCCGCACACTCCTCAAACTCCTCCTCCTCAGCTGTGGCGTCTTGGTATTGCTGGTATTCTGACACCAGATCATTCAGGTTGCTCTCGGCCTCGGTGAACTCCATCTCATCCATGCCCTCGCCCGTGTACCAGTGCAGGAAGGCCTTGCGCCTGAACATAGCTGTAAACTGCTCAGAGATGCGTTTGAAGAGCTCGTGGATCGCTGTGTTATTACCAGTGAAGGTGGCCGACATTTTTAGCCCCCGGGGTGGGATGTCACAGACAGCTGTTTTCACGTTGTGAGGGAGCCATTCAGCAAAGTAGCTGCTGTTCTTATTTTGAATGTTGAACATTTGCTCATCCACCTCCCTCATGGACAGCTGCTTGGGAGGCTGAAGCAGGAGGATTGTTTGAGTCGAATTCAAGGTTACCCTGACAACATCATGAGACCCTATCTCTGAAATAAAATAAAAGCGATATAAAAATTCTTCATGATGACTGGTATATCATACTTAGTTCATTCTTGAAACCTGTAATCTATTTGGTAGACTGAGTTTTATTGTAAGAGCTATTTTAATTTGATAAGATTTAGCGTTTTTGTAATACAGTAAGGAAAAGGAAAATGTCAAATTTAATCATTTATTGTTTGGCAACTGAAGCAAATCTGTCACGTCTTCCTCATTTGAGCTAGCAGGACAAATAGCAAAAAAGTAAGTAGCTCACTAAAATGTTCACAAGATATTAGCAGTTAATCTGGGATTGATGACCCAGCCTACCTTCCCTGATACAACTTATTTTTTTTTTTTTCCTTTTATAACCAGGAAACTGGGCATAAGTAAACAGTACAACTCCCTTAAATATCCTTTGACCTGAGTATAAATTGAACCAGGTTGCAAAAGAAAAGTATGGAGGAAGGATCACAGTGTGCCAATAAATGTCACATCTAACACACTGAGATACTAATACTTTAAAACAGTCATTCTTATTCATAGCATGAATAATGCCATGCGAAGTGCTTTCTCAGGTCGAAACGGGAAGCAGGGCCTATAAAATCTCCATCCAGGCCTACGGATGGAAACAAAAGACTTCAAGGTTTTAGTCTCCTGATTCCACTGAACGTTTCCCCAGGAGAGATACTCCCAAGAGCATCTGTAATTCTCAAAATGACAGCACGTTAAGCCACTGACTAGGAGGAATCACACTTAGGAATGCATTCAAGACTGGTAACCTGCCGGGCACAACTGAGTAGCATACTTTCACTGTCTGAAGCCTCTCAAGTCCATAACGTCCAGCTTGACAAGTTGGAATAGCATGTTCAGGGTCATATGGCAGGTAGCCAAGGGCCTGTGCCTGCTCTAATCTCTACAGTGTCCAGGGCCCAGAGCCCCTCTCACTTGAAGGGCAGCACCTTGGGGACAGTTGGTTTGTGGACATGGTTTTGATGGTGCTTCCTTTGTTGAAAGAGGACGCTTTTTATTAGTCTGTTCACATTAATGGAGGGATAGCTTTATGTTATTCCTGTTGCAAGTTGCCTTGCCATTGGTTGCTACTTCAGCCATTCGAATTCTTTTCATAACTTTCCACCTCCTCATGTAATGAACATTTCATAGCAACATATCTTGGATAGAAGTAAAATGTTTTTACACTTTAATTAGATCTCAAGTTTCCCAGCTTGGGGAAGAGCTGGTAATAAATGAAGCTTACATTTTTAAAAGCTGTTAGTCCAAACAGACAAGATTCATAAGTGGAGGAAATTAGATATGCCAGTGGCATTGGAATAGTCTGTGAATGTCTGGCATTATAATATAATAAGGAATATACTCATTATATATTATGGGTACATATTATAAGGACTTTTGGGTCTTCTTACATGCTTATTTAATACTCTCTGTCTTATACTCCAAGATTCAAATGAAATGTGTAGAAATGTAGCTAGACCAAGACTGGTGGCTGGGCAAAGTGGCGTATGCCTATAATCTGAGTACTTTGGGAGGCTGAGGCAGGAGGATCGCTTGAGCTCGGTGGTTTGAGACCAGCTTGAGCAAGATGGTCTACCAAAAATACAAAAAGGCCTAGCATGGTGGCTTATACCTGTAATCCCAGCACTTTGGGAGGCCGAGGTGGGTGGATCACTTGAGGCCAGGAGTTCAAGACCAGCCTGGGCAACATGGTGAAACCCCATCTCTACTAAAAATATAAAAATTAGCCAGGCACTGTGGCACATGTGTGTAATCCCAGCTACTCAGGAGGCTGAGGCAGGAGAATCTCTTGAACCCAGGAGGCGGAGGTTGCAGTGAGCCAAGATCGTGTCACTGCACTCAAGCCTGGGTGACAGAGTGAGAACCTATCTCAAAAAAATAAATAAATAAAAAGACTGGTTACATTGATTAAAATGAAACTCACATTTAGGTAGAAGACTTATTTAGCCACAAGTAAGTTTATATCAGAATTTAGTTTATAATTTGAGCTTTGTTTTTAAAAAGCATAAAATGTGTACCACATTCTTTGTCTTATAGTTATTTAATTAAGGAAAAAAAGTTTTAGCAAGGCTAGTTAGATGAGAGCAGTAACAGGAGAATGGTGGAGTATGTGTGTTCCCACCAGCCTATCAACTCCTTTTATTCTGCAGTGGACAAGATATGGTGAGCATCCTCCAGCTGGTTCAGAATCTGATGCATGGAGATGAAGACGAGGAGCCCCAGAGCCCCAGGTAATGAACCTGGCAGCTTTTCTTTTCGAGTGTATGTGTTCTTGATGTCAGTAGTGATTGCACTCTGACAAGTGGCTCAAATAAGAAGCTATATTTCATTGAGTTTCATATGATACTAAAATATTTTTTTCATAAAGACATTTATATATAAGATAGATTTTGTGAATTGAAGGCATTTACTGAAATTAGAACCTGTAGTTTTTGTGGTCTCGTGTCTTAGAGAGGGGCTGGCAGAAGGACTGAAGAGTAAGCACCGTTCTGCTGCTGTGCTTCTGCCTCCGAGGAATTGCTGCACCTGTATCGATTAGTTTTCTCTTTAATTATTTTAATTTTAATGTTTTGAAATAAGTAAAATGTTCTCTCGGTTCAAAATTCTGACAATGAAAAACAATATACAAAGGGAAATTTCCTTTCTACCTGTTTCTCCCTACCTGGTTTTCTTCTCTAGAGATAAACATTACCAGTTTCTTGTGTGTTCTTCCCGGGAGATTTTTGTATGTATTATACACAAGGAAAATGTCCATTCCCACCCTCTCTAAGACATAATTACTATGCACATGTTCTGCACCTTGCATTTTTTCACTTAAGTCTTGGAGCTCGGCTGGGCGTCATGGCTCACACCTGTGATACCAGCACTTTGGGAGGCCGAGGCAGGCGGATCACGAGGTCAGGAGATCGAGACCATGGTGAAACCCCTTCTCTACTAAAAAATACAAAAATTAGCTGGGCGTGGTGGTGCGCGCCTGTGGTCCCAGCTACTCGGGAGGCTGAGACAGGAGAATTGCTTGAACCCAGGAGGCGGAGGTTGCACTGAGCCGAGATTGTGCCACTGTACTCCAGCCTGACGCCTGGCAACAGAGCAAGACTCTGTCTAAAAAAAAAAAAAATTCTTGAAGCTCATTGTATATTCGTGCACAGGAGCTTTCTCCTTTGTCAAAGCTGTGTGTTTTACTTGGAACTGATGATCCATATTTTATTTTATTGGTCCCGTCATGTTTCACTGTCACTTTTGACATGTGTTCCTTCTCATAGAAGCAAATGTGTCTCGAGGACAAAGTCCTGAAAGCGGGATTGCTGTCTCAGACAGTGTGTACTTCTGTAATTTAGATCGATCCTGCCAATTTCCCTCCGTGGAGTTGCGGCATTCAGCAGTCCCACCGGCAATGTATGAGAGGACTTTATTCCCACACCTTTGCCTGCAAAGGCATTGTCAGACTAAATGATCTTTGATAAGTGATATTCTCACGAGAAATCTGATTTTTTTTTCTTTTTCTTTTTTTTTTTTTTTTTTTTTTTTGAGACAGAGTTTCGCTCTTGTTACCCAGGCTGGAGTGCAATGGCGCGATCTCGGCTCACCGCAACCTCCACCTCCTGGGTTCAAGCAGTTCTCCTGCCTCAGCCTCCTGAGTAGCTGTGATTACAGGCACATGCCACCATGCCCAGCTAATTTTTGTATTTTTCAGTAGAGACGGGGTTTCACCGTGTTGACCAGGATGGTCTCGATCTCTCGACCTCGTGATCCACCCGCCTCGGCCTCCCAAAGTGCTGGGATTACAGGCTTGAGCCACTGCGCCCGGCCAGAAATCTGATAAGTTTTTATTATGAACCAAGTGAAGTGTCTTTTTTATATGTTTTAAGACCCATTTATATTTCTTTTTCTAGGAACTGGCTGTTGCCCGTGGTCCTGTTACTCTATTTGTCTTTTTCTTATTACGTACAGTTAACAGTTGTAAACCTTTTCCTCCTTACAGTTTTTCTTTATAAGGGAAATTAGTTTCAATTATTTACAAAATATTTTATAAAATCAATTTTAATTATATATGAAACAATACCTAGTCCCCCTTGAATTTGTTGTATTATTGCAATAAACAATTAATTTTTATTTAATGCAGGGACCTGGGATTTAATGCTTTTTTTTTTTTTTTTTTTTTGAGATGGAGTTTTGCTCTTGATACCCAGGCTGGAGTGCAATGGTGCAATCTCGGCTCACTGCAACCTCCGCCTCTTGGGTTCAGGCAATTCTGCTGCCTCAGCCTCCTGAGAACTGGGATTACAGGCACGCCCCACCGTGCCCAGCTAATTTTTTTGTATTTTTAGTAGAGACGGGGTTTCACCATGTTGACCAGAATGGTCTCGATCTCTTGACCTTGTGATCCGCCCGCCTCAGCCTCCCAAAGTGCTGGGATTACAGGCTTAAGCCACCGCGCCCGGCCTGGGATTTAATTCTTTAAAAAATGTTTTTGGCTCATTTTACCTTAGCATACCCTCCATAATTCTTAAGGCTGGTATTTAATCTTAAAAATACGTTAACAGGGCTAGGTGCTGTGGCTCATGGCTGTAATCCCAGCACTTTGGAAGGCCAAGGTGGGCGGATCACAAGGTCAGGAGTTCAAGACTAGACTGGCCAACATGGTGAAACCCTGTCCTACTAAAAATTACAAAAATCGACTGGGCATGGTGGGTTGTGCCTGCAATCACAACTAGTTGGGACGCTGAGGTAGAATTGCTTGAACTGGGACCAGGGAGGTGGAGGTTGCAGTGAGCTGAAATCCCGCCATTGTACTCTGGCCTCAGCTACAGAGCAAAACTCCATCTCGAAAAAAAAAATTTTTTTTTTTTTTTTTTTGAGAGAGAGTCTCACTCTGTTGCCAGGTTCCAGGCTGGAGTGCCGTGACGCAATCTCGGCTCACTGTAATCTCTGCCACCTGGGTTCAAGCAATTCTCCTGCCTCAGCCTCCTGAGTAGCTGGGACTGCAGGTGTGTGCCACCTTGCCCAGCTAATTTTTGTATTTTTTAGTAGAGACAGGATTTCACCATGTTGATCAGGATGGTCTCGATCTCTTGACCTCGTGATCCGCCTGCCTTGGCGTCCCAAAGTGCTGGGATTACAGGTGTGAGCCACCATGCCCGGCCTAAAAAAAAAATTTTTAATAGGAAATTATTTTAAAACAGTTTGTAGGTACTCAATTTAAAAAGGGATATTTACCTCCTGGAACCTAAATTATGAAAATACTTTTCTGGCCGGGCGCAGTGGCTCATGCCTATGATCCCAGCATTTTGGGAGGCTGAGGTGGGTGGGTCACCTGAGGTGAGGAGTTGGAGAGCAGCCTAACCAACATGGTGAAACCCCGTCTCTACTAAAAGTACAAAAAATTGGCTGGGTGTGATGGTAGGCGCCTGTAATCGCAGCTACTTGGGGGGCTAAGGCAGGAGAATCACTTGAACCCAGGACGTGGAGGTTGCAGTCAGCCAAGATCACATCATTGCATTCCAGCCTGGGCAAGAGTGAGGCTCCATCTTAAAAAAAAAAAAAAAAAAAAAAAAAAAAAAATATATATATATATATATATATATATATATATATATATAATCTCCATCTCAAAATTTTCACCAAACTATCTATACCATATATGCTTTGAATTTTGTAAATTTATCTGAATTTCTGCCTTCTGGGCCATTAAGTAGATTTTAAGTCTGACAGAAATTTCGGTGGAATACTGTCTCTATGTTCTGTGTCCTTTTTTATGGTTTGACTCTAATTCTTTCTTTAAACTAATTTTGCTTAACAGAATCCAAAATATTGGAGAACAAGGTCATATGGCTTTGTTGGGACATAGTCTGGGAGCTTATATTTCAACTCTGGACAAGGAGAAGCTGAGAAAACTTACAACTAGGATACTTTCAGATACCACCTTATGGCTATGCAGAATTTTCAGGTAAAGACATGAAGAGTTTTTAGTTACCAGTGAAGACTTTTATGAGTCGGGTGTAGGCTGAAAGATCTTTTTTCTGGAGCTGTACTACTTGGGTTCAGATATCATCCTCCTTGGAAGAGGTGTTTAACCTCTCCATGCCTGTTTCATTGTCTGTTAGATGGGGATAGTATTAATTTCAATTTCTTTCTTTCTTTCTTTTTTTTTTTAATGCTTTAAGTTCTGGAGTACATGTGCAGAACACGCAGGTTTGTTACATAGGTATACACATGCCGTGGTGGTTTGCTGCGTCCATCACTCCGTCATCTATATTAGGTATTGCTCCTAATGCTATCCCTCCCCTGTCCCCCGACCTGCTGACAGGCCCTGGTGTGTGATGTTCGCCTCCCTGTGTTCATGTGTTCTCATTGTTCAACACCCACTTACAAGTGAGAACATGTGGTGTTTGGTTTTCTGTTCTTGTGTCAGCTTGCTGAGAATGATGATTTCCAGCTTTATCCATGTACCTGCAAAGGACACGAACTCATTCTTTTTTATGGCTGCATAGTATTCCATGGTATATATGTGTCACATTTTCTTTATCCAGTCTGTCATTGATGGGCATTTGGGTTGGTTCCAAGTCTTTGCTATTGTGAACAGTGCTGCAATAAACATACGTGTGCATGTGTCTTTATAATAGAATGACATATTCCTTTGGGTATATACCCAGTAATAGGATTGCTGGGTCAAATGGAATTTCTGTTTCTAGATCCTTGAGGAATTGCCAAGTGTCTTCCACAGTGGTTGAACTAATTTATACTCCCACCAACAGTGTAAAAGCGTTTCTATTTCTCTACATCCTCTCCAGCATCTGTTGTCTCCTGATTTTTTAAATGATTTTTTTTAGAATGATTCTCATTCTAACTGTAGTGAGATGGTATCTCAATGTGGTTTTGATTTGCATTTCTCTTAATGATGAGTAATGATGAGCTTTTTTTCATATGTTTATTGCCTGCATAGATGCCTTCTTTTGAGAAGTGTTTGTTCATATTCTTCATCTACTTTTTGATGGGGCTGTTTTTTCCTTGTAAATTTATTTAAGTTCTTTATAGATTCTGGATATTAGCTCTTTGTCAGATAGGTGGATTGCAAAAAAATTTTTCCCATTCTGTTGGTTGCTGGTTCACTCTAAGGATAGTTTCTTTCACTGTGCAGAAGCTCTTTAGTTTAATTAGATCCCATTTGTCAATTTTGGCTTTCATTGGCGTGCTTTTGGTGTTTTAGTCATGAAGTCCTTGCCCATGCCTATGTCCTGAATGGTATTGCCTTGGTTTCCTTCTGGGGTTTTTATGGTATTAGGTCTTATGTTTAAATCTTTAATCCATTTGGAGTTAGGAAGGGATCCAGTTTGAACTTTCTGCATATGGCTAGCCAGTTTTCCCAACACCATTTATTGGGAAATCCTTTCCCCATTGCTTGCTTTTGTCAGATTTGTCAAAGATTAGATGGTTGTAGATGTGTGGTGTTATTTCTGAGGCCTTTGTTCTATTCAATTGGTCTGTATCTCTGTTTTGGTACCAGTACCATGCTGTTTTGATTACTGTAGCCTTGTAGTATAGTTTGAATTCAGTAGCATGATGCCTCCAGCTTTGGTTTTTTTGCTTAGGTTTGTCTTGACTGTGTGACCCCTTTTTGGTTCCATATGAAGTTTAAGGTGTTTTTTTTCCAATTCTGTTAAAGTCAATAGTAGCTTGATGGGGATAGCATTGAATCTATACATTACTTTGGGCAGTATGGCCATTTTCATGATATTGATTCTTCCTAAACATAAGCATGGAATGTTTTTCCATCTGTTTGTGTCCTCTCTTATTTCATTGATCAGTGGTTTGTAATTCTTGAAGAGGTCCTTCACATCCCTTGTTAGTTGTATTTTTTTTTTTTTTTTTTTTTTTTGAGATGGAGTTTCGCTCTTGTTACCCAGGCTGGAGTGCAATGGCGCGATCTCGGCTCACCTCAACCTCCGCCTCCTGGGTTCAGGCAATTCTCCTGCCTCAGCCTCCGGAGTAGCTGGGATTACAGGCATGTGCCACCACGCCCAGCTAATTGTTTGTATTTTTAGTAGAGACGGGGTTTCACCATGTTGACCAGGATGGTCTCGATCTCTTGACCTCGTGATCCACCTGCCTTGGCCTCCCAAAGTGCTGGGATTACAGGCTTGAGCCACCGCGCCCGGCCTGTTAGTTGTATTCTTAGATATTTTATTCTCTTTGTAGCAATTGTGAATAGGAGTTCACTCATGATTTGACTCTCTGTCTTGTTACTGGTGTATAGGAATGCTTGTGATTTTTGCACACTAATTTTGTATTCTGAGACTTTGCTGAAGTTGCTTATCAGCTTAAGGAGATTTTAGGCTGAGATGATGGGGTCTTCTAAAATACAGTCATGTCATCTGCAAATAGAGACAACTTGACTTTCTCTTTTCCTAATTAAATATCCTTTATTTCTTCTTCTTGCCTGATTGCCCTGGCCAGAACTTCCAATACCTTGTTGAATAGGAGTGCTTATTGAGGGCATCCTTGTCTTGTGCCAGTTTTCAAAGGGAATGCTTCCAGTTTTTGCCTGTTCAGTATGATATTGGCTGTGGGTTTGTCGTAAATAGCTCTTATTATTTTGAGATATGTTCCATTGATACCTAGTTTATTGAGAGTTTTTAGCATAAAGGGCTGTTTAATTTTGTCGAAGGCCTTCTCTAGCTATTGAGATAATCGTGGTTTTTGTCTTGGGTTCTGTTTATGTGATGGGTTACGTTTATAGATTTGCATATGTTGAACTAACTTTGCATCTGAGGGGTGAAGCCAACTTGGTCATGATGGATAAGCTTTTTGATGTGCTGTTGGATTCGGTTTGCCGGTATTTTATTGAGGATTTTCACATCAATGTTCATCATGGATATTGGCCTGTAGTTTTCTTTTTTAGTTGTGTCTCTGCCAGGTTTTGTTATCAGGATGACGTTGGCCTCATAAAATGAGTTACGGAGGATTCCCTTTTTGTATTGTTTGAAATAGTTTCAGAAAGAGTGATAGTACCTCTTCTTTATACCTCTGGTAGAATTTGGCTGTGAACCTGTCTGGTCCTGGACTTTTTTTTGGTTGATAGGCTGTTAACTCCTGCCTCAATTTCAGACCTTGTTATTGGTCTATTCAGGAATTCACCTTCTTTCTGGTTTAGTCTTGGGAGGGTGTTTAAAAGTGTCCAGGAATTTATCAGTTTCCTCTAGATTTACTGGTTTGTTTTCTTAGAGGTGTTTGTAGTATTCTCTGATGGTAGTTTGTATTTCTGTGGGATCAATAGTGATAACCCCTTTATCATTTTTTATTGCATCTATTCGATTCATCTGTCATTTCGTCTCTTATTAGTCTGGCTAGCAGTCTGTCTATTTTGTTGATGTTTTGAAAACAAGCTCCTGGATTCATCGATTTTTTTTTTTTTTTTTTTTTTTTTTTTGAAGTGTTTTTCTGTGTGTCTATCTCCTTCAGTTCTGCTCTGGTCTTAGTTATTTCTTCTGCTACCTTTTGAATTTGTTTGATCTTGCTCCTCTAGTTCTTTTAATCATGATGTTAGGGTGTTGATTTTAGATAATTCCTCATTTCTCTTTTGGGCATTTAGTGCTATAAATTTCCCTCTAGACATTGCTTTAAATGTGTCCCAGAGATTCTGGTATGTTGTGTCTTCATTCTTACTGGTTTCAAAGAACGTGTTTATTTCTGCCTTCATTTTATTATTTATCCAGTACTCATTCAGGAGCAGGTTGTTCAGTTTCCATGTAGTTGTGTGGTTTTGAGTGAGTTTCTTAATCCTGAGTTCTAATTTGATTGCACTGTGGTCTGAGAGACCGTTAAGATTTCCGTTCTTTAACATTTGCTGAGGTGTGTTTTACTTCCAGTTATATGGTCAGTTTTAGAATAAGTAGGATGTGGTGCTGAGAAGAATGCATGTTCTGGGGATTTGGGGTGGGGAGTTCTGTAGATGTCTATTAGGTCTGCTTGGTCCAGGTCTGACTTCAAGTTCTAGATATCCTTATTAATTTTCTGTCTTGCTGATCTGTCTAATATTGACAATGGGGTGTTAAAGTCTCCCACTATTACTGTGTGGGAGTCTGAGTCTCTTTGTAGGTCATTAAGAGCTTGCTTTATATACTGGGTGCTGCTATATTGGCTGCATGTATATTTAGGGTAGTTAGCTCTTCTTGTTACGTTGATCCCTTTACCATTATGTAATGCCCTTCTTTATCTCTTTTGATCTTTGTTGGTTTAAAGTCTGTTTTATCAGGACTGGGATTGCAACCCCTGCTTTTTTTGCTCTCCATTTGCATGGTAAATCTTACTCCATCCCTTTATTTTGAGCTTATATGTGTCTTTGTACGTGAGGTGGGTCTCCTGAATACAACACACTGATGGATCTTGACTCTTTATCCAATTTGCCAGTCTGTGTCTTTTGATTGGGGCATTAAGCCTATTTATATTTATGGTAATATGTGTGAATTTGATCCTGCTATTTTGATGCTAACTGGTTGTTTTGCCTATTAGTTAATGCAGTTTCTTCATAGTGTCGATGGTCTTTATAGTTTGATATGTTTTTGCAGAGGCTGGTGCTGGTTGTTCCTTTCCATGTTTAGTGCTTCCCTCAGGAGCTTTTGTAAGGCAGTCCTGATGGTGATAAAAATCTCTCAGCATTTGTTTGTTGGTAAAGGATTTTATTTCTCCTTCGCTTATAAAGCTTAGTTTGGCTGGATATGAAATTCTGGGTTGAAAATTCTTTTCTTTAAGGATGTTGAATATTGGTCCACACACTCTTCTGGCTTGTAGACTTTCTGCCAAGAGATCTGCTGTGAGTCTGATGGGCTTCCCTTTGTGGGTAATCCGACCTTTCTCTCTGGCTGCCCTTAGCATTTTTTCCTTCATTTCAACCCTAGTGAATCTGACTATTATGTGTCTTGAGGTTGCTTTTCTCGAGGAATATCTTTGTGGTGGTTTCTGTATTTCTTGAATTTGAATGTTGGCCTGCCTTGCTAGGTTGGGGAAGTTCTCCTGGATAATATCCTGAAGAGTGTTTTCCAACCTGGTTTCATTCTCCGTCACTTTCAGGTGCACTGATCAAACAAAGATTAGGTTTTTTCACATAATCCCATATTTCTTGGAGGCTTTGTTCATTTCTTTTCACTATTTTTTCTCTAATCTTGCCTTCTTGAGTGGATCTTCAATCTCTGATATCCTTTCTTCTGCTTAATCAATTCAACTGTTGAAGCTTGGTATGCTTCACGAAGTTCTTGTGCTGTGTTATTCAGCTCCATCAAGTTGTTTGTCTCTGTGCTGGTTATTCTAGTTAGCATTTCATCTAACCTTTTTTCACAGTTCTTAGCGTCCTTGCATTGGGTTAGAACATGCTCCTTTAGTTCAGAGAAATTTGTTATTACCTACCTTCTGAAGCCTGCTTCTGTTAATTTGTCAAACTCATTCTCCATCCAGTTTTGTTCCCTTGCTGGTGAGCAGTTGTGATCCCTTGGAGGAGGAGAGGCGTTCTGGTTTTTGCAGATACCAGCCTTTTTGCACTGGCTTCTTCCCATCTTTATGGATTTATCTACTTTTGGTTTTTGAAATTGGTAACTTTGGATTGGGTCTCTGAGTGGACGTCCTTTCTATTGATGTTGAAACCATTTCTTTCTGTTATTTTTATTTCCAACAGTTAGGCCCCTCTGCTGCAGGTCTGCTGGAGTTTGCTGGACTTCTACTCCAGACCCTGCTTGCCTGGGAATCACCAGCCAGGGCTGCAGAATAGCAAAGATGCTGCCTGTTCCTTCCTCTGGTAGCTTCGTTTCAGAGGGGTACCCACCACATGCCACCCAGAGCTCTCCTGTATGAGGTGTCCGTCAACCCCTACTGGGAGTTATCTCTCAGTCCGGATACACAGGGGTCAGGGAGCCCCTTGAGGAGGCAGTGTGTCCCTTATCACAGCTCAAGAGATGTGCCAGGAGATTGTGGCTCCCTTCAGAGCTGCTGGGCCGGGAGGTTTAAGTCTGCTGAAGCTGAACCTGTAACTGTTACTCCTTTCCCAGGTGCTCTGTCCTGGGAAGGTGGGGCCTCTATATTTAAGTCTCTGATGGGCTGATGCCTTTTTTCAGAGATGCCCTGCCCAGCAAGAAGGGAGTCCAGTGACACAGTCTACCTTCAGAGGCCTCGCTGAGCTGCTGTCGACTCTGCCCAGTTGCTGTGTAAACTTCCCAGTGACTTTGTTTACACAGGCGAGGTTAAAACCGCCTACCCAAGCCTGAGCAATGGCATATGCCCCTCCCTGCCCCGAGCTTGAACATTCCAGGTGGAGCTGAGACTGCTGTGTGTGCTGGCTGCGAGAATTTTAAGCCAGTGGATCTTAGCTTGCTGGTCTTCCTGGGGGTGGAATCCCACGAGCCAGATCACTTGGGTCCTTGGCTTCAGCCCCTTTTTTTCAGGGGAATGAACAGTTCTGTCTGTCTGGCATTCCAGGAGCCACTGGGGTGTGAGGGGGGGAAAAAAACTGCTGTGGCTAAAATGGCTGCCCAGTTTTTTTTGTTTTTTTGTTTTTTTTTTAAACGGGGTTTCACCATGTTGATTAGCTGGTCTTGAACTCCTGACCTCAGGTGATCCTCCTGCCTTGGCCTCCAAAGTGCTTGAATTACAGGCATGAACCACCACACCCGGCCGGCTGCCCAGTTTTGTGCTGGAAACCTGGGATGCTGGTGTTGTAGGCATTGGAGGGAATCTCCCGGTCTTTGGGTTGTGTAGACCATGGGAAAAGTGAGCCAGAGTGTCAGGAAAAGTCCCTACTGTCTTCCTTGGCTAGGAGAGGGAGTTCTTTGGCCCCTTGCACTTCCTGGGTCAAGCAACACCCCACACTACTTTGGCTCATCCTCCTTCGGCTACACCCACTGTGTAACCAGTCCCAGTGAAATGAACCAGGTACTTCAGCTGGAAATGTGGAGATCACCCGCCTTCTGCGTCACTCTCACTGGGAGCTGTTCCTATTCGGCGGAAACCCTAATATTTCATAGAAATGTCCTGAGGATTAAATGAGTTAATGGACTAGTACATGTTAAAGATGGAGAAAATAAGCACATACATGTTTGATAGTGTCAGCAGCTATTTATTTTGGGGCTATCTAATTGGTACATGTCAGTAGAAGATAGAGCAATGATCTGGATTCAAGTACAGTTGTCCCTTATACTTGGGTGTCCTTGGGGGATTGGTTATGGACCTCCCACCCTCACCCCATGGTTAAAAAAAATCATGGTTGCTTAAATCCCCTATATAAAATGGCACAGTATTTGCATATAACTTAGGCACATCTTCCCATATACTTGAAATTTTCTGATTATATGTAATACATAATACAATATAAATGCTGTGTAAATAGTTGTTACATTTTATTGTTTAGGGAATAATGACAAGGAAAAAAATCTGTAGATATTCAGCACAGATGCAGCCATCTTTTTAAATTTCTGAAGATTTTTTACTCACAGTTTGTTGAATCCACAGATGCAGAACCCACAGGTTTGGAGGGCCAGCTGTGCTTCGAAAACAATAGCTTGTGGCTGGGCCTAGTGGCTTACGCCTGTAATCCCAGCACTTTGAGAGGCCGAGGCAGGAGGATCACGAGGTCAGGAATTTGAGACCAGCCTGGCCAACATGGTGAAACCCTTCTCTACTAAACATACAAAAAATGAGCCGGGCATGGTGGCACGTGCCTGTAATCCCAGCTACTCGGGAGGGTGAGACGAGAGAATCTCTTGAACACAGGAGGTGGAGGTTGCAGTGAGCCAAGATTGCACCATTGCACTCCAGTGACAGGGTGAGACTCAATCTCAAAAAACAAAAAGAGAGAAAGAAAGAAAATAATAGCTTGTGTTTTATTAGAAAGGCCACTCTGTCATAAGGAAGATAATGAATATATGTTATGAAATTGGAATCTGTTTTATTCTGTGATAATCCTGGCAATATTAAGAAATTAGAGCAGATTATGGATTCAGTAGGAAACACAGGACCAGTGGTATTGGGTTTATGCTGTGACTTTATGGAGAAGGATTCTTTGCCTAACTTGAATCATTTGAGAGACCTTCACTTTCAGTGTTGGGAAAGAACTTGGACAAGCAGGAGTATGTTTGCCTAAGTTTATTAAAGGAGCAGTGTTCTGTTGTTTTGGTAAAAATCTAACGCTTGTGATTGAAATTGTCCCTCCTCTTCTGGAAGATTGAGGCTCAGCAGATTATAGTAAAAGCAAAAAGTTAGCCTGACTAGCTTTTTTTTTTTTGGTGACAGAGTCTTGGTCTGTCACCCAGGCTGGAGTACATTGGCATGATCTTGGCTCACTGCAACCTCTGCCTCCCGGGTTCAAGTGAGTCTCCTGCCTCAGTTTCCTGAGCTGGGAATACAGGTGCCTGCCATCACAACCGGCTAATTTTTATGTTTTTACAAAATTACAAAAAGAGACAGGGTTTCACCATGTTGGCCAGGCTGGTCTCGAACTCCTGACCTCAAGTGATCAGCTGGCATTGGCCTCCCAAAGCTGAGGTTATGGGCGTGAGCCACCACACCTGGCCTCTAACTAGCATTTTTGACAGTTTTATTTACTTTGGATGTTTTAGGGCTGAAACTCTGCTACGAACCGTGTCTGTGTTATCCATTGCTGGCCTTAGTTCATAATAAGCCAGAACCATGATCTTCAGGCTTTTTGTATGCGGGAACTCCTGGTCTCTGCTTGTTTTCCTAGTTTCTGCCCTTTATGGAATTGGATATGGGTGGAGAGTTATTGTCTCGCTGCTTGGTAACTCCAGGTGTAATGAGTTGTCAGCCATCTATGATGAGGATGTCTCACATTCCTGTCCTCTTTGCCTGATCTAGGTGACAGTTCCTAGCTTGAGAAAAGAATTGTTTCCTTGATTATAGGATTGACTTATACAATCCTTAACTAGAAATAAGAGCGTACTAATACGTGTGTCTCTCTTAACAGATATGAAAATGGCTGTGCTTATTTCCACGAAGAGGAAAGAGAAGGACTTGCAAAGATATGCAGGCTTGCCATTCATTCTCGATATGAAGACTTCGTAGTGGATGGCTTCAATGTGTTATATAACAAAAAGCCTGTCATATATCTTAGTGCTGCTGCTAGACCTGGCCTGGGCCAATACCTTTGTAATCAGGTAATGTGGCATAAGGTGGCTGTTTTAAAGAAATAATGTCTTGTTTTATCCTGAAAATTTTAAAGTTGACCTGTTTCTCTAGTTGCTGTTCCTTTGAGTGAAAGATGGTCTTATATGCTTTTGTCATATTTTAAAAAGTTACTGAATTTAGAAATAAAGAATATGTGATAGATTACCCAAGGGCAACCACAGCCAACATTTTCTTTCTTTTTTCCCAGACTTTAATCAAAGCGTTTGTGTTGATATGGTTGTGTTCAGCTCTTTTCACTTACACTAAAACAGGAATATATCATATTTTAATAATAAATATTCAGAGTATAGTTTATTTTTAATGCTTTCATGGTATTTCTTCAAGTGAATCTATAGTAATTTAACTGTTTCCCTTTTGGATGATTAAGAGTGTTTGCATTCTTTTGCTTTCTGTGACCATTTTTAGGTTATGCTCTTTGTATAGTGCTGTTACGGACTTCCCTGTGCATAAAGCTGTTTCCATATTTTATTTAGAGTTATGGTCCTCAGATGGATTTTCAGAGTCAATCTAGAACTGCTGGATCAAAGAGCATGACCATTCTTAAAGTTCATGGTGCTTCTAGACCAAGTGCGGGGACTACATTGAGATAAGACATTGTTAACCCTCTTTACCAAGAACATTCAAAAGCAAAACCCATAGGGTTGGAGAGTTCCTCTTTTGTAAGCTGTAGGAGTGCCAGTGGGGTGTATGGGAGACACTTACTGACTTTTAAGTTGATTCCAAGCTGTGATCGCTGGTGGCCAGAAATTATGTCTTCTTCTTGAGAGTGTACAAAATGGGGAGTTTAATAATCCGGTGAAACATGAAATAACAGTGTCTGCTGCGAGCCAGACTCTCGCTGACCCAAGGCTGTTTGGGGAGAACAGTCTAACCTTCAAAAGATGTGTGAGAGTGTTGTGTTGAGAAAGGCAGCCGGCAGAGCAACATATGTAAGATGGTTATGTTCATGTTTCTTAAAGTGTGTGTACCCTTTATACCTATATTTTTGTACCTATAAAAATATATACATTTATACCTAGAGAGGTTGTATATTAAAGTGTTAACAGGAGTGGATTGGTGGCTTACAGGGTAGGAGGCTATGCTTTTTCACTTTTAACACCTGTATTTTTTTTGATAATTTGTTTTACTTTGATGTCACGTTCATAATTTAAAAAAAAATTCTTTAAGGAGCAAAATGTGCTTGTTAAATTTTTGGTCTTTGAATGATACCAAGTCTTAGTCACACTACACAATATGCTGCAACTGTTTACGATTTCTAAATTTAGAAGCTCCTCAAGGACTTGGAAGCTAAAAATGAAGAATATGAAATTAAGTTGACTGTCATTGTCTCTGTGCATAACACTGACTTCACTTTTCTTGAGAAATGTACATCTGCTAATCCATATTTATTACTTTTAAGGGGTGGGTGGACCCACAAATAAGATACTGTTCTTTGAATGCCTTTAGCTGGTGTTATTTACCAGTAATGCTTGTAGAAAGACTCCAAAACTACCTCCGCTGAAATACGAGTCAGTTGTTTCTCTGTTTGCAAAAGTGTTTCTGTTATATTCTAGAATATACCAAAGATAGTTACTTGACTCATTTAGAAAATTTTACGTTATATCCTCTTATGAGGCACTTGGAAATTCGCCCTTTCTTTTTTGGCTTGGCTTTCTAAATGTACTTTAACATCTATTTATAATATTAAGAGTTCCTAAGGAGAGAGATTTTTGAGAAGAATAATCATGGCTGTCTTAGAGCCACAGCTTTTTGCAATCCGAAGTGAATGGTGCAGAGAACTTTCTTGTCAGGTCGCATGTTTCTTCTTGCAGCTCGGCCTGCCCTTCCCCTGCCTGTGCCGTGTACCCTGTAACACTATGTTTGGATCCCAGCATCAGATGGTGAGTTCTGCTTTTGGTTTGTAAAATAATGTGGGATTGTGTTTTGAAACTACCTTCCTTTTAAATGAAGTTCTGTTTGCTGGCCTCCAGATAATTAGTAGCTTATTCATTTATAGCTTGGATCTTTCCATTGTGTAATATATGCTTCTGTTAATATGTGAATGTCCATGAAGGTTGGCTGGTATATAGGTTAGGAGCACCTGGCTTTTAAGTAGACTGTAATTACTGTATCACCTGCTTTAAGTAGAAACATGGCAACTCAGAAATTTCTTCTAAACCTCCTACTTTTAATGAGTTAGCACTGTTGCCTGGATTGATGAATGGGCAGATTTTGAAAATGAGGTTGTTCATTGTAATCATGAGATTGACTTCTGCTTATATTTAGACATGTAGGTGATAAATATCTCCTTAGTAATTCTAGAAGGAAAAGGAAGGGATGGATTTTAGAGTTTTGTATTTCTTTTGTCGAGGTAGTTTTATTTTCTAGTTCATGTACATCAGTGAGTAATAGTAAGGATACATTCTTGGCTGTTTTAGGGGAGTTGAGAGAACATTTCATTTAAATGTTTAAAACCAAAGAAATGTTCCTGCATATGTGCAGTTTTTACGTTTAATCTTGTTTAACTGATTTTTCTAGTCTTCAATGAAAATTGATTTTCACATCTATGATGACAGAAAACAGAAAAATTGTCAAGAATAAGAATTGATTTGACTGATTACTTTTGAGAGTTATCTGCTTCTTTTATAAGTCATAGTTTTTCATTTTAGAGCTTTTATATTGGGCACCTCATTTTTTAATGGTTTGTTTTGGTTCCAGGATGTTGCCTTCCTGGAGAAACTGATTAAAGATGATGTAGAACGAGGAAGACTGCCCCTGTTGCTTGTTGCAAATGCCGGTAGGTAGCATGATGCTGAATCTACCATTTTGAATATATAGGAGTGAATATATATATATTATATATATTTAAATGTATATATTATATATATTCAAAATATATATTTACATAATATATTTTTTTATATATTACTGGCACATAACACCAACTAAAGTGAGACTAAGTGCTTAGCCTATAAAAGATAAAGTCTTAGCCAGGCAGGGGTGGCTCACACCTGTAATCCCAGTACTTTGGGAGGCTAAAGCAGGAAGATCACGAGGTTAGGAGATCAAGACCATCCTGGCCAACATGGTGAAACCCTGTCTCTACTAAAAGAAAAAAGAATAAAAAATTAGCCAGGCATGGTGGTTTTTACCTGTAATCCCAGCTACTTGGAAGGCAGAGGCAGGGGAATCCCTTGAACCCGGGTGGTGGAGGTTGCATTGAGCTGAGATTGTGCCACTGCATTTCAGCTTGGCAATAGAACAAGACTTCTTCTCAACCAGAAAAAAAAAGTCTTAAGGAATGTTTGTGTGCCACATGTTTAAGATAGTCTGTATCCACATAGTAGTAAAAATTGTAATAGTAAAGTTGGCTCATTAGATTTTCTTTAATCATTGGTTTGTTTTGAAAGTTATTTTATGTGTATGTATACTTTTTCACTTAGATTGTAAATGCTTCTCTATCTTCTCCTTCATGTACTTCCTTTCTCTGTTCTAAACTGAATTTTATTTTATTTTTGTGAGCCATTGTCTCACTCTGTTGCCCAGGCTGGAGTGCAGTGGTGCAATCTCAGCTCATTGCAGTCTCTGCCTCCCAGGTTCAAGTGATTTTCCTGCCCCAGCCTCCTGAGTAGCTGAGATTGCAGGTGCGTGCCACCATGCCCAGCTAATTTCTTGTATTTTTAGTACAGATAGGGTTTTACCATGTTGGCCAGTCTGGTCTCCTGACCTCAGGTGATCTGCCCACCTCAGCCTCCCAAAATGCTGGGATTATAGGCGTGAGCCACTGCGCCCAGTCTGAATTTAAAATGACACTTTAAGCCAGGTGTGGTGGCACATGCCTATAGTCCCCCTACTCAGGAGATAAGCAGGATGTTGGCTTAAGCCCAGAAGTTGAATACCAGCCTGGGTAACATAGCAAGACCCCATCTCAATAAATAAATAAAAATAATTATACTGGCATTGTAAGATTGTTGTAAAAATTAAATGAGAAAATTCATAAAGTCTCTCTCACTTAAATATCTACCTTACAGGTGGCAGGGCAACTACCACTTTCTGCTGCATTTATTGTATTCAGCATCATACTTGAAATTAAGTGAAATAGGCAAGAAAAATAAATGACATACAGATTAGAAAGGAAGAAGTAAAACTGTGTTTGCAGGCATGATTGTATAGATGGAAGGTCCTAAGAAAACTAAAGAAAAGCTCCTGGAACTAATATTAGAAAATCTATCCTGCTTTCTGGATTTTTATATACTAACAAAGAACAATTGAAAATTTTATTTAAAATGTCATTTATAATGGCATCAAAAAACATGAAAAATTTGTGGATAAATTTAACAAAATACATGCAAGATCTGAACATTAAAAACTAAGAATGTTACTGAGAGAAATTCAAGAAGACTCAAGAATGCTATGCCATACATGTGTTCGAAGACTAAGTATTAAGTCAGTTCTTCGCAAACTCACCTGTAGAGTCAACTCAATCCCTATTAAAATCTCAACAGGTGGCCAGGTGCAGTGGCTCAGGCCTGTAATCCCAGCACTTTTGGAGGCTGAGGTGGGTGGATCACCTGAGGTCAAGAGTTTGAGACCAGCCTGACCAGTATGATGAAACCCTGTCTTTACTGAGCATAGTGGCATGTGTTTGTAATCCCAACTACTAGGTAGGCTGAGACAGAATTGCTTGAACCTGGGGAGTGGCGGTTGCAATGAGCTGAGATGGAACCATTGTACTCCAGCCTGGGCAGCAGGAGCAAAACTTTGTCTTAAAAAAAAAAAAAGAACGTCAACAGCCTACAAGTTATTGTAGAAATTGATGAGCTAATTCTAAAGTTTTATAGAAATACAAGGGATCTAGGAATAGCCCAAAGAATTTTGAAAAAGAACAAAATTGGAAGACTTATCCTGTCATACTTCAAGACTTTTTATAAAGCTACAGGTAAGACTGTGAGTAATCAAAGAGAATAGAGAATTCAGAAATAGGCTCATACAACATATATGGTCACTTAAGTTTTTTATAGATACCTATGTAATTCAAGGGAGAAAAGACAGTCTTTTTCCATCAGTGGTCTTACAGCAATTTGATATTCATATGGGAAAAAGCTGAATCTTAACCTTTATCTCATTCTTTGTATATATAAAAATTAAGTATAATGGTTCATCAACCTAAGCATAGACTGAAGACAATAAAATGTCTCAAAGAAAATACAGGAGATGTTTGTGACCTTAGGTTACATTTCTTAGGACACAAAACCTGTGAACCATAAATTGCACTTTATCGGAAATTAAAAGGATTTGCTGTTTTTTTTTTTTTTCTTTTTTTTTTTTTTGAGACGGAGTTTTGCTCTTGTTACCCAGGCTGGAGTGCAATGGCGCGATCTCGGCTCATCGCAACCTCCGCCTCCTGGGCTCAGGCAATTCTCCTGCCTCAGCCTCCTGAGTAGCTGGGATTACAGGCACGCGCCACCACGCCCAGCTAGTTTTTTTGTATTTTTAGTAGAGACGGGGTTTCACATGTTGACCAGGATGGTCTCGATCTCTCGACCTCGTGATCCACCCACCTCGGCCTCCCAAAGTGCTGGGATTACAGGCTTGAGCCACCGCGCCCGGCAAGCATTTGCTGTTTGAAAGCCCCTGTTAAGAAAATGAAAGACAAGTTAAAGACTGGGAGAAATATTTGCAAAACATTTTTTTCTTTTTAAATTTTTATTTTTAATTTTTTTTTGAGATTGAGTCTTGTTCTTCCACCCAGGCTGGAGCGCAGTGGGGTAACCTTAACTCACCATAACCTCCACCTCCCAGAATTAAGCAATTCACCTGCCTTACCCTCCTGAGTAGCTGGGATTAGAGGCCACGCCTGGCTATTATTCATATTTTTGGTAGAGATGGGGTTTCACCATGTTGGTCAGGCTGGTCTCGAACTTTTGACCTCAGGTGATTCACCTGCCTTGACCTCCCAAAATGATGGGATTACAGGTGTGAGCCACCACACCACACACCCGGCCAGCCACTGTGCCAGGCCTGTCTGTTTTTTTTTTTTTTTTTTTGAGACAGAGTTTCGCTCTTGTTACCCAGGCTGGAGTGCAATGGCACGATCTTGGTTCACCACAACCTCCGCCTCCTGGTTTCAAGCAATTCTCCTGTCTCAGCCTCCCGAGTAGCTGGGACTACAGGCGTGTACCACCATGCCTAGCTAATTTTTGTATTTTTAGTAGAGACAGGGTTTCACCATGTTGACCACGATGGTCTCCCATCTCTTGACCTCGTGATCCACCCGTCTCAGCCTCCCAAAGTGCTGAGATTATAGGCATGAGCCCGACCTTGCCTGTCTGTTTTAAATTTCATTTTCAGTCTTTTCCTGAGAAGCTACAAGACATTTTTTGACAACTTGTATCTAAAATACATAAAGAACTGTTATAACTCAATAAGGAGACTAGCAATACAATTTTTTTTTTTTTAGATCGAGTCTCATTCTGTTGCCCAGACTGGAATGCAGTAGTACAGTTTCGGCTCACTGCAACTCGTGAGTTCACGCGATTCTTCTGCATTAGCCTCCCAAGTAACTGGGATTACAGGCATGCACCACCACACCTAGCTAATTTTTTTTGTATTTTTGGTAGAGATGGGATTTTACCATGTTGGCCAGGCTGGTCTCGTACTTGTGATCTCAGGTATCCATCCACCTCGGCCTCCCAAAATGCCAGGATTACAGGCATGAGCCACTGTGCCTGGCCCACAATACAATTTTTTAAATGAACAAAAGATTTGAGCAGATGCTTCACTAAAGAAAATGAAAATGTGTAAGCACTTAAAAAGATGCTTAACATCGTTAGCCATTAGAGAAATGCAAATTAAGATCGAAATGAGGTACTACTACATGCCTGTTAGAATGGAGAAATTAAAAGTGACTCATGCCTGTAATCGCAATACTTTGGGAGATTGAGACGGCAGGATCACTTGCCTTCAGGTGTTCAAGACCAGCCTGGGCAATGTGGCAAAACCCTTAGGAAATCTCTACAAAAAAATACCAAACATTAGCCAGGTAGTAAATAGAACTACTGATACACATATTAGCACGGATGAATTTTAAAAGCATATACAAAAAGACAGATAAAAAGTTACCTAATATATTATTCCAGTGATAAGAAATTCTAGAAAAGGCAAAACTACAGTGACAAGCACATCAGGATTTTCTGGGGCCAGTGAGGAGTCGGGAAAAGGGTAATTGGAGTGGGGATGAGGGATTTGGGGGTTGATGGAAGTATTTGAGGGGTGATGGAAATATTCTGAATCTTGATTATGTTGGTGGTTACATGCTCTATATATTTGTCAAAACTCATTGGACTGTATACTTATGTGAGTTTTATTGCCTGTAAACATACTACAATAAAACTGCTTATTTAGGCTGGCCGTGGTGGCTCATGCCTGTAATCCCAGCAGTTTGAGAGGCCAAGGCGGAAGGATCACCTGAGATCAGGAGTTTGAGACAAGCCTGGCCAAAATGGTGAAACCCTGTCTCTACTAAAAATACAAAAAATTAGCTGGGCATGGTGGTGCATGCCTGTAATCCCAGCTACTCAGGAGGCTGCGGCAGGAGAATTGCCTGAACCCAGGAGGCGGAGGTTGCGGTGAGCTGAGATGGCACCATTGCACTCCAGCCTGGGTAACAAGAGCGAAACTCCATCTCAAAAAAAAAAAAAAAAAAAATTAGTCCAGGCATGGTGGCTCACACCTGTAATTCCAGCACTTTGGGAGGCCTAGATGGGCAGATCACAAGGTCAAGAGATCAAGACCATCCTGGCCAACATGATGAAACCTTGTCTCTACTAAAAAATACAAAAATTAGCTGGGCGTGGTAGCCTGCGCCTGTAGTCCCAGCTACTGAGGAGGCTGAGGCAGGAGAATTGCTCGAACCCAGGAGGCAGAGGTTGCAGTGAGCTGAGAGCGCGCCACTGCTCCCCAGCCTGGTGACAGAGCGAGACCCCATCTCAAAAAAAAAAGCGTGTGTGTGTGTGTGTGTGTGTGTGTGTGTGTGTGTGTATTTAGCCAGTGTGGTGGCAGGTGCCTATAATATCAGCTCCTTAGGAGGCTGAGGCAGGAAAATAGATTGAACCCAGGAGGTGGAGATTGTAGTGAGCTGAAATCATGCCACTGCATTCCAGCCTGGGCAATAGATCGAGACTCCGTCTCCAAAAAAAAAAAAAAAAAAAAGCCACGTAAATATTCACTTTATTGCCAGCAGGAAAACCATCACTTCCTGCCTGACTTACTACTGTTTAAAAACACAAATTCACTTATATTCAGTCAACGTGATAAACTAGAGGGCTGCAGTTGGCATGTGACCAAGTGACTTGCCAGTGTGATTATGCTGCAGGTGCCAGAAGACACATCTCAAGGGTTAGTCAGCAGATGTTGCCCAGAAATACGAAAAGAGAATCTGAATGCGGTCCAGGCACTAACGCACAGCAGTATATACGCTTTTATTTTGCTGGAAGGGCCTTTTGGCACAACCCATGCATTGGTGTTTGATCATGTTTCACCTAAACCAAATGTGTCTGTTAAGTTTTTTTTTGTTTTTTTTTTTAATTTGAGGTAGATTTAGGTGTGAAGGGGAAAAAGGTTTTAGCCCTTTTCCTGTCATAGACCTTACAAAAGAACCAGTTTCTTTACCTGTGTTTGTTGAGGTTGTTGGTGAGCGTTTGAAATCTTTATTAGTTGGCTTGCTGCTAACTGAAAATCGAGGACAGTTGGGGGAGTGCATGACTCCACGTTTCACCTAAGCTTTCTCTGTAAAGGGGTCTCCCTAGCAAGATCTTCAGTGCAGTCAGTCACCAAGGGAGTGGCTTAAAGTGCTTAATATGCATAAGCTGGCTTCAGGACAAATGCATGTTCTATATTACAAAAATCCTGGGTGGAAAAAAAAACAAATTTACCTATATGTTTTTGTAAAGGGCATATCTAAATCAAAATAATCTGGAAAATGACAATAAAATAGAATGGTGGAAAAGTTTATCTTGAACAAATGCTGACAAAATGAAAGTACCATAGCAATATTAGTGTGGGATAAAATAGACTTCATATTGATGAAAGATGTAATCTCCTAAAAGAAATAACAGGAATGCTGGTGAACATAACTTTGAAATATATAAAGGAAAGCTAAAGGAAAAGTCTAATGGAATACAAGTATAGATTGACAAACTCACAGTCTCAGTGGAAGATTGGAATAGATTTCTCATGGGTCAGCAGATCAAGTAGATAGAAAAGAAGTATATAAAAGATTACAATAACACAATTAGATGCATGTAATAGAGTTTACATACTCTTCAAAACTTGTAATAAATCAGCTTGCAAACATTTAAGTCCTTCCACAAAGAAAATCACAGTAAAATAGGGATATAATTCACTTCCCTCCTAGGGAGGTAATGTGTATAAAAGTGCTTAAGGTATAAAGCCTTAGAAAATGTTCGTTCCTTTTATTTGTTTTATCCTAGGAACTGCAGCAGTAGGACACACAGACAAGATCGGGCGATTGAAGGAACTCTGTGAGCAGTATGGCATATGGCTTCACGTAGAGGGGTAAGCCGGCGGTGAGGCTGGTGGCTCCCATTGGGCCTGCACAGAGTCCTCGTGAGGACTGGACAGCCAGGTTCTCACTTTGTGGTGATGTTTGTCACAAAGGGCTCTTGGGCCACAGGTTACAAAATAACCCAAATTGGCTTAAGCACAAAGAGATTTTATTGGCTCACATAACTACAAAGACTAGTGTTAAGACTGGCCTCAGGCATGACGTCAGCCAGGATTCAGTGTCTTCCTCCCACCTCTGCTCCCCCAGTCACAGGCACTGTTTCCTCTGTCTGTGGACAGACCTTCTTGTTACAGTGCAAAGTAGCTGCAGAAACTTCAGTCTTCTTTCCAGCCTCGTGGTCAGCTGGAAGTCCCAACTGAAGGCTCATACTGAACTGGCCACTGTGGCTAGCGAGAAAGAATCCTCTGATAATTCAGGTTCTTTGCTCTCCTCTGGAGCAGGTAGTGCTGTCTCCTTCCCGCAAAGCGCATGTTCTGCTAGAGGAAATGGGAGTGGCGCCCCAGAAAGCTGTTGGAGGGCCGTTAAGAGAAGCAGGGGGAATGGAAGTGAGGCGGCCAGAGTAGGCCATATCCACCACATCATACAGGGAGGTTTGTTTTTTATCCCTAAGTAAAGAATGATGACTGGAAAATGGGATCTGTGAAAGAGAATAATAGTCCTCTTGTACTAAATGAGCAGGGGTAATTCCTGAAACATGTTTCCATTAAAGTGCATTTTCAATATTTTCCTGAATTTGTATAAACCACATCTTCTGTTGCTGTTATAAAAGCTAATAACACATTAAAAAGATACTTAAATGTCACCTTGCAACAGCTCAGCCTTTATTTTTTTAAGTACGTAGTGAATAAGCAACAGTAAATAATTAGTTCTTAGACTGGTGTTTTTTCTTCCAGCGTGAATCTGGCAACATTGGCTCTAGGTTACGTCTCCTCGTCAGTGCTGGTATGTTGTTGATTTACTGAATATTGGTATTTGTAAGAAGGAATTTAAAAATCACTCAATCCCTGGTGGCTCTTCACAGTTTTTATGAATGGAGGAGGGTGATGGGTTTATGTGTTCTGATCATCTAACCAAGAGTTGTTCTTGTTTTGGTAGGCTGCAACCAAATGTGATAGCATGACGATGACTCCAGGTCCGTGGCTGGGGTTGCCAGCTGTTCCTGCAGTGACACTGTATAAGCACGACGACCCTGCATTGGTATGCTTCCCTTCACTGGGGACGGAGCACACATTATTTGGCTGTGGGGTCCAAATACAGAAAAATACGGGAAAAAGTGAAAAACATCCTTAGTTTCACTTCTGTTTCATTTTTTAAAAAGAAATTTGTAGCATGAAACTTTTTAGTGACATTTTATGATTGTATAGTATTCTGTCACAATTTAACTATTCTCCATTTATGAACTTTTAGGATGTTTTCAGATTTTTGTTATTGAAATAATGAGGCCGTGAACATCTTTCTGTGTTTCTGATATTTCCTTAGAATAGGTTCCCAGTTGTGGAATTACTGAGTGGGGGAATTTTAAGCCTCCTGATCCACATTGTCCAACAGGTGTTTTTTTGGATATGGAGTCTCGCTCTGTCGGCCAGGCTGCAGTGCAGTGGTGAGATGATCTTGGTTCACCGCAGCGTCTACCTTCTGGGTTCAGGCAATTCTTCTGCCTTAGTCCTCCAAGCAACTGGGATTACAGGCATGTGCCACCACATCTGGCTTATTTTGTATTTTTAGTAGAGGCAAAGTTTCACCATGTTGGTTTAGTTGGTCTCAAACTCCCGACCTCCTGATCTGCCTGCCTTGTCCTCCCAAAGTGTTGGGATTACAGGCTTGAGCCACTGCGCCTGGCCACATGTTTTCTTTTTTAAATCATAGTTGTGGGCTGGATGTGGTGGCCCATGCCTGTAATCCCAGCACTTTGCAGGGATGAGGTGGGCAGATCGCTTGAGCCCAAGAGATTGATACCAGCCTGGGCAACATGGTGAAACCCCATCCCTACAAAAAAATACAATAGAATTAGCCAGGCATGGTGATGTGAGCATGTAGTCCCAGCTGCTCAGGAGGCTAAAGTGGGAGGACTGATTGAGCCATGGAGAGCAAGGCTATAGTGAGCTGTGATTGCACCACTGCACTCCAGCCTGGGTGACAGAACGAAAATGAAACCCTGTCACCAAAAAAATAATAATAATAATAATAATAGCATGGTTCTTGATAACAGGCCACTGTGAAAATAAGGTTTAAGTGTTTTCTGCTAAAACACTGTCTGCCATGTTGCTCAGCTAATAATGGCCAGCTGTTTGAGGATATGCAGAGCTACCATCAAAGTGGGGAGTCTTTTGAATGGCTGGGCTCTGGGATGTGACCCACTGGGATTTTTACCCTGGCTTTGCCACTGTCTTACTGTGAATCCTCAGACAAACCAAGGGCTCTGAGTGAAGTTACGTAGACTATTTAACTCAGAGTTATTGGAAGATCAAATGGATAATGCAAGCCAAGTCACTAGTATGGGATCTAGCTCATACTAGGTGGGTAGCAAATGGTAGCTGGCTGGTTATATTTTGAGATTGCAATGGCTTTGATTAATAAACCTCTTTTGGCTTTTTTAGACTTTAGTTGCTGGTCTTACATCAAATAAGCCCGCAGACAAACTCCGTGCTCTGCCTCTGTGGTTATCTTTACAATACTTGGGACTTGATGGGATTGTGGAAAGAATCAAGCATGCCTGTCAACTGGTGAGTAGCCTGACATTTAAAAGAGTCAGAGAAAGACTCCTTGGCCAAAGCAGAGACAGAAAAACATCTCATTTCTGTACCTTCCATCCAGAGCCTCACTGTCTGGTGAGGCAGTGACTAATCACCCTGCATGTATATGTTTCTTTTTCAAAGTTCTGGGAGAAAGCTGCTGGGTTGTCCCAGCATTTGTATGCAGATGAACTAAGATGAAAAGGCATTGTCAGCATGGGATCAGAAGAGAAGTGTCAGATGATTTCAAGGGAGTGGAGAAGGATTCGAAAGGTGGAGGGTGGGGAATGAACGTTGCCCTTGATGGACCGAGTCTCTGCGGTGAGGGAATAGGAAGGTTAGAAGGTAGTTAGGGAAGACATGGATGTTTTGAAAACCAGCTGGCTCGGGTTCCCAATTTGCAGGGCTCTTGGAAACAATTCTAATTCTCTCTCCATTTTAGGAGAGAGAGAGAATTGTGAAAAATCCATAATTATGCTGTAGTTCAGTGTCTTAGACCATTCGGGCTTCCGTAACAAAATACCTTAGACTGGGTAATTTATAAACAACAGAAATTTATTGCTTACAGTTCTGGAGGCAAGAAGTCTCAGATGAAGGTGCCAGGAGATTCCGTGTCTGGTGAGGGCCGGTTCCTCATAGACACCACCTTCCATGTGGCCTTATGTGGCAGAGGGGATAAATGCACTCTCTTGAGCCTCTTTTAGAAGGTCACTAATCCTATTCATGAGGGCTCCATCCTCATGCCCTAATCACCTCCCAGTCGCCACAACTCATTTGGGAATGGGATTAGGTATCAGTGCAGGAATTTTGTAGGGACATAAACATTCAGACTTTTCTAAATAACATTTAGAAAACAAAAGAACAAGGTCATGTGTACTCAGGGTTAGAGCTGAGCCTTGCCTAAGCTCAGAAGTGTGTCACCTCCATTTTCTTACCTGTGAAATAGAAATCATATGACACAGGATTGCTAGGAGGGCTCAAAGAGCAAATACAGGTGGAGCTTTTGCGGTAGCGTGTGTTCATATAGTAAGTTATGCATAAGGCTTGAAAATCTTTGTTTTAAATATATTCTTTGGGAGTTGGCACTTCCTCGAGTATTATTTCTTTATTTAAGAAAAATAGGCCAGGTACGGTGGCTCATGCCTATAATCCCAGCACTTTGGGAGGCTGAGGTCAGGAGTTCGAGACCAGCCTGTCTGACATGGTGAGACCTCTGTCTCTGTTAAATTAGCTGGGCATGGTGGTGGGTACCTGTAGTTCCAGCTACTCAGGAGGCTGAGATAGGGAGAATTGCTCGAACCCAGGAGGCAGAGGTTGCAGTGGGCCAAGATCATGCCACTGCACTCCAGCCTGGGCGACAGAGCGAGACTCCATCCCAAAAAGGAAACCCACAAGAATAAGTAATTTCATACTGCTCTAGCTGTGGTCCCTTGGTTCATGATAAGTTAGGATAGTTTAACAGTTTTAAGATTTGTGCACTGGTCTAGGCAGGATGTCTCATGCCTGTAATCCCAGCATTTTGGGAGGTCAAGGCAGGTGGATCACTTAAGCACGGGAGTTCAAGACCAGCCTGGGCAATGTGGTGAAACCCTATCTCTACAAAAAATACAAAATTTAGCCAGGCATAGTGGCGCATACCTGTGATCCCAGCTACTGAGGAGGCTGAGGTGGGAAGATCACTTGAGCCCAGGAGGTCAAGATTGCAGTGAGTCCAAATAGCACTGCTGCACTATTCCATTCCAACCTGGGCGACAGAGTAAGACCCTGTCTCAAAAGAAAATAAAGATTGATGCTCACATTTACAAAAGCACTGCATTTTTTGCAAACTGTCTCACTGTGCTAATTAGCTCATGTCTTAAGATGTGGCTCTTAGGAAAGATAAGCCTTTATTGCCATAGTACTTTAGTTTAGAGATGGTTTAGGTGCTCAGGGGAGATTTTTTCAATTCCCCTTGGCTGTGGAGTGCAGGAGAATAATGCCATTAACTACCAAACCCTTGAGGTCACCACAGTTCTGGCATCTTCCTTTAGGCAGAACTGTATACTCCCGAGGATTTGAATGCTGCCCTGCTGCTGACTCACAGGCTAAATGCATGTTAAAGTGCATGGACATTTACCAGACATGGTGATCTGTATATATCTATGCCTTAGTGTCCACAGTGGAGCATACATTCTCTGAGAGCGGAAATCAGCATTCTCCCCTCATCCTCCTCCTTCCTGTTCTTCTCCCTCTCTCTCCTCTTTTCTCTTCTGTAGTAGTTTGAACATTCACCTCAGTGTCAGGCACCAGGAAGTACTTCCAGCATCTCATTTGATCCCTGCAAATACACCAGAAGGTAATGTCCACTGATGACAGTATATTCAGAATTAGTTTTCTTTGTTTTTTTTTTTTTTTTTTTTTTTTTGAGACGGAGTCTTGCTCTGTTGCCCAGGCTGGAGTACAGTGGCACGATCTTGGCTCACTGCAGCCTCTGCCTCCCAGGTTAAAGTGATTCTCCTGTCTCAGCCTCCTGAGTAGCTGGGACTACAGGCACCTGCCACCACATCCAGCTAATTTTTGTATTTTTAGTAGAGATGGGGTTTCACCATGTTGATCAGGCTGGTCTTAAACTCCTGACCTTGTGATCCACCCACCTCGGCCTCCCAAAGTGCTGGGATTACATACAGACATGAGCCACAGCGCCTGACCAGAATTAGTTTTCTTTTTTTTTTTTTGAGATGAAGTGTCGCTCTTGTTACCCAGGCTGGAGTGCAATGGCGCGATCTCGGCTCACCGCAACCTCCGCCTCCTGGGTTCAGGCAATTCTCCTGCCTCAGCCTCCTGAGTAGCTGGGATTACAGGCACGCGCCACCATGCCCAGCTAATTTTTTGTATTTTTAGTAGAGACGGGGTTTCACCATGTTGACCAGGATGGTCTCAATCTCTTGACCTCGTGATCCACCCGCCTCGGCCTCCCAAAGTGCTAGGATTACAGGCTTGAGCCACCGCGCACCCGGCCATTGCCAGCTCCTGAGCGTGCCGTGGCCTCTCATTTGTCATTGGTCTCCCCCAGTGTTCAGTACTGTGCCTTGCACATGTTTATACTCAGTAGCTTTTGAATGAAAGACAGACTTACACTGCAAATACAACAGATTCCTGTGTCTTACTAGAAGCTGCTTTTCTTGAATTACTACAAGTAACTTTCAAATGAAAAATTGGGGAATATTTGCAGATGTTGAAATACAAAAACGGGTGGCTGAACTTAGAAACCACCAAGTCGTATTTGACTTCTTGTCTGAGATCCGCGTTTGCAGACCTCCACAGCCCCTTCTAAAAACATTGCTTCTTTGTGTGCTGTGTTCATCTAAGGAAATTACATGCGCTATTTTTTGTCATTTGCAGAGTCAACGGTTGCAGGAAAGTTTGAAGAAAGTGAACTACATCAAGATCTTGGTATACTATGATCATTTCATCTGTTTTCAAAACAAATAACTTTTTTTAAACTTCAACTTAGAATGATTTTCTCCACATTTGATACATTTCAGTGGATTTGTGGTAGCTCCAGTAAAAAAAACAAAAATTGTGCATATATTTATGACCTAATTATACAGTGAGCCTGAAGTCAAGAAATTTGTACCACATAATGTTTAATTCCTACGGTCATTTTCATATACTTCATTTATTGTGTTAAAGTTTAGAATTGCACAGAGGTAAATACCATTGACTTCAGATGCTCAAGGCTTTTGGCACACCCATCTTCCCGAAATGAAAACTCACTTTGTGTCTCACAGTGCTTTGGGCTTCCCTTTCTGAAACCTTCTGCTGTCAGAGTTTTCCTTTGCAAGAAGCAAGAGAAAGAGAAAAGCACATGGTCCTGCCCTTGTCTTCTGCTGTATCTTCCCGAAGTGAATCCAGCAGCGATTGCTCCCTAGGCATAACTAGACAAGGAAATAAGGATTTAGGAGAGGTAACCGCCAGAGTGAGGATCAGTTCAGGTTTAATGTTTCCGTGTTTTGCTTCATTGTATTTTAGAACTTCAGGAAATAATGTCAAATTCTGATTTAGATAGGTTCACTCAGTGTTTCTTTGACAATTCTACAAGGTATGGTTAAGATTACAACTAGTATGAGTGTATTCTGGGTTCAAGTTAGTAGAGTTTATTTTTCTTTTAGAACATGGTTTGGTTTAAATACAAAAAGTAGCTGGGCGTGGTGGCACACACCTGTGGTCTCAGCTACTGGGGAGGCTGAGGTGAAAGAATCGCTTGAACCCAGGAGGTGGAGGTTGCGGCGAGCCGAGATTGTGCCACTGCACTCCAGCTTGGGTGACAGAGACCCTGTCTCAAGGAAGAAGAATTTTAAAACTGGTTTGGTGTAAGGTGGTGGCTGCTCTGCATTGCCTTCTGAGTTAGAGTGTTGAGCCAGTTGACCCGAGTTGTAGCTGGGGTTGGGGTTCTAGCCTTAGATGAGGAAGTGGACTGCTGGATAATCAAGGAATGAATGTAGGAGGCTTAGGCTCTGCTTCTAGCAGTGCCACAGGTTGGCCCTATGACATTGAGTCATTTTCTTTCGGGGCCTACGAGTTCCACTGTCAGAGATGTTGGTTGAACTCCTCTGATTGCAAACAGAAACACAAATGATGGCCTAGATTGAGCAAGCTGTGAGGAATACAGGCAGTGCCGGGCCTGTCTGCTTTCCCGCCCCTGCTGTGCCGAGCCCACTCAGCTCTTCCCCGTCCACGCTGCCCCCTCGTTCTCACGTCGGGCGAGCCAGTGGTGCCGGTTAATCACCAGCTGTTTCGGTGCATCTCTGTAGACCACACGGGCCCAGGCAGAAGGCCTGCTCTGTCCCTGCTTCCAGTGGCTGTTTTCTCAGTACAGTGTGCAGTAATCGGCAGACATCATGAAGCACTGTGGCTTGTCATCAGCAGCAGCAGCATCACCACCATCCCAGCTGCTGCTTGTGAAATGTGTGCGTGGTGCGACATGCGTATTTCATTCAACCCTCCCAACAGTCTCCTTTCTACATGGGGTACACCAATTCTTCGAATGACTGCTTTCTTATCTTTCAGATCCTGATTCAAATCTCACCTCTTTAGAAAGGCCTTTCCTGACCCCCTAAGATAACTTACTGTCAGACATCACTCCATCCCCTGGGTCTTCTTCATCCACTTTTTACTATCTGAAGTGAAATCTGTTTGTTTTTTCCTATAGAAGCTTTGTCAAGGCCTTACCCAAGACCCTTGCCCAGAAAGCCCAGTGCCAAGCCCAGACATGCTCCCCACCCCTTGCTGTTCAGCTTACAGTCATCTTTCTGTTTCTTCTTTGTGGATTCACCTTTTTGTGTGTGAGCCCAGCAGTACTTTAGCCTCTTTTGGGTTCTTGGTTATATTTAATCCAATATTTTGGATATTCGGAATTGATAATTTCAGTATTGGCTCAGTCTACTGTATTGCTAGAACCGGAAGTGCCTCTGGCCCTGTGAAATATTTCTTACACATGTTGACATTTGAGACTACTGAGTTCAAAGAAAGAAAAGATGATCATAATACTCATCAAAGTCTTGGCACTCAATTCATTCTGCCTTCTCCTAAGGATGGGAGAATGGGTGGATTATTTTGGTGCCTTTTTGTTCCTGCTTGCTTATTGGTCTTGCTCCCCTATTTAAATATTAAGCCCCGGCCCATTCTTTTTAAAGTATCACGTTTTACTTGTCTCTGTGAAAGTTAAAGATGATAGATGTGAAGTCGCTTAGCACAGGAACTGGCTCTGTAAATAACTGACACATTAGAATTCACATCCTGCTTGATCTGAATCCTGTACACACAGTCCTTTGAAAAGTTAGGAGAAAAGATCTTAGGCCACCACTTCCTGTCTTTCCAAGTTAGCGTTTCCTGTTGTGGCCCTGCCAGTGAGTTATCACACTCAGAGCCTTGGAACAGAAGCTTTATGACTAGAGTTATAGGACTGGGATTGTTGGATGCTTAAAGATCTCCCCCAGGGTGCCTACACGCCCCTGTAGCACCACAGAGCCTGCCAAGGACATGGCTGCTCACGGTACCCTGACCCCATGGGCTTGACCAGGTCAGGGTATACTGCTTGATGCAGAACAGGAACTTGGTGCCGGGTTATCATAATGTAGTGAAGGTTTTCATCTGTTAGGAAACTCACTAATGAAGTTAGCCATCTGTGGCTTGTCTTAATAATAAGCACATATATTAGAAAATACATAGATCCAGTTCTCAGCTGTGCTTGTCTACATTGCCAGCAGGATTTGCATCTTGTTCTGAAAGTTTTACAAAGGGGAACAAAGTACTTGTTTTCCCCCTTTTTTTCTATAAATATAAAAAATTCGGCCGGGCACGGTGGCTCAAGCCTGTAATCCCAGCACTTTAGGAGGCCTAGGCGAGTGGATCACGAGGTCAAGAGATCGAGACCATCCTGGTCAACATGGTGAAACCCCATCTCTACTAAAAATACAAAAAATTAGCTGGGCATGGTGGTGCGTGCCTGTAATCCCAGCTACTCAGGAGGCCGAGGCAGGAGATTTGCTTGAACCCAGGAGGTGGAGGTTGCAGTGATCCGAGATGCGCCATTGCACTCCAGCCTGGGTAACAAGAGTGAAACTCCGTCTCAAAAAAAAAAAAAAAAAAAAAAAATTCTAGTTGGTCAGGCGTGGTGTCTCATGCCTGTAATCGCAATACTTGGAAGGCCAAAGTAGGAGGATTAATTGAGGCCAAGAGTTCAAGACAAGCCTGGACAACATAGCAAGACCCCATCTCTTAAAAAAAAAAAAATTAAGTTTCAATAAATCCTGCATAATTTCTGGGATTCTTGAAAGCATGGGCTCTCTCAGCACTGAGTCTCATGTCACTGCTTCTTACTAGTTTTAATCTTTAATGTTAGACCTGTGTTTGTCCCTTGTTAAAATTTCTTCCTGCTTTAATTTCAATGTACCAGTATCACATAGCTTATAATTCACAGTAGACTCTCAGGGCTGGTTCAGAGTTATTTTTAAAAATTTGATTTTTGTTTCTCTAGCAGCTGAAATATTTGAACTTTTTAATGTGTTTATTTACAAATAGAGCATCTCTAACCTATTTTTCGAACTCAGCATTTTGTTTTGAAGGTGTCTGGAGTTTAATATGAGACTTCCATTCTTCCAGGTAGAAGATGAGCTCAGCTCCCCAGTGGTGGTATTCAGATTTTTCCGGGAATTGCCAGGCTCAGGTAGGTGATTTTTAAAAGAGGGTTATTTTCTTTCTTTCTTTTTTTTTGAGATAGAGTCTCGCACTATCACCAGGCTGGAGTACAGTGGCATGATCTCAGCTCACTGCAACCTCTGCCTCCTGGGTTCCGGTAATTCTTGTGCCTCAGCCTCCTGAGTAGCTGGGATTACAGGTACGTTGCCACCACACCCGACTAATTTTTGTATTTTTAGTAGAGACAGGGTTTCACCACGTTGGCTAGGATGGTCTTGATCTCCTGACCTCATGAGCCTCCCACCTCGGCCTCCCAAGGTGCTGGGATTACAAGCATGAGCCACTGCACTCAGCCAAGAGGGCTATTTTCATATCTGTGTTAAAGGCTTTGAATTTGATACTATTTCAGCTTAAACAGATAGTTGAAAATATTTTTATTCCTAAAATCTTCAGTCATTTCAGAAAAAATGTAACAATTTTTATGAAAACTTCAGCTCGAAATGCCTTAGCATTTTGCTGATAGTTGGCGGTGATTAAACAATCAGCAAATAGTTTGGGTTCCCAAATTCCCTGGACAGTCCTGGAATGGCTGAGAAAGAGTTGTTTCAACATAAAGCTTTTGGGGTCTTAGCTAGGCACGGTAGCTCATGTCTGTAATCCCAGCACTTTGGGAGGCTGAGGCAGGCTGATCGCCTGAGGTCAGGAGTTTGAGACCAGCCTGGCCAATATGATGAAACCCAGTCTCTACTAAAAATACAAAAATTAGCCAGGTGTCATAGTGCACGTCTGTAATCCCATCTACTCGGGAGGCAAAGGCAGAATTGCTTGAATTGGGAGGTGGAGGTTGCAGTGAGGCAAGATCACACCACTGCACTCCAGCCATCTCAAAAAAAAAAAAAAAAAAAAAGTTCCAGGTGCCACCAACGTAGTCCAGGGCACCATTCTTTTTTTACCTGGATGGCCATTGTCCCCTCTCAACAGATCTCAGACTTTCCTACATTCTGCACAGCCCATTCCAGACCATCTTCCAGCTGACAGAGTGAGGGTTGTAGGCAGAAGTCACATGGTATTGAAGCAGGACATGTTCCCTTGTCCCCCTCACAGGGCATGCGATGGGGGTGTGGCTTCTTCACTGCCCCGCTGCTGCTCAGACCTCTAGGAGAGCATAGGAACAGGCGGGCTGTGGGGCTCTGACCCCACGGTAGCATCTGGGGTCGAATGTTTACAGCTCCTGAGGCCCCCGTGGGCATGTTACAGGGTGCTCTTTAGGTGGCTCGTTTTAGTTGCCTCATTTAGACCCCCTTCCTTATCACAAGGACAGAGGGATTCGTGTATCGCCGGTTCTTGCCTTGGTGTACCAGAAGAAGCGCATCACACCTGGGCTTGTAGAATGAGTGCCCGGTTTTTTTTGAGTGGAAGTGGCTCTCTGCTGATGAGGAGGTCAGAGGGAGATGGTTTTTCCCTGGAGTTGGGGGGCTTGGTGGCCCTGGCTAAATAAACTCTACCTTGTTTCGCTGGTTGATGGCTTGGCCTGCCGGTGTCTGTTGGGATGCTCTTCTGCTGGCCTGCTCTCCATGACCAGCCCCTTGTGTCGTCTTCTACCAGTGTGTTCCTCTTACCGTCCAGCCGCTTCTGTCTGGCCGCTAGGGTCTCAGGTTTTTATAGGCTCAGGATGGGGGTGTGGCAGGCCAGCGTGGTCTTGGGAAATGCAACATTTGGGGGAAAGCATGAGTGCCTGTCGTCATCTAGGTCTGTGGGGGTAGAGCCCTAGCCAGGGACCCACCTTTCTCTCCCCAGCACTTCCCCACTTTTTTTTTTTTTTTTTTTTTTTTGAGACGGAGTTTCGCTCTTGTTGCCCAGGCTGGAGTGCAATGGCGCGATCTCGGCTCACCGCAACCTCCGCCTCCTGGGTTCAGGCAATTCTCCTGCCTCAGCCTCCTGAGTAGCTGGGATTACAGGCACGCACCACCATGCCCAGCTAACTTTTTGTATTTTTAGTAGAGACGGGGTTTCACCATGTTGACCAGGATGGTCTCGATCTCTTGACCTTGTGATCCGCCCGCCTCGGCCTCCCAAAGTGCTGGGATTACAGGCTTGAGCCACCGCGCCCGGCACTTCCCCTTTTGTGTCATTTAAAGGGACCACGCTTTTCCCTTCCCAGCACTACCATATCAGTGTCACTTCCCTGGTGAGAGAGCCCATGGGTATCTTACCGTTTCAGCTGAACAAAGGCTAGGCTCTTCACCACGCCCCATGAGGCCTGGCACCCTGCCCCGACTTCCCCTCTCCTCTACCACTCTCCCTCTTGTTCATGTGCCTCATTCAGAGCAGTCTTCTCTGTGCTCCAGGAACACTCTGCCCTTTCCTTCCGCGAGGTCTTCACACTTGGGGTTCCCTTTGCCTCACACACATTTCTCTCTTCTGGTGTCGGCTCTTCCTCACCATTTCAGTCTCCACTAAGTGTCTGCTTCCTCAGAGCCTTCCCTGCCTGTCCTGCCTGAGGGGGCTGCATCATACTGTATCAGAGCCCCCAGCGTCTCTCGTGGCACTAACAACCACATGGAGTGGTTTTCTTTATGATATGTTTCCTCAACTAAAATGTAAGCTCCACGATGACAGAAACCTTACCTGCCTTCCGTTCCATGTGGCTGGCATGGGTGGCACCCACCGCAAAGCCAAGCTGATGATCGTGGCGCTCTCACAGACCTCACACAGTGCTCAGTAGACTAGTTAGTAACTTACAGCAAAAATGGCTGTTTTCTTTTGCAATCCCTTGAAAGCAAACCTTTTTAAAAATGAACTTAATATTCTGTTTTATGTGAATGTATTCAATGTTACATAGATCACGAGAAAAAAAAAGGAAATGTAACCCTTCTGTCAGATACTACATTTGAATTGAGTAACACGAGTCTGTTCCCTCGGGTTAATATTGGGATGGAAATGATGTGGGGGTGGGATGGTGTTTGTTTCGGTCAGCCGTGTTTCTGGGAGTGACTCCCTTTCTATGTTTTGGTGTCAGATCCAGTGTTTAAAGCTGTCCCAGCGCCCAACATGACACCTTCAGCAGTCGGCCGGGAGAGGCACTCGTGTGACGCACTGAATCGCTGGGTGAGAAGTGCAGCTGCCTGCCTTCCCTTTCAGGTCCCCGGGCATCCCTGTCCGACCTGCTGGTGAGGGTGACACATGCTCGTGTATGGGAGCTGAGGCCTACAGGAGGAGCCGCCCTGCGGTGCTGGGCCTGCTCTGGGGTTCTGTTCCCGGTTCCGTCACCGCCTCGTGAGCTGGGTCATCTCTGGCCAGTCCTTCCAGCATCATTCCCTCAGTTTCCTTGCTGCCGCATAAGGCTGTGAGACAGCATGCCAAACGTGGGCCGCAGGGCAGCTGCCATGGGTCTGGTGAGCCGGGCAGCACAGCCAGGACCCCCAGGCGGAGTCTGCTAGCATCTGCGGCTGGCGGTGTGGAGTCAGGCCCTGTGCTTTGGCAGCTTTCTGGGCCCTGAATAGCAGCTGTAGGATTTGAGTCTGAAGGGTGCTGTGAAGTGAGGGGTGGCGGCAGCAGCAGTGGTCCTAGCCAACGCTGGACACACCCTGCCTAATGGGGTTGGCAGATAAGTCATGGCACATCCATGCTGGGGCTGAGCACAGCCGTGAGAGACCACAGAGCTGAATGTCCCATGCAGAAGGGAACTGGTCACCATAAAAGACGTGAAACCATGCAGGTTACTAAGCAGTGTCAAGTAGCGTGTTTTATGACAACAAAAAATACAGCTCCCTCCCCGACACTTGCACAGAGAAAAGACACTGGGGGTAGACCACATGGCAACAGTGGGTGTCGCTTAGCAATGTATTGTGGGCCATTGTTATTTTCTCCTTTTGGTTTACCTGTATTTCCTAGGTTTTTCTACAATGAACTTGTATTTATTAATCAGAAAAAAAAGTAAAATTTACTGTTTTTAAAAAGCTGCTCTAAGTATTCAGAGACAGTCAAAAGATGAGAAGGAGCCAGCTCTCTGGGAGCCTCTTTGGTCTGGGCTGACTGGATGAGGGTGGGTCCTGAAGAACTCTGAGTCCGTTACAGGAGGTGTTGATTCTGTCTTCCTCCCCACAGCTAGGAGAACAGCTGAAGCAGCTGGTGCCTGCGAGTGGCCTCACAGTCATGGATCTGGAAGCTGACGGCACATGTGTACGGTTCAGCCCTTTGATGACAGCAGCAGGTAGGCAGGCTCAGTGGATGCCCTTTGCTTTTGTTGTGCGGCTGCTTGCCCTTAGGATATTCCATTCTCCTAGAGTTATCAGCATCTGTTTTTGGAGGGGCTTTTTCTCTTTTGGGCTAAATTTAGGTAGATTAGCATTCCCATGTAACTTCTCAGAATCAAAATAAGACTTCAGAAGTCACCTGAATTGGCCAGGTGCGGTGGCTCATGCCTATAATCCCAACACTTTGAGAGGCCGAAGCAGGCGGATCATCTGAGGTAAGGAGTTCGAGACCAGCCTGGCCAACATGGCGAAACCCTGTCTCTACAAAAAATACAAAATTAGCCAGGCGTGGTGGTGCATGCCAGTAGTCCCAGCTACTTGGGAGGCTGAGGCAGGAGAATCACTTGAACCCGGGAGGCATAGGCTGCAGTGAGCCGAGATTGCTGCACTGCACTTTAGCCTAGGTAACAGAGGAGACTCCGTCTCAAAGGAAAAAAAAAAAAAAATGTAACCACCTGAATTCCCTTTTTTGTGTTGAGACAGGATCTTGTTGCCCAGGCTGGAGTGCAGAGGCGGGGTCACGGCCCACTGCAGCCTGGACCTCCTGCACTCAAGGGATCTTCCCACCTCAGCCCCTGAGTAGTTGGGACCACAGGCATGAGCCACCACACCCACCTAACTTTTGCATTTTTTGTAGAAATTGGGTTTTGCCATGTTGCCCAAGCGAAATTCCTGTACTTTGATGTCTTGTGACCCTTGGTTTTCCACTGCAAGGGTTCCTTCTCCTAGCAGTACATCACAGTTACCTGGGGAGCTTTAGACACAACCAATGGCTGCCCACCTCCAGAGATTCTAGAATGGAGCCTGGGTATCTGTGTTTTGGTTATTATTACTATTTTTTTTTAGAAACAGGGTCTCACGGCCAGGCGCAGTGGCTCATGCCTGTAATCCCAGCACTTTGGGAGGCCGAGGCTGGTGGATCACGAGGTCAAGAGATCGAGACCATCCCGGTCAACATGGTGAAACCCCGTCTCTACTAAAAATACAAAAAGTTAGCTGGGCATGGTGGTGCGTGCCTGTAATCCCAGCTACTCAGGAGGCTGAGGCAGGAGAATTGCCTGAACCCAGGAGGCGGAGGTCGTGGTGAGCCGAGATCGCGCCATTGCACTCCAGCCTGGGTAACAAGAGTGAAACTCCGTCTCAAAAAAAAAAAAAAGAAAAGAAACAAGGTCTCACTTGTCACCCAGGCTGGAATTCAGTGTCTTGACCATAGCTCATTGCAACCTCAACCTTGGGGGCCCAAACAATCCTGCCTCAGCCTCCCAAGGAGCTGGGACTACAGGCAAGTGCCACCACATTTGGCTAATGTTTTCATTTTTTATTTTATTTATTTTGGGGGGTACTGAGTCTTGTTCTGTCACTCAGGCTGGAGTGCAGTGGCGTAATCTCAGCTCACTGCAACCTCTGCCTCCTGGGTTGAAGTGATTATTCTGCCTCAGCCTCCTGAATAGCTGGGATTGCAGGCGCGCACTACCACGCCTGCTTAATTTTTTTTTTTTTTTTTTTTTTTGAGATGGAGTGTTGCTCTGTCGCTCAGGCTAGGGTGCAGTGGTGCAGTCTCGGCCCACTGCAACCTCTGCCTCCCAGGTTCAAGCAGTTCTGTGCCTCAGCCTCCCAAGTGGCTGGGATTATAGGCACCTGCCACCATGTTTGGCTAATTTTTAAATTTTTAGTAGAGACAGGGTTTTGCCATGTTGATCAGGCTGGTCTTGAACTCCTGACCTCATGATCTGCTCCACTCAGCCTCCCAAAGTGCTAGCATTACAGGTGTGAGCCACCGCACCTCGACTAATTTTTTTGTTTTTCCATAGAGATGGGTTCTCTATGTCATCCAGGCTGCTCTTCCTGGCCTTAAGTGATCCTCCTGCCTTAGCTTCCCAAAGCACTGGCCACAGCTCTAGAGGCTTAGTCTCTCACTGCAAAAGCAAGCCAGTGAGCCCCTGAGGCCCAGTGCTGTCACCATCTCCCTGCACTTCCTGTGTGGGAACAGCAACCCATCACAGTACTTCCCTGCTCTCAGTCACAGTAGTGTATATAGAGAACCTGTGGTATGATGTTTGCAGCCTCCCAGAAGTGGGCTTTCTGCAGGAAGAGTGATTTCTAACACGGGAGTGTGTCATTGTGGGCCACATCTGTGAAAGAAACAGTCCACACCTGGTACAGCCAGCTGTGTCAGTTTCTAACCTAATTCTTCCATGTTGGGGTTGAATGGCTTTTTAAAAAATCTCCACGGCTCTGGGTAACTGGAGTACCTCGAGCTTTTGACCTTCCCAGTAGTGGAAGAGAGAGCTCTGCCCTCTTGTCATCTACCATCTCCAGCGTTTGTCTGATACTTTGTGAACGTCTTCAGTTTTAGGAACTCGGGGAGAGGATGTGGATCAGCTTGTAGCCTGCATACAAAGCAAGCTGCCAGTGCTGAGCTGCACGCTTCAGTTGCGCGAAGAGTTCAAGCAGGAGGTGGAAGGAACGGCAGGTCTCCTATACGTTGATGACCCTAACTGGCCTGGAATAGGGGTTGTCAGGTAAAGTTTTGGCCTACCACTTGATGTTAGAGACTTTACGGTATAAAGAACATGGGTGGGTCATTTTCTGAACCAGCTTAGAAATCCAAGATGAATGTGTAGTCACAATATGCTTGTTTAATGAAAATGCAGCTTGATTTTCTGGGCATTTACAAAAGCACAGTGCAAGCAGGCGATCCAGCCCACCGTGGCACTCAGGGAGGGGGAGTTGCTGAATGTTCTGTCTGTAAGCGCCGACTCTCAGCTACCTAGGAGAAGGTGCGGACGGGTATGTATCACTGACTGGTTACTCACCTGGGCTTAATGAGAATTGCAAATCAGTAAGAAAAAGTACCAGCTCTTGGGGAGACACAACTCCCCTGTCCTTTCTTATTCTGTGGGTACAGTCCTGTGGCTGCTTTCTGTCACCTTCAGAGGCGAGGCAGGTATCTTTTTGTATTGCACGTGAGACTTCCAGACCTTGTCTTCCCTATCTACATGGACATAAAGACCTTGGCTTTCAGCTGGGCATGGTGGCTCACACTTGTAATGCCAGCAGTTTGGGAGGCTGACAGGAGGATTGCATTATTTGAGTCCAGGAGCTTGAGACCAGCCTGGACAATATGGCAAAACCGCATCTCTACAAAAATATAAAAATTAGCCAGGGGTGGTGGTACATACTTGTAGCCCCAGCTACTCGGGAGGCTTAGATGGGAGGATCAGCTGAGCCCAGGAGGTGTAGGTTGTAGTGAGGCAAGATCATGCCACCGCACTCCAGCCTGGGCCACAGAGTGAGACCCTGCCTCAAAAAAAAAAAAAAAAAAAAGTTAGGCTTTCCTGTGACTCTTCCTTTACTCCTGGCAAGCTGTAAACCTGTGGCATTCTTGAAAGGTTGTGGTCTGGAGACACTCACAGTAGCTCTCTGCCCATTGGTTCTGCTCTACTGTCTTGCTAATTACTATCTAGAGGTTTCTACACCACCTCTAATCCTGTGTCTGAAGAGACATTTGATCTTTTAGGCTGAAATGCTGTCATTTGATGATGTTTTAGGTATGAACATGCTAATGATGATAAGAGCACTTTGAAATCAGATCCTGAAGGGGAAAAAATCCATGCTGGACTCCTGAAAAAGTTAAATGAACTGGAATCTGACCTAACATTTAAAATAGGTAATTACTTACTTTTATAAGTCAACTGTGACCTTTGGAAGGACATTTGCTAAGTGACTTTAAGGAATATGGCTCATCTTTTAGAGGGTTAGAGTCTCTCCGGCTCTGAGACCTCCCTCCCCTTCTGCAGCCCGCTGCGCCTGTCCCTCTGTCATGAGAATCTCCATGGAGGAGACCCCTTTGTGCGTGGTCAGGCCACTGAACAGGAGAGCAGGCCCGCGTCTCACCCACGACAGAGGACGGGAACCAAGTCTGTCTCATTTCCTCTGCAGGCCCTGAGTATAAGAGCATGAAGAGCTGCCTGTACGTGGGCATGGCGAGTGACGACATTGATGTTGTGGAGCTCGTGGAGACCATTGCGGCCACAGCCCGGGAGATAGAGGAGAACTCGAGGGTCTGTGGCTCCTCTCAGTGTTCATTCCTTTTCCAGGTTTTGCCCCAGCAAACAGCGGGGGTCTCGAGGAAAGGAGCTACTCTCAGGATGTCTGCTCGTTCTCTGTCTGTCAGTGTTTACTGTAAGCTGGGCCTTGTGCCAGGCATCAGTGATGCCAAGTGGGTTTGACCCGGCCCCTGCCCCAGTGAACACACAAGCTCAGGGGAAAGATCCACATAGCCACGCTGGGTAGTAACTGTGCCTCGGAGAAGAGGGCAGGTGGCTACACACACAGGCAAACACATTCACCCCCGCCTGCCAAGGTGAGGAAGGACTTCTGCTCTGGAGCTGGGTCCTGAGGGTGAATGAAAGAGGTGCTTCTGTGTGTGGTTTCCCCACACCCCTCCCCCACAGCACTTCCCACCCAGGACAGCCCTGCTTCTGTGGGTCCCTTAGGGTGGAGGACCAGGCAACAAGGCTGACAGGGTGTCCTCCAAACAAACGATTACTTCCCTAAAAAAATCACTCAAAAGGAGGTAGGAAGGGACCAAGGTAAGACTGCTCTAACAGGAGACGCACGCCATTGGAAATGCGGCTGAGAGCCAGCTCTGTTCATTCTTGGGTGGACTCAAGGTTTCTTCCCAGCCTGACTCTGACTTCTATGTTTGGAAAAATATTGAACAGTGCTTGTTTTCTGTTTTTTAACCCGATATGCCATTTGGGTGATAAATAGTTACTTCTCCTCTGTTCCCAGCCAATGAGTCTGGTCACCAAGGTGTGTGTCTGCCTGGGCCTCTATGAGCATTTCATCCCCTTGTCTTTGTCTATTTTCTTTTTACGCTGGCGTTTCAGTGCAGGATTTCATTGACCTGCTTTTGAAAATGCCCCCAGTGCCTCATTACTAGCTCTTCTGGGCCCCAGGCAAGAAGCTTAAAGTAATGCCTTTCTTGGTCTTACCACAGCTTCTGGAAAACATGACAGAAGTGGTTCGGAAAGGAATTCAGGAAGCTCAGGTCGAGCTGCAGAAGGCAAATGAAGAACGGCTTCTGGAAGAGGTGAGGCTGCCGATGGCAGCAGGCTGGGAGTGCCGCCGCAAGGCCAGGTAGCCCAGAGCCCCGGTCATGTCTTGCAGGGGGTGTTGCGGCAGATCCCCGTCGTGGGCTCCGTCCTGAATTGGTTTTCTCCAGTCCAGCCTCTACAGAAGGGAAGAACTTTTAACTTGACAGCAGGTAGGACAGAGTAGCCTCCATCCAGGTCTCGATGACCTTGGGAGGTTTCACCGAATGCCCTTGGGTTCCAACACTCGCCCTGCTGAGAAGCCCGGCCTGGTTCCCGTTCTTCATCACTGGGTACGGGCTGGGCATCTGAGGAGACACAGTCTGGCTGGCCCTGTGCCCTGTCCTCCCCACACATCTTGGTGGCTGAAACAGTAGGGAAGCAGCTACCCATTCCCCACAGCTGCTGCCACACGAGGCCATGAGGACACGCTCACTCAGCTGTGCAGATTCTGAGGGTGCTGTCCTGGGCATTTTGGTTCAGGGCTCATACTTGTCGTCCTGATGTATGTTTTGCCCCAGCAGGCCTGCTTTTGTTTTGTTGTTGTTGTTGTTGTTGTTGTTGTTGTTGTTGTTGTTTTTTGAGACAGAGTTTCGCTCTTGTTACCCAGGCTGGAGTGCAATGGCGCGATCTCGGCTCACTGCAACCTCCGCCTCCTGGGTTCAGGCAATTCTCCTGCCTCAGCCTCCTGAGTAGCTGGAATTACAGGCACACACCACCGTGCCCAGCTAATTTTTTGTATTTTTAGTAGAGACGGGGTTTCACCATGTTGACCAGGATGGTCTCGATCTCTTGACCTCGTGATCCACCCGCCTCAGCCTCCCAAAGTGCTGGGATTACAGGCTTGAGCCACCGCGCCCGGCAGGCCTGCTTTTGAAAGCAGCAGTGCAGAGACTGAAGCGTGGAGCACTGGCATGGTTTATTCTGACCTGGGCAGCCAGCAAGCGTTGCTGCCGCTGGAGTGGGGAGGATGTTATAGTCCAGGTCTTCTCCTTTCCTCTTCTACCACGGAAATAATTTCCTCCACCCGAGGCCCACCCTTTGTTCTTCCCCAGGAAACGATGACTACATTGTCATGAAAGCAACAGATAATCTGATTTCTCATCTGCCAAGCCTTAGCTTTCAGCAAAGAGGCACCCACTTCTTGTGGCTTCAGTGCATTTCTGTTGGGCCCGGCTCCCCTGGTGCGCTTTTGCTGCACTGCTGGCCAGCGTTGGCAGGACTGGCCCTGGGATCCAGCCTTCTCTTGGCACATTCGTAGGTGCCCGCGTCTACACCAGTCTGTGGCAGGCTCAGTGGCTGAATGGTTACTGGGGAGCAAGGCTGTGTGAGGGCAGGTGGCGTCTTCCAAGGCAGCCTGTGCCTGCAGCTTCCACTCCAGCTCTCTCCTCTCCTGCAGGCTCTCTGGAGTCCACAGAACCCATATATGTCTACAAAGCACAAGGTGCAGGAGTCACCCCGCCTCCGACGCCCTCGGGCACTCGTACCAAGCAGAGGCTTCCAGGTACGTGACACCTCCACGCAGAGTTCAGGTAACAGGTCTCCCCTGTTGGCTGTTACTTGCATTCCTTTGTTTTCTGAGTTCTTTAACTTCAGAGGTCTGTGTATCTTCACTTAAGACCAACTACTACCATCTTTTTAACCATTTCAGTAGCCAAGGAGTTCAGCCTTGGAGAAATCCCTTGGTAGCACCCCAAGGGGGAAGTTGGGGTCTTGACATTGTCACTGTGGTATTTCCCTCCCAGGCATTTCCTAGTGAAGATGGCCGCGGAGATGCCCGGCTTTGGGCACGTGTTGGTGTCATGCTAGCAGCTCCCGATTTCTCTTCCAACACTTCAGAGCCTGTAGTACAGGATTTCTGCTGAAGCCGTGTTGTAAAATAAGGCCATTATCTGTTGCACAGACAGCCTGTGTGGCAGAAGCACACTCACCGAGCTTTCAGTGCCATCCGTCTACCCTTTCTCTAGGCCAGAAGCCTTTTAAAAGGTCCCTTCGAGGTTCAGATGCTTTGAGTGAGACCAGCTCAGTCAGTCACATTGAAGACTTAGAAAAGGTGGAGCACCTGTCTGGCGGGCCGGAGCAGATGACCCTCGAGGCCAGCAGCACGGAGGGACACCCAGGGGCGCCCAGTCCTCGGCATGCTGACCAAACCGAGGCCCTCAAGAAGGGGGCCCTGCGCCCAGAAGTTGACTACCCACAGGTAGAAGGACTAGAGAGCTTAAGATAAAATTCAGTGTGTGGTTTGAGACTGTACCGAGTATTGTTTCAGGGAAGAGAAGTGATAACTGGAAATGTGAACTGTGCCACATACTAATACAATAGAAATTACTGTTATTTGTGCTTCACTGGGATTTTTGCACAAATACGTGCCTGAAAAGTAGGCTTTCTAGGAGGGCAGTCAACTTGTCTAACTTCTTGTGTGTGTAGAATCACCAGGAACCGTATGCTGTCCTACTCAGCTGTAGTAATACCACTTTTTCCTAAGTTACCGTAAACACTTTTTATTCACAAAAAAACACTTGAAATTCTAAGTGTCTGCCACTTGAACCTTTGCTCTTTCTAAACATAAGCAGAAGTTATGAGGTTGCACATGGCAACTTTTTGGTAAACAGCTTTTCGTTAGCACTCTCCAGGTTCTCTGTGACACTTCAGAGAGGCGAGACTGGCTGCGTTGTCTGTGTTAGTCAGTCTCTATTACAAGTTAATCACACTAGAGACTGACTAATACACAACTAGACTGCCAGGCTTAAAAGAGCATGGGTGCTCTGGGGAGTGTACATCAGAGCATCAGAAGCCCTCTCCCACCATCCCCCGCTGCTGCTCTTCCTGGAGACTTAGTAAGGACTGTGTCCACTTGAGCTGTGGCAGGGCTTCTGTCGGGGACTGTGCCCTGCCACAAACCCACTTCTCCCTTTGTATACTGTTTGTAAACAAATTTAAGGACTGATCTATTCAGAGAAACTGTAAAGTCTCCTGACCATATATGTATATTTTTAAATACTGGTAAAGCTTTTAAATTGGCACACAAATACAGACTGTGCTCATTTTTATGTTTATTATCTAAAAACCTGATAGATGCTACCCTTAGAGCCTGCTATTCCAGGTGCTGTGAAGCACCCCCCTGGGTTAAAATCTGAAAGCAAGTATCCCTTTGACCTTCCCCTACGGAAGCTTCTGTAGCTTCTACTGCCCTGGCAGCTCACCTGGGCCCAACTCAGTCACAAGCCAGCAGAGCACTCTCTCATGCTGATCCAGCCAGGCTCCTTGCTTAAGTCAGTAGAAGCTCACTGTTACTGCCCGTTACTACTTTTCCGAAGTACTGGCCCCTGTGCCTTCTTAGTCCAGCAGAGTCAAGCTTTTGAGAGACCTGAAAATGGGGAATTCACACTGGGTTTGTGGACTGTAGTACTGGAAGCCTTAGTTATACCACATTCAGCCTATAATTACACTCTGATTTGATGGGTTTTTTTTTTTTTTTTTTTTTTTTTTGGTGCAAATGATTAAACAAAGTCTTCCCTGTTTATTTGGTGCAATGAAGTATAGCAGATAAAATAGGGGTGGGGTAAATTATCACCTTTAACAAGATTCAATGTTTTTATATATATTTGGAATTGTTAAATTGGTTTTGCTGAGACATTTCACCCTTGAGATACTACTTGAATGTTGGTTTCAATAAAGGTTCTTGAAATTGTTACCAGTCAATCAGTTAATAAACCTTATTATAAAAGACTTACCCAAGTATCTGAAATAGCTGCTTATCTACCAGTGGGAGATAGGTTCTTTGCTGACCAAAAAAAGCTAGCTAGAAATGAACTTGTTAGTAAAGCAGAGTCTCAACAAATGCCTTTGCCAAAATAACGTTTTATTTTGCAAGTCATTTGAAAGACACTGAGAAAGGGAGACCTAAGACCCAATGGATGTAGGTTCTAAATTCAGATTCTTGCCAGCTCCATGGTCTCTGTCAGGCCAAGAAGGTGCTTTCTTTGGTAATTCCTATTTTTTAGTTTCCTGAAGAGATCTTTTCCCACAAGCCATCTTCATTTTTTTTGTAGAGTAGGGCTTTATTTCCAGGAAACAGTGTATTAGTTGGAGATGGGTATTTTTTTAAAAACATCAAGGTAGATCTAATGTGTTCAACAAAGTGGGGTGGCTCGGCCAGAGGCGAAGTGGAAAGATTCTGAAAACACAAGACAGTGGGCATAAGTCACCTTGCTCGGCCCTGCTTTGATAAAGATGTCAATGTATCTTTGTTCTTGGACACATAAATATATATAGTAAAATATGTAAGAAATGGAGTGGCATCGATTAGTAAGTAAAAAGTTGCTTACTGCTTTACCCACACATACTTCCATCTAGGACTCGATATATGCCCAACTGATATACAAGTTAAATGGGGTCTGTCAGTGGCATCCAAAAAGTAACTACTACACGCCGAAAGGAAAGCAGCTATGACAGGTGGGAAAATCAGGATCCAGAGATTTAAAACTTAGCTTGTAAATTCTCACCTCTAGTATTTGCTTGTCATCTTGCTGTAACCAGAAATCCACATGTGGAAATGGTGTCCAGGAGTACGGTCCTATACGAATTTGTTCTGTCTCTGCATCGTAAATGCTAATCATCTAGAAAAGAACGTGTCAAAGATAAAATTTCAAGAATGTCACCCACTTTTCAAACCCTCCCAGCAACGCAAGCTCCAGTGTAGTCTAGCACTTTCAGGCATTTATCTGCCTGAGAAGCTTCTTAAAAACTGTCTCTAATACCAAAAGCTGCCACCTACTAAACACATCTAGTGTATCTGCTACTGCAGGCTGCAGGTCACATACATGGCTGTTTAGCGCTGACAACAGTCCTGCAAGACAAGGGTGCTTTTTTCCCATTTGGGGTGAAAACTTGGGACTCAAGAAATGGGGCCCATTTCCCAGGTTGCCTGTCTGGTAAGCCTCAGAGCTGGACCTCAAAGCCAGGTGCATCTGACTAATGTCTGTGTTCCTCATTGCCACAGAAAACGCTGCCTCATTATACCCCAAGCAACTGATCGCTTTGCAATTTAAAAGCATACAGTGCCTGGTGCCCCATCAAAAGAAAGAAGCTAATTTGCCAAATAATCCATTCCCTGAATTCCCAATTTTGCCAGTGGTAGTCTTACCTTACCCAGCAATATTCAGCTTTGGTAAGACAAATAGGTTCGGTTCTGAATATCAACTAAACTAGGGCCATTATGCTCCTTGAGAAATCCTAAAAATGTTAGAAGGGTTGGCAAAACAAATTGCTCTGAATCCCAACACATTTTCCAGTGAAAATGTCAGCATTTCATAAATGAGCAGATTTCTTTGGGGTGGCCTGAATGAGATTTCTGTTTTTTCACACTTTGAACATTTTTAAAGAGTTCTTTCACCCATTCCTCAAATGCCTTATAAGTCTTGGGTTTTCAAACTTTTAAAATTACAGTATAATTTAATTAATTTGATCATTCAGTTGGGTTAATTAAATTGTTCCAGCAAATTGCTCTTGAGTGACCTAATCCAAAAAAAACCTCTCTCCTTCTTCCCTGGTCTCCTCTATTTGCAGGAACTTTATAGGAAAGCTCTTACTAAGTAACAGAAGTTTGTTCTTTTTGAATTCGGACGCTTGGATTCACACATACCTTCTGCACCTTTTAGGCAGAGAACTGGAGTCTGGAGCTCATGACCTAAAGATACTCATTGAGAGAGAGAGTGTGGGTGTATGTGTGTGTTGGTCCTCAGTAATTTAGAGCTATAAAGAAGCTGACATACAACATTGACTTTTCTAAGATTGATAAAACTTAAGGCTTTGGCATTTGATACCTTTTTTAAATCCCTTAACACAAAGATGATTTCAAACTCACTGGTCCTCCTGCTAAAGCTCGAGCAGCACGCAGCTGTTCCTCTGGACCTCGATCTTGAAAGGAGGCTCTGTAAATCTCTGCAGTCTTAATGTTGACAGCTGTGAGGGACAACAGGATGACTTTGAATTGACAAAAGACCAAAGTGGAAAGCCTGCACAGTCTTACATTTCTCCCCCACTCCTAAGAGAAAGATAGGAAAGTGAACAGAATGGCTCCTAAGTGTCTGGAGCTGCTCCTCCCTTTAGAGGGAAAATGCTACCCTTATCGTACGCATTTCAGTGAGGCCTGAGCTGAACTCGGTGAGATTTTGTTCTAAACCAAGAGCTGCTTTCCACATGGGAAGCAGCCATTCCTGCAGTTGGACAAGTAGCAAAACCTCTCTGGTCAGCCCTACTGGTGTACGGCCAGGGGTAGGTGGGTGAACTGTTACTGTTCTGTTGGAATCATCACAATTTCGTATTTTATACATGAAGTTAAAGAGAGTAAGACAGTGAACACCTGCTAAATAAATTAAATATCACCGATACAGCAGAAGGCCTCTGAAATATAGCCAATCTCATGCCTTTTCCACAGGAGTCAAGCAGGGAGGATGGTTCTAGGTTTTCTTCAGCCTGATAGTTTCACACTTTGGACAACTTCTGTTCTCGAGCAAAACTTTCCTCGGTTCCGGAGATATAAAAAATTCCAGTACCTGCCTCCCTCCCCCAGAGCACTGACAGAAGACAAGCACACCTGCCTGAACTGCTGGGGAGAGAAGGAAACAAGAGGCCTGGGGCTCCCCAGCTCCTGTGAAGGATGGGCCTGGCCTATGCTATTTGCTACCACGCTGCTTCTTCAAAGTCTTAAGACATGAACATTATCTCCGTTTTGTAGGTAAAGCTTACAGAAGTTAAGCTACTTGCCCAAGGTCTCACAGCAGATGTTCAGAGGAGCTGAGATGTGAACCCAAGGCTGTCCCATCCTGACAGCAGTGGTTTGCTGAATTAGCTTTAACCGCACATGTGACCAAGCCTCCAACCCACAAAGATGCACACTACTTACCAATGCCATATATTATTGGAAAGTGGTTTTCATTTTCTTCCCGGTCATTTAATTCTACAAAATAAAAATGTTTTAAGATACTTTTTAAACAAATACCAAACAATTATTTTTATTTTATATGAGAAAGGCCAAGGAGGAACCCCTCACTGCAAAAAGGGAGGAAAATCCCAGAAAATTAAAGGGACTGTGACCGTTGCCCTGCCCTGCCCCATGGCGGGTGGGTTTATACTGAACAAACTGGCATATGCAGAAAAGGTCCCTAATCCCACCCCAACTTCTCCGTGCACCCCATCACAGGTGGCAGCTGTGAGATCCAGTGCCCTCCTTCCTGGGAGACAAGGCACACTTGAGGGGGCCGCATTGGAACTGATGACCGTGGTGACGGCCATCCCACCACAGCAAGAGCTGGAACAAACGCCGGCCAAGCAGTGACAGCAGTGTGTGCTGGTGCTTGGTCCCACTGCAAGGCTGGGGGGAAAATGGTCCTGAAACGCACAGCTTCGCTTTGGGACAAATAGCAGAACTTACCTGTCACACATAATGTCACTAAGTGAATGTCATCTTCTTGCCTGTCAAATTCACCTACGATGAGAATTTTAAGACTGGATATCAGAAAAGTTCCTCTAGTTACAAGAACAAACTGCTGAGCAAGCCAAGGACAGGGAGGGACAGCAGCCAGCTGAGTGTGCTCTGCCCCACACCCGCTTGCCCACGCCCAAGCAGCCATAGCCCAGCCTCTGGGGCCAGACCCAAGGGAGCTGACGCTGCAGAATCCTGACCGCCACAAGACGGCCACATTCAGCCTCAGGCCCCAAGGAGCCAGGGCTGAGCCTTCCTATTTTTCTCTTCATTCTGAGAGTTTTGCAGGGACCCATGGATTCATAAGATTTTTACTTTTCTCCTAAGTAACCTGTTTTCCTGATTATCGGAGTTGTAAAAACGAAAATCTGGCCTCCGTGACAGATTTGAAAAGTACAGGAGAGCATAAGTAGTTTTCAACATCCATAATCCTCACACTGTTAATACTTAATTTTCTTTCATATTTTTCTGTGCTCAGCAGAGCTGACCACAGAGACAATGTTATATCCTTTTTTAAAAAAAAAAAAAAAAAAAAAAAAAAAAAACATGGATTCTTGCTCTTTTGCCCACGCTGGAGTGCAGTGGCGCCATCTCGGCTCACCGCAATCTCCGCCTCGGGTTCAAGCAATTCTCTTGCCTCAGCCTTCCAAGTAATTGGGATTACAGGCGTGTGCCACCATGCCTGGCTAACTTTTCTATTTTTAGTAGACATGGGTTTCACCATGTTGGCCAGGCTGGTCTCAAACTTGTGGCCTCCAGTGATCCACCCAACTTGGCCTCCCAAAGTGCTGGGATTACAGGCATGAGCCACCAAGCACAGCTGACAATTTTACATCCTAATTTCTTGTGCATAGGTATTTTCCCATGTAATTTACAGCTTCATGTATCTTATTTTTTAGTGACTACATAAGTACTGTTCTAGTAATAGCAGATTTCCTGTTGTAAATAACGTTCTGCTCATCTTCAGGCATAAATCTCTATGCACGTTTCAGATTATTAGCATATATTTCCACAAGGGGAACTACTGGGTCAAAGTATATGAACTTTTTGTGTTTTTTTTTTTTTTAAGATGGAATCTCGCCTCTGTCATCCAGGCTGGAGTGCAATGGCACCATCTCGACTCACTGCAACCTCCGCTTCCTGGGTTCAAGCAATTCTCCTGCCTCAGCCTCTGGAGTAGCTGGGATTATAGGCACCCACCACCACACCCAGCTAATTTTTGTATTTTCAGTAGAGATAGGGTTTCACTATGTTGGCCAGGCTGGTCTTGAACTCCTGACCTTAGGTGATCCACCTGCCTTGGCCTCCCAAAGTGCTGGGATTATGACCACTGCACACAGCCAGGTATAAACCTTTTTTAAGAGTTAAGTCAGCCGGTTGTGGTTGCTCATACCTGTAATCCCAGCACTTTGGGAGGCCAAGGCAGGTGGATCACCTAAGGTCAGGAGTTCAAAACCAGCCTGGCCAACATAGTGAAACCCCATCTCTACTGAAAATAAAAAAAATTAGTCAGGTATGGTGGCCTGTGCTTGTAATCCCAGCCACTCAGGAGGCTGAGGCAGAAGAAGTGCTTTAACCCGGGAGGTGGAGGTTACAGTGAACTGAGAGAGAGAGTTAAGTCATGATGCCAAATTACTTTCTGGACAGGCTGTACCATTGTATGAGTAAGCCTACCTCGTGGCCTCGTGGTTAGTCAACACAGAACAATGTCATCTTTATTTTTTGAAAATATTTGCTAATTTAGGCAGGGTGCAGTGACTCACGCCTGTAATCCCAGTACTTTGGGACTTGAGGCAGGAGGATCACCTGAGGTCAGGAGTTCAAGGCCAGCCTGGCCAATATGGTGAAACCCCGTCTCTACTAAAAATACAAAAATAGGCCAGGCACCGTGGCACACGCCTGTATTCCCAGCACTTTGGGAGGCTGAGGCAGGTGGATCACAAAGTCAGGAGATCGAGAGCATCCTGGCTAACACAGTGAAACCCTGTCTTCTCTACTAAAAGTACAAAAAAATTAGCCAGGCGTAGTGGCACGTGCCTGTAGTCCCAGCTACTCGGGAGGCTGAGGCAGGAAAGTCGCTTGAACCCAAGAGGTGGAGGTTGCAGTGAGCTGAGATCGTGCCACTGCACTCCAGCCTGGGCAACAGAACGAGACTCTGTCTCAAAAAAAGGAAAAAAAAATTCAAAAATTAGCCAGGTATGGTGGTGAGCGCTGGTAATCCCACCTACTCGGGAGGCTGAGGCAGGAGAACTGCTTGAACTTGGGAGGTGGAGGTTGCAGTGAGCTGAGATTATGCCACTGCACTCTAGTGTAGGCAACAGATAAAGACTCCGTCTCAAAAAAAAAATTGCTAATAGGGAAAAATGGTATCAATATTTTAATTTTCTGCAGATGAAAATGGACATTTTTGCTAGAAGGGAGGGTGGTTCTGTTCTCACACAGTTCAGAGCACTTACAATTCTGGAATGTGTCCACTACTATTTTAGTAGAAAATCTTGTCCCTACCCCTACTACCCTTATCCCCTACAAATGAGCCCCATGCTATTCCGTCTGTGAAATTCCAAGCTGGGCCAGTCTGTTTCTCTGCGGTGCTCCAAGTGGGTGTGTCCTCTAAGGTTTAGAACCAGTTGGGATTTTTAACCCAAGCAAAAACAGGTACAAATTTGTGTCCAATATGGGGGGGAAAAGACCAGTGAACTTACTAAGAAGTTGATGAGTGAGTTTTTGTGACAACTGCCTGTCGTCATTGAAGCCTCCCACGAGGTGCACTTCCAGCCTGGCAAGAGATGGGACAGGGGTCAGAGGCCAGAACGAGACACCAGCGCATGGGCTGGTCTCGCTTTGAACTTTCACTCTCAGCTTCCTTGAGCCCTTGTTCTACAGCAGGGCTTCCAGGTCGTCTGCGTGCCACCGCAAAAGAAGGTATCTGCAGCATGCTACCAAGGCCAATAGGAAGTTTCCGGGCACACTGCCCGAGGGCCCCCATGACTGAAGGGATCCGTATCTAAACACAAACATGAGGCCGCCTCCATGCAGCAGTGAGGAGTTCCGCTCTAGAAGAGTATGAGCACAGGATGGGTGTGGTGGCTCACACCTTTAATTTAGCACTTTGGAAGGCTGAGGTGGGTGGATCACGTGGGGTAAAGAGTTCGAAACTAGCCTGGCCAATGTGGTGAAACCCTGACTCTACTAAAAATACAAAAAAACTCAGGCCTGGTGGCATGTGCCTGTAATTTCAGCTACTGGGGAGACTGAGGCAGAAGAATCACTTGGACCTGGGAGGTAGAGGTTGCAGTGAGCTGAGATCTCACCACTGTACTCAACACTGCCTGGGTGACACAGACTCTGTCTCAAAAAAGAAAGAAGAGGCTGACCACGTCACTCACCTGCCCAAAGCAGGACACTGCCAAAACCCACCCCTCAGTGTCCTGCCCAGGAGCAAGTACGGTAAGACAATAGGAGGGGCCTGCTGTTAAGTAGACATTTCACAGGTGCCGTCTCCTCTGATGTCCACCATTATCTTGGTGAGGGGGATTATCAGCTCCATTGTACAGAGATACACGCTTATGAACCACTATACCTGATTTTCCTAAATTGTGTTTCCCACTAGCCTCATGAGATAGGGAAACAGTGTTCATGAAGTTAAAACAAAAGTTTGGGGCCAGGTATGGTGGCTCATGCCTATAATCCTAGCATTTTAGGAGGCCGAGGCAGGCGGATCACTTAAGGTCAGGAGTTCGAGACCAGCCAGGCCAACATGGTGAAACCTTATCCCTACTAAAACTACAAAAATTAGGCTAGGCGAAGTAGTTCACACCTGTAACCTCAGCATTTTGGGAGGCTGACACAGGTGGATCACAAGGTCATGAGTTTGACACCACCCTGGCAAACATGGTGAAACCCCATCTCTACTAAAAATAGAAAAATTAGCCAGACATGGTGGCGCACACCTGAAATCCTAGCTACTCGAGTGGCTGAGGCAGGAGAATTAATTGAACCAGGGAGGTGGGAGGTTGCAGTAGGCCAATATTGTGCCATTGTACTTCAGCTCTGGGCCACAGAGCAAGACTCCTTCTGGGGGAGGAGGAATTAGCTGGGTATGGTGACGGGTACCTGTAATCCCAGCTACTTGGGAAGCTAAGGCAGAAGAATCACTTGAACCCAGGAGGCAGAGGTTGCAGTGAGTCAAGAATGCATCACTGCACTCCAGCCTGGGCAACAGAGCAACACTCTGTCTCCCCCCCAAAAAAAAAAAAAGGTTTGAGGTGGTTCTGAGAAAAAAATTTGGAAAAAAAAAAGACAGGGCCATCTTGCCTGTTGGAAGGCCTCCTTAGAAGAGTCCCCCAGCCTGGGGGCGGTGGCTCACGCCTATAATCCCAGCACTTTGGGAGGCTGAGGCGGGTGGATCACGAGGTCAAGAGATCGAGACCATCCTGGTCAACATGGTGAAACCCTGTCTCTACTAAAAGTGCAAAAAATTAGCTGGACATGGTGGCACGTGCCTGTAATCCCAGCTACTCAGGAGGCTGAGGCAGGAGAATTACCTGAACCCAGGAGGCGGAGGTTGCGGTGAGCCGAGATCGTGCCATTACACTCCAGCCTGGGTAACAAGAGTGAAACTCCGTCTCAAAAAAAAAAAAGAAGAGTCCCACTGCCATTAGCACAGTGAAGCTCTGACAGGTCCTCATTAGCACAGTGAAGCTCTGACAGGTCCTGTGATTGAAAACACTCCAACGATGTCTGTGGAGCCCAGTGTTTCCCACACTCATCTACTAACCCCTTTTCCACAGCCCCTGTCAACCGGGGTAATTCATGCTTGGCAAAGTGCTGCCAGACTTCACAGCACAAAGTGCTGTGCCCCAATATAGGGCACAGCCTCATGTGGCCTCATGATCAACTCCCAAGTAGTCAAGGGAGCTGTGATTATCATGGCTCTGCTGGCAAAAGGGCCACCAGGTTTGCCTCTGACTCCTGAAGCATGGCTGTTCTATAGCAGACAAAGAAAAGGTGACAAGCATGTTCTTAGAACCAAGGAGCAGAGCGTGTGGCAACATAATGGCATTGATTATGTCCCCCTGTGGGGGCCAAGATGATACGAAAATGAAAAGGCCATTTTAGGCCTGCATGGGTCACATGGCCATGAAGCCAGCCCAGCTATAGCATGGACTGCAGAAGTGGCATTTAAGAACTGATCAGTATTGCACTAGCAAAACTCTCCCAGAGAACTCTTTCTTTTTCCTCTTTTGACTTGGGATTCTAAGCCCTTGTATGTGATGGGCATAGGTCACTCAATGGCTGCCTTAGACCTCAAAATAAGAGCAACGCCTGCCACATCTACACAATGACAGAGAAAGCAGAGGGGACACGTGTGTGAACACGAGTCTGGACAGCAGGCCTGTGTCCTCGGCCTCCACTTAGCTAGCTGTGTGTTCCAGCATGCTGAGCTTTGGCGCCGGCCTCTGTCAAATGGAGGCAGTGGATACTTTACTGTGAGAAGAGAGGATGTGAAGTGCTGTGGGACAGCCATGCTGGCGGCTGCTTCTTATCCAGCAATCCATGGGGAAACTACCAACCTGCTGGAATTAACGCTGCCGCCCTCAGCTGGGAGGATCACTTGAGCCCAAGAGTTTGAGACCAGACTGGGCAAAATGGCAAAACCCTGTCTCTATACAAAATACAAAACACTAGCTGGGCATGGTGGCGCACACCTGTGGTCTCAGCTAGTTGGGAGGCTGAGGTGGGACAATCACTGGAGCCTGGGAAGTCAAGGCAGCAGTGAGCTGAGATCGCACAACTGCGTTCCAGCCAGGGTGACAGAGTGAGACCCTATCTCAACAACCAAAAAAGAGAAAAACGAAACACATGCCTTACCCACTAGCGGTCCCCACATCTCCCTGGCCTTGTTTTCTCCACAGCCTGCTTCACCCCTGAACACCCTGTCTTGTGTACTGTCTCTCAGCTTCGGAATCTGAACACCTTGGGGCAGGCTTTCCGTCTACTCTGTTCACGGCTATGTCCCTGGAAACTACAAGGTGTAGGTGAGAGGAAGCAATTCACAAGTAAATACTGGAGGAATGACTGCATCAAGAGCTACCACACCCGCGGTAAAAACCTCAAACTCAACGTTCCCAAAAGGACGTCAAGTTCAAAGTCAGGCCTTCCATCTCAAATCCAGCACGGACTCCTTGCCTGTGCCCAGCATCCACTCATCCACTCAACCACTGCTGACACAGCGCCCATGCCATGCTAAGTTCTGCTCCGGGGGAAAGAGACAGACACGGCGGTGACAGCATCCTGTGCTGCCTGTACCACCTTCCGTGGCTACGTCCTCTACGCAAGGGTTCAAATATCCCAGTTCACCTATTAGAGTAGCATGGATCTCACCTTCCACATTGAGCGTGGTCGGAAAAGGATTTTATGGAGTTCATGATCAAGGGGACCTCAGCTTTGGTGTCGGTTCCATCACAATGTGTCAAGCAGGTGGCCCCATTACCTGAAGAACAAGGGTGAAAGGACTCAAGTTATTCCCGATGCGAGCGCAGTAGCAGGCTGAGACTCTGCTCCTGTCCCTTCGGACCGCCTCGTCTCTGAACATCCTGTAGGGAAAAACAGAAAGGGCTGTGCTGCCCAGCCAACCCATTCTGACCAGGACACCAGGGAGACACCATGCAGACCAGAAAAAACGTAAGCAGAGTCCGTTTCCAACAAGACACCAGGAAACTCAACTCGAGAAATTCAGTGGTCCCAAAGGTTGGGCCACTTTCAGTAACGGTTTCCTTCACCTCTCTCACCATACCTGTGTGCCTCAGGACCACAATGTGACAAGTAGTGGCATCATCAGAACCCAGAATGGAGATGGAGCCTGTTTAAAAAAGAAATAAAATAAAATATCCAATTGCCTTTTGGGATAACGCCCAATTCACTGCTTCCTAACCTACCATCCTTTGGGGAGGTCACTGCAAGCTCTCTTTGCTGAACATACAGAAGGCCCTGGGGTCCCACTTGTTGAACAGACTGACCTCTGAGAAGTCTGGCTCTTTCCTGTTTAATTAAAAAAAAAATAAAATAGTGACGTAAATTAGTGAGGATGGAAAAACTGAAGATGTGGAGAGAGCCAAAGCGGGCTCTGCGTGGGCGGCACACTAGTGTGTTGGGAGTGTGTTAGCAGACAGAGAGGCTCAAAGAAAAACGCAGCAGCCACAGTCATTGGGAACAATGCAGAGAAAATGATGAGGTTCTGGGCAGTGGTCTTTTAACCTATGAAATCAGATGTTATAGTAACCGATTAAATGAGATGCAAAAATCCTTTATTCCTTTTTTTTTTTTTTTTTTTTGAAGAGACAGGGACTCACTATGTTGCCCAGGCTGGTCTTGAACTAATGGGCTCAAGCAATCTTCCTGCCTTGGCCTCACCAAGTGTTGGAATTACAGGCATGAGCCACCACACGGGCTATCACAGTTCTTTAGTAAAGAGTGTGAGACAATTTTACAGTTGGCCAGGCATGGTGGCTCATGCCTGTAATCCCAGCACTTTGGGAGGCTGAGGTGGTGGATGGATAGCGAGGTCAAGAGATTGACACCATCCTGGCCAACATGGTGAAATCCCATCTCTACTAAAAATACAAAAATTAGCCAGGCGTGGTGGCACGAGCCTGTGGTCCCAGCTACTCAGGAGGCTGAGGCAGAAGAATCGCTTGAACCCAGGAGGTGGAGGTTGGATTGAGCTGGGATTACACTACGTCACTCCAGCCTGGCAACAGAGCAAGACTCCATCTCAAAAAACAAACAAAAAACAATTTTACAGTTGTAAAGAGAATGAGATTACCTAGGAATAGAGGGTGGGTCACTCTGAAACCACATCCTCTCTATTTTTTGAGACAGTCTCTCTGTCATCCAAGCTGGAGTGTAGTGATGCAACTTCAACTCACTGCAGCCTCCACCTCCCAGGCTCAAGCAATCCTCCCACCTCAGCCTCCCAAGTAGCTGGGACCACAGGCATGCACCACCACACCTGGCTGATTTTTATACCTTTTATTAGTGACAGGGTCTCCCTGTGCCACTCCGGATGATCTAAAACTCCTGGGCTCAAACGATCCACCTGCCCCAGCCTCCGAAAGTGCTAGAAATACAGGCTCACAACACCCCATGCAGCTGATTTTTATACTTTTTGTAGAGATGGGACCTCCCTATGCTGCCCAGGCTGATCTCAAACTCCTGGACTCAAATGATCCACCTGTCTCGGCCTCCCACAGTGCCGGGATTACAGGCGTGAGACACCGTGACCAGCCTCCTCTTTACCTTCTTTAAAGACCAAGAGGAGTTAAAAACGTCCTTAGTCCCTAACCTAGTTATTTCACTTCTGGAAATTTGTCCTAAGGCAATAATTCAAAATGTGTTCATCCCTGTGTAATTTGTTTTATTTTTTGAGACAGAGTCTCGCTCTGTCACCCAGGCTGGAGTGCAGTGGCGTGATCTTAGCTCACTATAGCCTTCACCTCCCAGGTTCAAGTGATTCTCATGCCTTAGCCTTCCCAGTAGCTGGGATTACAGGCATGCACCACCATGCCCAGCTTTTTAAAGTCAAAACTGGGTTTCACCATGTTGGCCAGGCTGGTCTCACACTCCCGGCCTCGAATGATCCGTCTGCCTTGGCCTCCCAAGGTGCTAGGACTGTGGCATGAGCCATGGTGCTCGGCCCCCTGTGTCCTTTGTAATAGCAAAAAGCTGGGAGCAGGAATGGAAAAGATTAAGTAGATTATGCACAGAACCAAGTCACAGCCTCTAACTGCAGAGTCATGAGAAATGAAAACAACAGAAAAAATAGTTTTGAAATGCTAACTGAAAAGCAAGATACAAAAGTATAAAAAATGTTTTAAATAGCTATAAATGTGCTGTTAATACAACAATGATTAAATTCATTGCTTCACTGGAAGCAAATTTCACCAATACAACCAGGGCTGTGCCAAAGTGAACACGAGTTAAGATTTACTGGCGCTGTTGTCTTTTCTCTCTTCTCTAAATGTTCTATCCTATAGTTATGATCAGAATACAAAAACAAAATGGGTAAGGCAAATTTATGAAAGATGTGTGAAACTCTTACTAAGCCTGTAAAAAATATTTTACAAGACCTCAGGTGGTTTTTGAATGAAAACAAACTTTGAGCCGGGCGCAGTGGCTCAAGCCTGTAATCCCAGCACTTTGGGAGGCTGAGGCGGGCAGATCACGAGGTCAAGAGATCGAGACCATCCTGGTCAACATGGTGAAACCCCGTCTCTACTAAAAATACAAAAAATCAGCTGGGCATGGTGGCGCGTGCCTGTAATGCCAGCTACTCAGGAGGCTGAGGCAGGAGAATTGCCTGAACCCAGGAGGTGGAGGTTGCGGTGAACCGAGATCGCGCCATTGCACTCCAGCCTAGGTAACAAGAGCGAAACTCCATCTCAAAAAAAAAAAAAAAAAAAAAATCATTACATTGATAAAACACTACAATGTATCTTAATTTCCTTCTTACTTGCAACAAATAAACTCCTTGATGAACAAATTCTTGCTCAAATGTCTAGAGAACGTTTGCATGATGTATCACCTACAATGGAGAACGGTTTTGCATCTTAGTCTATCGGCTTCCTGCCATTGCATATGACTGGAGCTAATTTAGGTTAGTGCTCACTTAATAAAACATAAGAGCAGCTGGGTGTGATGGAGCTAAACGGTAATCCCAACACTTGGGGAGGCTACGAAAGGAGGACTGCTTGAGCCTATGAGTTCTAAACCAGCCTGGTCAAAAAGAGAGACTCCGTCTCTACAAAAACAGAAACTAGCTGGGTGTGGTGCTGCTTGCCTGTAGTCTCAGCTACTCTGGAGGCTCAGGTGGGAGAAGCACTTGCAGCTGGGAGGTGGAGGCTGCAGTGAGCCGTGATTATAGCACTGCAACCCTACCTGGGTGACAGACCAAGATCCTGCCTCAAATATATATATATAATTTAGCTAAGAGATGTTATAAATATAATAACGACCAGCTTGATAGTACTGACACGGCATTTTCTTCTGCTGATAAACTTCCATTAACTGGAAGCAAGATGTCAATGAGAATGAGACAAGCCCCTAAATTTAAGAAACAAACTAAAGATGAAATGAACTGCAATGTAAAATTAGATTGGCAAGACAGCCTTGCTTGCTCCAGAAGTCAGTAAGAAATAGGTGTTACTGCCTGTTCTAAAACTCACACCCCTCTATCGGTGAAAGCTTCTCATTTTCATTCCACTTCTCACCTCACCTTAATTCAGAATTACATAGGGGAGAATTTAGAATTCCCTCATTACTCCTGAAATACTTACCTTCTGCTTTGTTCTTTGAGGGAAGGGAAGGGAGGGCACAAAGGTGAATTTTTAACACTCATTTTCACAATTGGGTCACCACTCAAAAGCAAAGCTATTTGTGAGAAATGAATTACTGCTTTCACAAAGACCAAAACTCATGTCTCTCTTCAACACAGCTCCTACAATTTCCCAAAGAAATAAAAGCAAAAATTATCAGAAATAATGCCAGAAAACTAAAACAGTATGCTGCTTCACTCTTTTATTTTTTAATTTCTTTTTTGAGACAGAGTCTCACTCTGTCTCCCAGGCTGAAGATCACAGCTCACTGTAGCCTCTGGCCTCAAGGAGTCCTCCCACCTCAGCCTTCCACGGACCTGGGACTCTGGGCACACCTGGCACGTGCTCTCTCTCTCTCTTGCGTGCGTGCGCTCTCTCTCTCTCTCTCTCTCTCTCTCCCTCCCTTCCTCTCTCTCTCTCTCTCTCTCTCTCTCTCTCTATATATATATATATATATATTTTTTTTTTTTTTTTTTTTTGGTAGAGATGGGGTCTCCCTGTGTTGCCCAGGCTGGTCTTGAACTTCCTGGCCTCAGGTGATCCTCCTGCTTCAGCCTCCCAAAGTGCTAGGATTAGAGGCATGAGCCACTGTGCCCAGCCTCTACTTTATTTTTTGTATTTTAGAGACAAGGTTTCACTCTGTTGCCCAGGCTGAAGTGCTGTGACCAGATCTTAGCTCACTGCAACCTCAAACTGCTGGGCTCAAGCAATCCTCCCACCTCAGCCTCCTTCGACGTAGCTGAGACCACAGGTGCATGCCACCAGACTTGGCTAATTTTTGCTTTTACTTTTAAGTTATGAAAAGAGTTTAGCCAAACTTCTGTTCATTGGGAAAACACACAGTCCTACTTTATAAATTCATAAACTTTCAGAAATAAAAGCAGCTCCAGTTTTCTAATATTCTCTAGACACTAATATTTGCTTGAAAAACAAAGAAAAAAAAAAAAACAACTTTTCCCTCACTCCCTCATCCTTATTTCCCAATTCCTATTCAATGGCGGTATTCTCTTAACCCAGGGGTCAGCAGATTTTCTGAAAAATACCAGACAGTAAATATTTGGGGTTCTGCAAGGCTGCAGTCTCTGTTGCAATTGCCCAACTCTGCTGTGATGGAGAGCAGCCACAGACAATATAAATGTGGGTGCATTCCAAAAAACACTTTATAGGTGACACTGAAGTGTTAATTTCAATACATTTTCATGTTACACAATATTATTCTTTTGTTTTCAACCTTCGAGAAATATAAAGACCAATCTTGGCCTACAGAGTATACCCAAACAAGGTCTGGCCCATGACCTGTGGCTTGCTGACCTGTGTCTTAGCCAGTCACCTACCTGTGGCCTAGGGGATGATCATGTGACCCTCACCCCTGCTGTCCTGTCAGTTCTTCCTTTATAAATAGGAGAGTGGCATGAAAGTGATTTGTGAACTGTAAAGCACAATAGTGTACAAGAAATTATGAGGCCCTGCTGGGCATGGTGGTAGTGGCTCACATCTGTAATACCATCATTTTGAGAGGCCAGGGCAGGCGGCTCACCTGAGGTCACCTGAGCTGAGATCCTGCCATTGCACTCCAGCCTGGGCAACAAGAGTGAAACTCCGTCTCAAAAAAAGAAATTATGAGGCCCAATGCAGTGGCTCACACCTGTAATCCCAGCACTTTGGGAGATAGAGGCAGGAGGAGAGCTTAAATCCAGGAGCTCAAAACCAGATTGGGGAATATAGCCAGACTCCATCTCTACAAAAAATTTACAAATTACTCAGGAGGCTGAAGCAAAAGAATCACTTGAGCCTAGCAGTTGGAGGCTGCAGTGAGCTATGACTGCACCCACCACTACACTCTAGCCTGGTTGATAGATGCTGTCTCAAAAACAAAAAAATTACGAATAGGTATAGCTCTCAAAATTAAGCCTTCTTTCCCAAACAATAAAAAAAAATCCACTCCCATACCATAGTTCAGTCCTTCTTGACTTACATCTAAATTACTGCAATATGGCCAGGAGCAGTGGCTCACTGCCTATAATCCCAGCACTTTGGGAGGCCAAGGATCATGGATCATGAGGTTAGGACCAGCCTGACCAACACGGTGAAACGCAGTGTCTACTAAAAATACAAAAATGGGATGGGTGTGGTGAGGGATGCCTATAATCCCAGCTACTCGCAAGAGTGAGGGAGAGAAATGCTTGAACCTGGGAGGTGGAGGCTGCAGTGAGCTGAGATCACGCCACTGCACTCCAGCCTGGACAACAGAGCGAGACTATGTCTCAAAAAAAAAAAAAAAAAAAAAAAAAAAAAAAAAAAAACACCTGAGTAGCAATTTCACTTGTATGAATAATTACGGGGGGTTATAAAGAGCCCTTAGAATGTGCATATCAGGCTGGGTGTAGTGGCTCATACCTGTCATGCCAACACCTTAGGAGGGTGAGGTGAGCAAGCTGCTTGAGGCCAGGAGTTCAAGACCAGTCTGGGCAACAAAGACAGAACCTATCTCTACAAAAAATAATTTAAAAATCAGCCAGGTGCAGTGGCTTGTGCCTGTACTCCCAGCTACTCCAGAGACTGAGGGGGGCAACTGCTTGAGTCCAGGAGTCTGAGGCTGCAGTGAGCTATGACTGCGCCACTGCACTCCAGCTTGGAGCACAGACTGAGACCCTAACATTAAAAAAAGGGGATCGGGGTAAAGAATGTGCATACTGGTGAAACAGCATAAATATCTTTCATGTTTAAGCAGTAACTGGCTGGGTGCGGGGGCTCACACCTGTAATCCTAACAGTTTCGGCAGGCAGAGGCAGGAGGATCACCTGAGGTCAGCAGTTCGAAACCAGCCTGGCTAACATACAGTGAAACCCCATCTCTACTAAAAAATACAAAAACAGCTGGTCATAGCGGTGCACGCCTATAGTCCCAGCTACTTGGGAAGCTGAGGCAGGAGAATGGCTTGAACCTGGGGGCAGAGGTTGCAGTGAGCCAAGATCACACCACTGCACTCAGCCTGGGCCACAAGGCAAGACTCAATCAATCAATCAATCAGTCAATGTAGGGCCAGGTGCAATGGCTCAAGCTGTAATTCCAGCACTTTGGGAGGCTGAGGTCAGGATCACCTGAGGTCAGGAATTCAAGACCAGCCTGACCAACATGGTGAAACACTGTCTCTACTTAAAATACAAAAATTAGCCAGGTGTGGTGGTGCACATCTGTAATCCCAAATTCTCAGGAGGCTGAGGCAGGAGAATCTCTTGAACCCAGGAGGTGGATGTTACAGTGAGCCATGATCAAGCCACTGTACTCCAGCCTTGGCAACAGAGCAAGACTGTCTCTAAATAAACAAATAAATAAAGAGTAAGCTATGTTACGAACATCTTGTAGACTCTAAGGAACTATGTTACCCAAAACGTTGCAAGACTGGTTACTGAGTGCCCAGTGACTGGTTAAGAGTGACTGGTTAAGGGAAGGCTCTAAACAGCTCTGCCCAAAGGAACTTGATGCAGGGATGGCCCCGACTATATTCACTGTCCCATTAGGAGCCACAGTGTCTCCTCAGCACTTGAAATGTGGCTAGTGCAACCAAGCAACTGAGTTATTTTACCTAATTTTATTTAATTTTAATTAAAATGAAAGTAACGGCCGGGCGCGGTGGCTCAAGCTTGTAATCCCAGCACTTTGGGAGGCCGAGGCGGGTGGATCACGAGGTCGAGAGATCGAGACCATCCTGGTCAACATGATGAAACCCCGTCTCTACTAAAAATACAAAAAATTAGCTGGGCATGGTGGCACGTGCCTGTCATCCCAGCTACTCAGGAGGCTGAGGCAGGAGAATCGCCTGAACCCAGGAGGCGGAGGTTGCGGTGAGCCGAGATCACGCCATTGCACTCCAGCCTGGGTAACAAGAGCGAAACTCCATCTCAAAAAAAAAAAAAAAGAAAGTAACCACAAGGCTGCTGGCTACTGTACAAAGAGCGCAGCTCCAGAGTCAAGGGCAGACTGCCAGGGCTCCCACCCTGGCTTCGCCACTCCCAGGATGTGGAACCTGGGGCCAGTGTCCCAGCCTCTCTGTGCCTGACAGTCCTAATCTGTAAAATGGGAACAGCAATAACTTGCTATGGTGCCTGACAGCTTCCACTGTATTACTGTTATTGTTGTTATTTGCTAGTCATAGCTACACATAGGCTTCTAACTGTTGGTACTCCATACTTACAACACATCATTACATGAAAAAGACACATTATAAAACAATGTGTAAGCTATCATTTAAAAAGTAAATCACATACAAAGAAAAACCTCCATTAGGACTTTCAACAAATTTAAGAATGGTTGTGGTCATACATTATTTTTCTTCTCTGTAACATTTATATTTTGCTTTCCTGCAAAGAGGACACCCTGCTTTATTATATAAAAATAATCCAGGCCAAAGTGCTGGGATTACAGGTGTGAGCCACTGCACCCCACCTGGATTATTTGTGAGGCCAAGACCGGCAGATAACTTGAGGTCAGGAGTTTGAGACCAGCCTAGCCAACATGGTGAAACTTGTCTCTACTAAAAATAAAAAACTTAGTCGGGCTTGGTGGTGTGCACCTATAATCTCCCAGCTACTCGAGAGGCTGGGGCAGAACTGCCTGAACCTGGGAGGCGGAGGTTGCAGTTAGCTGAGATCACACCACCGCACTCCAGCCTGGGCCATAGAGTGAAATTCAGTCTCTAAAATAAAAATTTAAAAAAATAAATAAATAATCCAACCTTTAATTTCTCCCTGTTGCTAAGTAGGTGAAAGGTCCATCTAGGCCCTTTGGTCATCTGGGTACAACCCACCTCTGTAGGTTTACTTTTCATGCTTCCCCTCCTCACCCTGGCTGCTCCCGGGAAACTGGCCAGGCCACCCGCCCACTGGGGCCTTCCCCTCCTGCCTGCCGCGCCCCGGCGCCTGCCTGCCCAGCTGCGATGCCTCACCCTTCTCCTTTTCAAATCTCTCTCGTGCCTGCATCCTTCTTCACTTACACTGCCGCAAATCAAAGTGATCACCCCACTTCCAATGTTGCTCTAACACAAATTGGTCCCCAACACACAGCCTTTCTAGGACATGTCCTCTTAAATAGGCCAAAACCTTACTTCGAGAGGAGCCGCCCCAGTACGTCACCACATTTGCTCCCTCCACGCTTCGTCTGCGGCCCAGGACACTCATCTCGGTTTCTATAACGGACATTCTCAAGCAGACGTAAAGGCGCAGCGTCCCCGAAATTCTTCAGGCGGCTGACATTTGTTTTCCTTGGTGAGTCCTACGCCTGACTTCGCTAGTTAACAGTAGGGCAGTGACACAGTGCAAGAATAAAGTCACACGGCACCACGCCTGGCTCAGTGCATGTTGGCCAACAGGACGTTGGTCGTCCTGAAACGCAAGCCGAGAATCATATGGATCTGTCTGCCTTCTCCCTGTCAGTAAGTCCTCGTCATCCTTCAGATCACGTCCAGGGGTCATTTTGTGCCCTCATTTACGCAACACAACTTTACTGAGCGCCAATTCTATGCCAGGCACCATCCTAAGCTCTGAGGATACAACAGTGAAGACACTTATCCGTCTTCAGGAAGCTTACATTCTGAGGACAGATCAAATGCAGAACAAAACAGGCAAACAGAACAAACACAAACGGCCCAGCTGCGACAGATAAAACCTCTAAACGCCTTCCTCACCCCACACACTTGGTCAGGTTCCTGTGTTTCGCGTCTTAGAGTGAAGGGGACGCTTTTTCTTGATGGCACTTTACCCTTTATAGAATCTGAGCTTTTTTCCATCAAAAACCATTCTCCCTTCTAGACTGCAAACGCTCTGAAGGCAAGGACAGGGATCCGTACGGGACCCAATAGATACTAGGGACTGTGAGATCAACAAACTGATTCCTCTTTAACAGGATCTATGGCAAGTAGGACGTTTGCCCCCAGCCTTTTTTAAACCCTAAGAACTTCCTTGCCAACAGTCCCTGCAGAAGCCGCGGACAAGAGTTCGGAGATCTATTTGAGCACAAAAGCAGAAAAAACAAAACCCGTGCATCAGGGCGTGGTCCCAAGGCCCAGCTGGGGAAACCAGGGCTCTCTCTTCCGGCTAAAAATAACCGGGCGCCCTACGCCCCGGGGGTAGGGTAGAGAGAGGAGGAAGGACTGGGGGTCCTCGCCAAGATCCCCCGGCCCAAACGTTCTCCGAAGCCTACCCTGGAATAACCTTCTGCCTCATGGGGACCCAAGGACGAGGCAATGTTCACTGGAGGCTGCGGGTCCCCGAAGGCGAGCGCCCGGATTTGCCTAAACGGACCGAGCCTGGGTTGGCGGCTGCAGCCGTCCAGTCTGGGAATGGAGGGGGGGGGGGTCCCCGCGTGTCCCCGAGCCGCGGTGCTGTGAGACCTTGGGCAAGTCACCTAACCTCTCTGGGCCCCGGTCCCCTCCCCTGTCAGAGACGGGCCTCCGCGGCAGCCCGCTGAAGTCTAAAGAAGGCAAAAGCTCCCGGACCCCTCAAGGAGAAGACTCGAGCCGACTCCCGGGGTGCGCCGACAGCGCCAAGTTTCAAGTCTGTGTCGCGTGAGGCGGGCAACGGCGGGGTGAGGACTGCGCTCGCCCGCCCGGCAGCTTCCCCTCGGCCCGCCCCGAAGCCCCGGGCAGCGTCCCGCTCACCTCCAGAGGCGGGTGGGCTCGGACGAGGTCCCCGGCGGACTGTGGCAGCCGCACTCGCCGCCCCTCGACTAGCAGCGGCATAGCGGAGGCGGCCGCCCCGGCAGGCCCAGGGAGGCGACGCCCCCCCCAGCCCCCGGCCACCCACCGCCCCCGCCTCTCGGGCCGCGCGTACCGCCCCGTCCCGCCTCGACGCGGGCGCTGCCGGGAAGTGGAGTCCACGCGGAGACTGCGCTCGCCGAAGAGACTGTAGAAACCCAGGACGGGGGCGGCAATGCCTCGTGGGAAGTGTAGTCCAAAACCAGGAAGCAGCCCCGGAAGCAGCCCGCGGCCCCCCCTCCTCTGCAAGGGGCGCTGGGAAGTGTAGTCCCAAAAGCGTGGGAGAGAGGGAAGGAGAGAGGTTGGGGAAAGGGGAGAGGACAGGGAGCAGCTGCGCGAGCAAGAGAGCCTCGGGGCCAGTTCCCCGGACAGACGCGGTCTGGCTCAGGCTTCTGCGCTTTAGGTTATTATTCCATCACGCTTCCCAGGTGTGTGAACTTCCGCAAGCTTGAGTTTGGGACCCAGCTGTGCTGCTCCGTAGGATTGTATTTAATGAGTAATAAACCTCATCAGGAGGACACGCTGGCTCACGCCTATAATCCCAGCACCTTGGGAGGCCGAGGCGGGAGGATCGCTTGAGGCCAAAAGTTCAAGACCAGCCTGGCCAACACAGCAAAACCAACCCTCCTCCATACTCTCGTCTCTGCAAAAAATTTAAAAACTGAGCATGGTGGCATGCTCCTGTAATCCCAGCCACTCTGGAGGCTGAGGCAGGAGGATCCCTTGACCCCAGGAGTCGGAGGCTGCATTGAGCTATGTTTGCACACTGCAGAGGGTGACCTTGCCTCTAAAAATAATAAAAGAAAACGTCCACAGTCTTTTTTTTTTTTTTTAAGAGACGGGGTTTCACCATGTTGGCCAGGCTGGTCTCAAACTCCTGACCTCAGGTGATCTGCCCACCTCGGCCTCCCAAAGTGCTGGGATAACAGGCGTGAGCCACCATGACCGGCCTAATGTCAACAGTCTTAAATTGGGAAACTATATCCTGAACTGCACTAGCCTCACGTATTAAGAGATCATCGATAAGACTTCGTGATTGGAATCCAAGAGGCCACTCACATATGGGCTGGGAACCATGGGGGAAGGATTTGCAGATACTGACTGCACCCCGGCTACTCTGAAGACAGGTCCCCAAGGTAAGAGGCGTCTCACCGTGGAGCTCTCTTCTAAAAGTTGAGAGACATTGCTGAAATACATCCGACTCTGCAGCACATTAACAAAAGGTAATTTTACAAAAGATATAGTGGTGAGTTTAAGAAGAGGAGCCACATGATAGAGCAAAAACTTTATTATAATTTTATCATCTGTATTCGTCTTCTTTCATAAATCTCTCCCTCAGCTTACACATCCCATTCAACAAAAATACCAGGAAATTTACTACAGTAAAGAATTGACTGTAGAAGATGGTGTCCCCATCGCCAGCTTACCCAACTTCTCACCCAAAATAGCTCTATTTCTAGCTACCAAGAAATTATTTCTCTGTATTATTACACCTACATTTCTCACTTGCTCCTCACAAATGTAGGAGCCAGTACCAACACCTCCGTTATCACAGAGTAACTTGCTCAAAGTGGTAGAAATACACAGTAGAACAAAGACTGAGCCCAGCTTTGTGTGATTCCAAAGGCAGCGCTCTCCATCACTATAAGATGCTCCTAGACTGTAAACAACTCATTGCAATGCAGGTGAAATTAAGTCCCAATTAGGAAGCAGGTGGCTAAAAACAGGGCTTGAATCTAGGGTGATCAATGACCAACAGGCTGGCTTGAAGCAAGTTACTTAACTTCCCTGAACTGGTTTTCTCACGTGTAGAAGAATGGTCATAACCTCAGTTTGTTTCGTCTGGTAGGTACTAAATCCTCTAAAGATAGCTATTATTGGAATTGCAGAGCCAAGAATAGTCAATAAAAGTGAGGCATTTGGGAAGTGCAAAGGTGAACAAGGGTCTGTGGGTTCTGCCTGGGGCTACTGCAGTTTGCCTTAAACTGGTTTTTCACTTTTGGGTGATCTTTTTTCAAGTAATCTCAGATTATCAATCTCCTAGGCTGAATCCTGTGTCAAAGGACTAAGTGAGCCAGAAAACAAGCAGAAAGCCCCTCCCCTACCTCTCTTCCCATCTCAGCCCCACAAATTTTGGTCTACACCCAATAAGGAAGCAAGAGCAGGTGTGTGGCCAGCACTGTGGCTCATGCCTGAAACCCTAGCAGTTTGAAAGGCTGAGGGAGGACTCACTTGAACCCAGAAGTTTGAGACCAGCCTGGACAACACAGGGAACCCCGCCTTCCCAACAAATAAAAATTAGCTGAAAATGGTAGCAGGTCTCTAGTCCCAGCTACTCAGGAGGATCATCAATAGGGCACTCTTGCCTGGGTGATAGATTCTGTCTTAAAAAAAATTTGTTTTTCAAATATTTTAATGTAGAGATGGGTGTCTCACTATGTTGCCCTGGCTGATCTCAAACTCCTGGCCTCAGGAGATCTTCCTGCTGGTCTCCCCTAGTGCTCATTTTACAGGCATGAGCTATCATCTGTATTTTATCATCTGCATTCATCTGCTTTCATAAATTTCCCCCTCAGCTGTCTCCAACTCCTGACCTCGTGATCCGCCCACCTCAGCCTCCCAAAGGGCTGGGAGACCCAGGCCCCATATTATTATATACATTATAAATGCTACTCAACGATCCCCAAGTCAGAATGAAATACACAAAAGGAAAGCATTTAATGGAAGAAAGCATGGTGGAGCTCTGGATGTTCAATTGGTTGACAATTTTAAAAAGTATGCAGTTGCAAACCAATGAACAGTTCTTAATGCAGCCTGCACCTGTGAATCACCAGGGGGCTTTAAAAAACATCAATGTAGCCGAGCCCAGTGGCTCACACCTGTAATCCCAGCACTTTGGGAGGTTGAGGTGGGCGGATCACAAGGTTAGGAGTTTGAGACCAGCCTGGCCAACATGGTGAAACCCTGTCTCTACTAAAAATACAAAAATTAGCCACACAAGGTGGCAAGCGCCTGTAATCCCAGCTACTTGGGAGGCTGAGGCCGGAGAATCTCTTGAAACTGGAAGGCGGAGGTTGCAGTGAGCCGAGATCGTGCCACTGCACTCCAGCCTAGGTAAAAGAAACTGTGTCTCAAAAAAAAAAAAAAGAAAAGAAAAAAAGCCCATCAATGTCCAAACTCCTCCTCTGGAGACTGGTTCAATCAGAGGATGAATTAGTGTGTGATGTGAGCGTGGACATCTTTAGCTTCTCAGCGCCCCCCGAGGGATTGGATTCTAGGGCATAGCCAGGTTAAGAACCACCATCATAAGCACTGCCCAGCAGTGGAAACACACTGGTCCCTCCTCTCCAGTTCAGATCTTAGTTGGTACCACAGAGTGAGGTATTATGGAAGAAATGAAGTTATCTTTAAGTGAAAAGTGCTTCCCATGAAAGTGCTTCCTTTCTCACAGGAAAACAAATGGTCCATTAACTTTTACATGCATCAAATCCTTAATGCCTTACACTAGCATCTTATTATTCCCATTCATTTTAGTTTTAATTCTCGCTCAGAGAGGTTATGTAACTTGCTCAAGGTCAAACAGCTGGTTAGGAAAGGAAGCCCGTGGCACTCTGTAGTTGCTAGTCCTTTCACATTTGTTTAAATTCAGCCATTTCTCATCAAGGAAGATCCAACTAGAGCAGGCGTCCCCAAACTTTTTACACAAGGGGCCAGTTGACTGTCCCTCAGACCATTGGAGGGCCACCACATACTGTGCTCCTCTCACTGACCACCAATGAAAGAGGTGCCCCTTCCTGAAGTGCGGCGGGGGGGGGGGGGGGGGGGGGGGGATAAATGGCCTCAGGGGGCCGCATGCGGCCCTCAGGCCGTAGTCTGGGGACACCTGAACTAGAGCACACAGACAAAAGGACGGACCCTGAAGACTCCTAAAACTGACAGCTTGCTTTTTAGTGAAAGAGAAAATTCCCATTGTTGGCTAGTAATTTACAAGGAGACTTCACAATATTTTTCCCCACAGATCTCCTTCAAAGCATTTAAGTTTTTGAAAGAAGTGTCTGCTTCCCTGGGAACTGTTCAAGCCTCACTCACTCTCAGCTGGGTGTGATTAGGGAGTCGTGGATACTTCACACAGAGCACATGGACACCATCCTCACCCTGGTATGCCATGAATTTCATCAAGCTCCCCACCATACCAGCAATATTCCTTCCTCAACAGCGATGCCTCAGGAGTTTTCCATTGCAAAATGCTTTAATACATTAAATTAAAAACTAACAAACAGAAATCAAAAGAACGTGTATCAAAGTACCTCCTTTTATTAGTATAAGAATGAAAGTTCCAGAAAATTAACCATGTCATTGTTTTATTTTCACCATGGATCTTTTTTTCACAAACTCCTTTGAAGTTAAACAGACTTATTTTTAAGTATCTTTCTACATTAAAACTACTTCCCAACCCACAAAGACCCCACTTACTATTAACTTCTGGGGAATTTCATTTACTCATTTTATCTAATATACAAAAATCCACATTGTGCCAGCAGTTAAAAAAGAGAAACTTAAGGTTCTCAAATGACTTTCCACCAAGCCACCAAAAGAAAACCACTGATACCCAAAACTTTAAAGCAATAAAAATTTCTAGTTTCCAAAAAAGTATTTACAGATTGAAATTCACAAACTATGCATTGCCATCAATATAATTATACAAGAACATATAAAGCCCTGGGAAAGAGGAAGTATTTCATTACAAAGCATTTGTGATCTCTAAACAAGCTCAACAATGAGATTGGACAAAAAAGAAAAAAAAAACCTCAAAATATTTGTGATCAAGAAAATATTGCTTGCCTTTAAATAAATAGAAGTGGCAGAAAAATAAATAAGCTTAAATATGGCCATTTTCAGGGGCGGAGGGTAAATAAAAAAAAAAAGATAGCCATTTTCACAAGTAAACCAAAAAAGAAACAAAGCAAAAATGCTCGAGCTTCAGAAGGACTCTAGCAGTGTTTGCACAAATTTGTTATTAAAGTGAAGTCTTCTGAAGACCTCTTTTTAGTTATAAAAATACAAAAAGAGGCTTTGGAGAAGGATTTCACCAAGCAGAATCTATGATATGCACAGCCACAGACGAAGACTGCACTAGGAACTTCCACCTATTGTTGTGAGCAAAACCATTCCACCAAACAATCTAAAAAAATGTTTCCTGTTGGAACAAAGAAATTCTCAATAACCTACTGATGCAGATCAAAACTGACACGATCCAACTGCTACCAAAGAACAGTTCTAGATCTAACTGGATGCTTGAGAGCCCAGGGGTAAAATACAATCTCATGTGTTTTACACAAGCCCAAGCTCCCTTTCAGTCTGTGTGAATTACAGCTACCTGGACCTCCATTTTTCTTTGCCTTTTAAGTTCATTTTTACACTGTGCCAAGTATGTTACACATCTGATTCTGTTTTCCTAAATCTTTTGTTTTGTGTGTGTGAGACGGAGTCTTGCTCTGTCGCCAGGCTGGAGTGCAGTGGCGCAATCTCGGCTCACTGCAACCTCCACCTCCTGGGTTCAAGTGATTCTTCCGCCTCAGCCTCCAGAGTAGCTGGGACCACAGGCGTGCACCACCACGCCCGGCTAATTTTTGTATTTTTAGTAGAGACGGGGTTTCACCATGTTAGCCAGGATGGTCTCAATCTCTTGACCTCGTGATCCGCCTACCTCAGCCTCCCAAAGTGCTGGGATTACAGGTGTGAGCCACCATGCCCGGCCAATCCTCTCTCATTTTTATTGGTTTCTGAAGTCCCTGGAGATCTCCTTCAGTGCCAGCTCCAACTCTGTGTGGCAGACCATGTCAGGCCAGCTCTCTGCTCTCCTTCTATCTTCTCTACACTCCCTTGAAATCCCAACACACAAATATCAATACAACTGAAGGTAAACAACATAGCCAAAATAAACTTTCTAGTTAAAGTCTTTAACCTTTTTTTTTTTTTTTAAGCGAGTGTTTGTCTACCCTTTCTTGGCTCTAAATTTAAAAAGAAAAAAGAGAGAGACAGGGTTTTACCATGTTGCCCAGACTGGTCTCGAGCTCCTGAGCTCAGACAATCCGCCCGCCTCAGCCTCCCAAAGTGCTAGGATTATAAGTATGAGCCACCACGCCCATCCAAAGTCTTTAAATAGAAGTTTTATCCGAGAGGGTTCTTCACTGAAAGCTGATCAGCAAAGTCCTGTGACCATGGATCTGACAAAAACCCATGTTTAACGAGCCATCATGAAAACAGTCTGTGCCTATATTAGAAATTACCCAGTAATTATGTCAAAAAGCTGTTTAAAAATGTACATATTAAACAAGCAGAGCCTTCCAAATTTATCAACTCCACTGTAAAATACTGCACATGATATTCAGTCTTTTCATTTTGTCTGTAAGGGGAAGAAAAAAGAAAAATCAGCTTTCAGATCAGGCGTCCCCACACTACGGCCCTCAGGCCGCATGCGGCCCCCTGAGGCCATTTATCCGGCCCCCCTCTGCACTTCAGGAAGGGGCACCTCTTTCATTGGTGGTCAGTGAGAGGAGCACAGTATGTGGCGGCCCTCCAATGGTGTGAGGGACAGTCAACTGGCCCCCTGTGTAAAAAGTTTGGGGACGCCTGCTTCAGATGCTTGATTGAGTCTAACCTGGAGTGCCACAGCGGAGGCAGGTGCTCACTCTAGCTCAATGCAGTCAATATTCAATGGCACCAGCTGGGTGCTGAGGGGGTGACAAGTGATGGGGAATCCCAAATGTCACATCTCGGTCACAACTCTTCGAGGTCAGAGAGGACTGGGTTGCATGTACAACAAGGGTGGGGAGCCCATGCTACTTGAGGGACTTCGGAAATGTGCGTCAAAGGAGCTCGGTGTGATCCCAATCACAGTATCACTCTGGGGCACTTCACCTTTCAGAAAATCATCATCTTCATCTTCCATTATCTCCTGTATAAACATCAGAAATCATCAGTAAGATCACCAGTGCTGACTGAAATGTTTTCCAGAATTCTTTCCAAAGAAAGGTGCTACGTCTGTAAAGATGGTGAAGACAGTATCTTAATTTCAAAAGAAAGCCAATGTAGTGACACACATGTGTAGTCCCAGCTACTCGGGAGGCTGAGGTGAGAGGATTGCCTGGGTTCAAGAGCTCCGAATCCAGCCTAGACAACATAGTAAGACCATGTCTTTTGTTTTTTGCATCATCCAGCCCCAAAATGTCAGCAAGACCATGTCTCTTAAAAAAAAAAAAAAAAAAAAAAAAAAAAAAAAAAAAATGCCGGATGCAGTGGCTCACGTCTGTAATCCCAGCACTTTGGGAGGCCGAGGTGGGTGGATCATGAGGTCAAGAGATCGAGACCATCCTGGTCAACATGGTGAAACCCCGTCTCTACTAAAAATACAAAAATTAGCTGGGCATGGTGGTGCGTGCCTGTAATCCCAGCTACTCAGGAGGCTGAGGCAGGAGAATTGCCTAAACCCAGGAGGTGGAGGTTGCAGTGAGCTGAGATCATGCCATTGCACTCCAGCCTGGGTAACAAGAGTGAAACTCCGTCTCAAAAAAAAAAAAAAAGACCACAACAGAAAAGCTCCTTCTGATAAGCACTTCCTTCCTACCAACACAACCACATAACTGCTTGCTCATCACACCTGGTAATTTTTTAAAGTCTGACTTGCAAACAGATTTGAAGCTCAATGGGGACAGTAAACATGAAGAGCCATTCTTGCCGTGTTACAGCTCTTGTACCTGACACAATGTGAATGAATTACACGCCCTTCAACAAATGCAAAACATAAAAAGATAAAATGAGCTTTCCAATGGATACTTATTAACAACAAAAAAAGATATCTGGAAGCTGTTTTTAATGTGAAAAAATGTGCAAGAGCAGCAAAATTCTTTTTTTTTTTTTTTTGGAGACACAGTCTCGCTCTGTCACCCAGGCAGGTTCGATGTTGGCTCCCTGCAACCTCTGCTTCACAGGTTCACGCAATTCTCTGCCTGAGGCTCCCAAGTAGCTGGGACTACTGGTGCCTGCCACCATACCCGGGTAATTTTTCTATTTCTGGTAGATAGAGATGGGGTTTCACCATCTTAGCCAGGCTGGTCTTGAACCCCTGACCTTGTAATCTACCAGCTTCAGCCTCTGAAAATGCGGGGATTAAAGGCGTGAGCCACCACGCCAGAACAGCAAAATTCTTTATTACTGGACTCTAACTTTTCTCTCCAGCAGTAACTGTCTTAACTTCACCTCATGTGACCTGGAGGGTATGGTACCTACCTGCGTCTTCACCACCGATTCAGGGAGATCTATAAAACTAATATAAATTGCTGGGGCAATTTCAACATGAGTCAACTGGAGATTGTTACTTGGTGAGAATGCTCAAGTGGCAAAGATCATTTGTTCAGCTAATTTGTAATTAACCTTCACTTCTCACATGTTAGTATGTTAAGTGTGTGGTTTAAGCAATTTATCAAAAAAAAGCTACAGACTCTTTAAATAACAAAACTTGGGCTTGGAATTTTATAAAGGCAGAAGGAATAAGACATACTTTTGGTGTGCTCTTTTTTTTTTCTCTTTTTGAGACACAGTCTCGCTCTGTCACCCCAGCTGTAGTACAGTAGCGCAGTCTCAGCTCACTGCAACCTCCACCTCCCGGGTTCAAGCAGTTCTCCTGCCTCAGACTCCCAAGTAGCTGGGATTATGCACCCACCACCACGCCCAGCTAATTTTTTATATTTTTCGTAGAGACAGGGTTTCACTACGTTGGCCAGGCTGTTCTCAAATGTCTGACCTCAGGCGATCCACCCATCTCAGCCTCCCAAAGTGCTGGGATTACAGGCGTGAGCCACAGCGCCCAGCCTTGGTGTGCTTTTTGAAAGAAGACAGGATCTTGCTCTGTTGTCCAGGTTGGAGTGCTGTGCTGCATTATAGCTCACTGCAGCCATGACCTCCCACCTCAGCCTCCAGAGAAGCTGGAACTACAGGTGTGCACCACTATACCCAGCTAATTTAAAAATTTTTTGTTTTAAAATGAGTCTATGTTGCCTAGGCTGGTCTCAAATTCCTGGGCTCAAGCAATCCTCTGCCCTTGACTCTCTAAAGTGCAGGGACTACATGCATGAGCAAGTTACCGCTTACTATTTGATTGTGACCCGCAACCAGAGCGGGGATTCCAGGAAAGTGTGCTGAATCACGAACTTACCATTTTTTTTTGAGACGGAGTTTCGCTCTTGTTACCCAGGCTGGAGTGCAATGGCGCGATCTTGGCTCACCACAACCTCCACCTCCTGGGTTCAGGCAATTCTCCTGCCTCAGCCTCCTGAGTAGCTGGGATTACAGGCACGCGCCACCATGCCCAGCTAATTTTTTGTATTTTTAGTAGAGATGGGGTTTCACCATGTTGACCAGGATGGTCTCGATCTCTTGACCTCGTGATCCACCCGCCTCGGCCTCCCAAAGTGCTAGGATTACAGGCTTGAGCCACCGAGCCCAGCGAACTTACCTTTTTAATGGGTTTCTTGAACTCCTGCAGCTCTTCAGCACTCATGTCTTCCCATATCTGATAAATAGGATCAATGAATTTCTTTGACCTGTCAACAAAGATCACATGTCAAAGTCGAGTTAAACACTTTAGCACAAGTCAAAACTGGTTTGGATCTTTTCTCACAAGACCTATTACCCAAAACCTAGAAGTGAAAACTATAGCTCAAATAATCACATCAAAAAACCCTCTACGTAGTCCAGGTGCAGTGGCTCACACCTGTAATCCCAGCACTTTGGGATGCCATGGTGGAAGGGATCACCTGAGGGTGGGAGTTCAAGACCAGCCTGACCAACATGGGGAAACCCCATCTCTACTAAAAATACAAAATTAGCTGGGCATGGTGGTACATGCTTGTAATCCTAGCTACTCAGGAGGCTGAGGCAGGAGAATTGCTCGAACCCGGGAAGTGGATGTTGCGGTGAGCCGAGATCGCACCATTGCACTCCAGACTGGGCAACAACAGCGAAAAACTCCGTCTCAAAAACAAACACAAAAAACTCTCTATATAAATTTACACTGTGTATTAAGCGGCCCTTTCTATGTAAGAGTTCCTTCACTCACGTGGATGGAGTATTGCACCTACCGTTTTCCATCTTTCCATTTTCAAGTAACATTGTTTCTACACTTGACAAAGACTGACAAGTCAGTTATATATAGTATATCCAAACTATAATATTCTGGAACTCTCTTTTTTATATTTCTATAGTAATTTGCTGAAAAGTAAGTCTAGGAAAAATAACTAATCTGGTTTCAGTCAACCAAGACTTCAGGGACCAGACAATCCCAGATGGTCATGCAGTTATTATAGAAACCATAATAAGCAAAAATCCTGCTTCCTTATACAAGTTACAAGTTAAGGCTGGTTCAGTGGTTTTCTAGAATAACTCATCTAGATAAATCTTGTTTTTGAGACAGAGTCTCACTCTGTTGCCCAGGTTGGAATGCAGTGGTGCAATCTTGGTTCACTGCAACCGCCGCCTCCTGGGTTCAAGTGATTCTCCCACCTCAGCCTCCTGAGTAGCTGTGATTACAGGTGCCCACCACCAAGCCTGGCTTTTATTTTTTTTGGGGGGGCGGGTAGGGAGGAGGGTGGAGTTTCGCTCTTGCTGCCCAGAATGGAGTACAATGGCACGATCTTGGCTCACCGCAACCTCTGCCTCCCAGATTCAAGTGATTCTTCTACCTCAGCCTCCTGAGTAGCTAGGATTACAAGCATGCACCACCACACCCAGTTATTTTTTGTATTTTTGGTAGAGATGGGGTTTTTCCATGTTGGTCCGGCTAGTCTAGAACTCCCGACCTCTGATGATCCACCTGCCTTGGGCTCCCAAAGTGCTGGGATTACAAGCATGAGGCACCATGCCCGGCCTAATTTTTTGTATTTTTAATAGAGACAGGGTTTCACTATCTTGACTAGGCTGGTCTCAAACTCCTTACCTCAATGGATCCACCCACCTTGGCCTCCCAAAATGTTGGGATTACAGGCCACGCGCCACTGCGCCCAGCCAATTGTTTGTTTTTTGTTTATCCTGTGCAACAGAATGGGATGTGGTCTCCAGAGGAAGGAACAAGACACCTGGCAGAAAATTATGAAGCAAGCAAAGACAGCACCCTCTTCTATCCTGGCACTGTTATCCCCATAACCTTATATATTTAAACAACAGTTTAAAGAAAAACAAAAAGTAGAACAAAAACCCTTGGTGTCAAACTGGCTCCTACGGAGGCAAAGATCTACCCACTCTGGGGTGCCTGCACCACTCAGCAGGTCCTGCTAGGCATCCTCTACTTTGCCTGTGAAATATACGCAGGGAGACCACGAGAAGCTCATGAACAGCAAGGAGGGGCCCCTTCCAGCAAAGAGCCCTAAATCCCAATCTTGGGAAAAGCAAACATGTATCACGTTTCAACCCACCTCTTGTCAAGGTTTAAAAGTACCTACCTCTTAAGCACACAGGGATCAAAGGGGAAGAAGGTGTCCAGCGGGTTTGTGCAGGTCTGCACTGAGTCTCCTCCCGCGGTACTTCTAATGACTGGCAGCATCTGGCGATTGTTCCTCTCAATGATGGTATAGCAGAAGACGAGCTGATACTTACTGTGGAACAAAAAAACAACACAGACAGAGGCATTAACACGCTGAAATGACTCCATGCAGATGTGACCTGTGGGTGATAACTGTACCTATGACAGAGAAATTGCTGAACATAACAAGTGCTAATAAAAATTACAACATAAAGCAGAAAATAACACGTTTAGGGTACCATTCTCTGGATCGTCTATTCACAAGTTTGCTAAAGAGAAAGAAAATGTGACTATCACTCAGAATGTGAAACTAGGCTTAGGTTTCAATGAGTAATAGATATTATTCATTAAAAATAAATGCTTGCAAAGCAAAACTCTTAGTTTACATAACTATAGGTGTTTTTATTTTTACTGATTACAAAATAATTAGAGGGTTGGTAGAAAAGGGATTCAGGAGGGATTAAGTTACTCAGGAGAAAATAGTGGTTGGTGAAGAGACTTGCTGAAGAAGAAATTAGGCCTTTACTGAAGGAGGGACATGGGGTTGACTAAGTCATGACCTCAAAAACAGGCAGAGAAAGGACTAGGCATGGTGAGTGAGAACAGTTAAATGCACAGAAGAAACCACAAAATTAAAAAAAGGGAATTATGTTGTTACTTTTTCTGATAGTTGTCTCTAAATGATTAAGCAACTTGAAAAATCATTTATTAAACAGCTTCTCCAAGACAAGGATTTAGATCTCACTTCTGTCACTCTCCACCTCAGGTTCTCAGGTCACTATGGCAACTTCAAGCCACATACTTGGATTTCTGCCCCATTACTGAGGCTCGCAACACTTAACCCCTCCCCACTCCTCCTGAGGATGCATCAGCAGAACGACACCGGAGGGCAGTCTGCACTAACGGGTAAAGCTGAAGATCTGCATCTCCTACAGCCACACAGCCGACGACGCTTCCGGGGATGTGACAAGGAAGCATGTGCCCACACACCAGGACACTCAAACAAGATGTTCCTGAGTACTAAAACACTTAACACAGCCAGCTGAGCGAGGTGGCTCATGCCTGTAATCCCAGCACTTTGGGAGGCTGGGGCAGGCAGTTCACTTGAGCTCAGGAGTTTGAGACCAGCCTGGCCAATGTGGTGAAACCCTATCTCTACTAAAAATAAAAAATTAGCTGGGCGTGCTGGTGGGCACCTGTATTCCCAGCTACTAGGAGGGCTGAGAAAGGAAAATCACTTGAACCCAAGAGGTGGAGGTTGCAGTGAGCCAAGATCGCACCACTGCAATCCAGCCTGGGCGACAGAGCAAGACTTTGTCTCAAACACAAAACAAAACCAAAACAAAAACTAACAGCTAAAATCCCAACAAAGACTCAACAAGAAAGATTTGCAGAACATTACACAGCAGTTATAATCAAATTTGAGCTTTGTGTCAGTATGGTTGAATCTCAAAACCATCAAGCAGGCAAAATCAACAGCTACAGAATGGTATACACTTTTATTTGCCATATCCGTACAGAGGCACAGACCTTTATTTCAAGCCCCCACTCTTAGTCTCGTATCGCAGTGTGCCTCCAATACGCATGCCAACCTCAAATCGAGAGCTCCCGGACCAGTTGGTTCACAAATGCAGCCCTCTGTCCCCACCCTGAGAATATACTAGGGGCAGCTGCCTTTGCTTCTTCCGACCTCACTCTTAGAGCTGCTCACCATCTTAACCGATGTGCTGAAGCCTCCACCCACTCAGCGCCATTGCTTGCCGGTCTCTTTAAGCCTTTTCCTAATCCTTTACTATCACTGTTGAGATCTCACAAGACAGGATACCTTGACCCAGATGCCTAGCAAAGGAGAACTAAAGAGGGTGAAGGAGCTCAGCAACCCCCAGCTCTGACTTGTTGAAGATTGTAAGCTACAACACGCCTGAATATCCTCATTAAATACTCAATTCTCCACTTCACTTTTTCCATAAAGCAGATTAACTCAGTGAAAGCTTACAAAGGAGTCAGACTCCATTTGAATCTGCTGCCAGTCCGGCTTTATGACTTTAGGCAAGTGATTTTACCTCTTTGTACATCCACCTCACCATGGATAAGCAGGGTTTCATTCTAGAGGGCTGTTCGAGGATCCAATGAGCTCTACGTAAAGCGCTTAGAACCGTTTCGCACAGAGGAAAGGCTATGTATTAGCCATGGCTACCAGACCTGAGAGAACAGTACTCTCGGAACCACTCTCCTACTGGTCAGCATCTACCTCACTTCCAGCTGATTTCTATTCCTATTACAGGAGTCACTCCAATAAGCATCTATGGCTTTCCCCTTCCCAGCTAACTGGTTGCCGTACTTATTTCAAAGTGCCTAGGCTTCTGCCGAATTATGCCCTTGGATAAGAAGTAGCAATTTCTCCATCCTAGCCAACATGGTGAAATGCCATCTCTACTAAAAATACAAAAAAATAGCTGGGTGTGGTGATGGGTGCCTGTAGTCGCAGCTACTCCGGAGGCTGGAGAATCGCTTGAACCTGGTGGGCGGAGGTCATAGTGAGCCAAGATGGCGCCACTGCACTCCAGCCTGGTGACAGAGTGAGACTCTGTCTCAAAAACTAAACAATAGCTGTATTACAGTATTTCCTGCAGGGGCTTGGCTGTTTTTGTTTGTTTAAGAAACAGGGTCTCGTTCTGGAGCCGACACTGGAGTGCAGTGGCACATTCAGGGCTCACAGCCTCCTTGACCTCCTGGGCTCAAGTGATCCTCCCACCTCAGCCTCCTGATTAGCTGGGACTACAGGCACATGACACCACCCCCAGCTAATTTTTAAATTTTGTAGAGACAGGGTCTCATGATGTTGCTCAGGCTGGTATTGAACTCCTGGCCTCAAGCAATCCTCCCACCTCAGCCTCCCAACATGTTGAGATTACAGGCAACAGCCACCACACCTGGCCTTTTTTAATGTTACTAATTTCCAAGAAATTTAATGTAACCTTACAATACCAGATAAACATATATATATATATACATATTTTTTTTTTTTTTTTTTTTTTTTTTTTTTGAGAGAGCTTTGCTCTTGTTACCCAGGCTGGAGCGCAATGGCATGATCTCAGCTCACCGCAACCTCCGCCTCCTGGGTTCAGGCAATTCTCCTGCCTCAGCTTCCTGAGTAGCTGGGACTACAGGCATGCACCACCATGCCCAGCTAATTTTTTGTATTTTTAGTAGAGACGGGGTTTCACCATGTTGACCAGGATGGTCTCGATCTCTTGACCTCGTAATCCACCTGCCTCAGCCTCCCAAAGTGCTGGGATTACAGGCTTGAGCCACGGCGCCCGGCTAGACATAAATATTTAAATAATTCCCATCAAGAAAGCGTTAAATAACTTACTTTGTGATTGCAGCAAAAAAGTTAACCACCGATGGCAGGCAAATCTTCAGGGGGTTTAGCTGGCTCATCACTATTCGCTCAAAATTCAGACTCTGAAGATACTGCAAACCTTTAATTTAAAAAAAAAAATTTTTTTTTAGGTACAAATATAAGAGAAAAGTGTAAGATATCTTTAAAACCATAAATTCACACACATTAAAAAAAAAAAAAAAAACTTAAAAAAATTATTTGCAGAAATGCTTTAAATAAAGGTCCATGCAGACAGACAGTCACATAGTGTATGGCCCAGAAGAATGTGACCAGTCTAGCCACATTCATTGATCACCAAGGCGGCTTCACTAAAGAACACTCAGGAAGTAGCAGGCTGTAACACTATGTGACAAGGTGAAGTTCATACGTTTGTTAAGCTCAGTGTATGCTGAGTTTATACAGAGGGGGAAAAAGACCTTGTGACTTGATTTCAGCTAACAATCGACAGGCAATAAAACAGAACAGCAATTTGATTCTAGCTTGTGTTTTCAGGTGCACAGTAGTTATTTGTAGTTTTTCTTTTTCTAAACAAGAAACTCTAAATTTGCCTCTACCTCTGTGGAAGGCAAATTTAGACAGAAACCTCTTTCTCAGAATTAATGAATACAATTCTCTCCTACATGACTAAAAGAAAGATACTTCATTTATTTTAAGAGGCAAGCTGACCAACTTGTACTTAAGAATATGTTCTTAGGAGTTTCTCTGATGCATATTTTGATAAAAATTACATAAATGGGATGTCACAGCTTAAAAAAACAATAGGTTTACTTCAGATTCCTGGCATTAATTTATACAAAGACCAGCAGAGATACTTACCTTGCGATAAGACCTTGTCTTACTGGTCTATACAGTACCTTTTTAGGAGCATGTAGGATATAGGTAAATGTATATAATGCAACACATGCAACTTTCAGTTCAGAGCTCTGGCTGTTAACCCAAGGGGACTGTGACCCCCGCAGAGGACATGTGGCAGTGTCTGAGGAGAGTTTTAGTTGTCACGACTGGGGGTGGTCAAGACTGAAGTTAGCAGCTAATAGGTGGAGGCTGTTCAACATCCTACAGGGCAGACAAAAGCCCCCAGTGATGAAGGACAATGCAGCCCAAACGTCAATTGTGCGAGGTTGAGCGCTGCTTTAGAGACAGTGGCCCATGAAACCACGTGAATTATTCATAAACATCAACAAAATAATGTACAATGACTTCTAAACTACGTTCTTGAAGACTCTCTTCAACTAAAATATACTAATCTAGTAAGTTTCAACTGATAGATATGAATTATAAATAACTCTTGGAAATTAGCAAAAAATACTGCCCAATGAAATCTCAAGGCTTCAGGCAAAGTTAAATCTGAATAAACCCAAACTTTCCAGTCAGCCGAACCTGGCTTCAGTTTCTCATCTTGCCAGTAACTATGTGATCTTGGGAAAATGACTGCCCTCTGCTTTGCTGTCTGTGAAAGGAAAATATGTGCCATTTACTGGCACACCCCAGGGCTCAGCCTCGCCTCTGGAGAGGTCTTCACATTTCAAGCCCTCAAAAGCAGAAACCTCTTTCTCAACCTCAAATTTATCTTGAGGGGTTTGTAGGGTTCTCAAGCTCAAATCCATCTTAAGGGGTTTGTAGGGGAGTATGAGGTGCTTGAAATTATTGTTAAAAGTTTGAATGTGCATGTAGTTTTCTGAATCCATAGTTTTTATTGAAGTCTCCAAAAGAGTAAAGAATCGCCATTCTAAAGAGTGACAAGAACAAGGAAAATCCAGTCCAGCACTCCCACAACACTGACCTTCTTTCAGGTTTCCACTCAAAAGCTGCTTGTGTCTAAAAACAAAGGTGTAGAACACAGCTTGGCAGGCTGAGTAAAATGGTCCATGGAGAGCAACGTCACAGAATGCCTTTGTTCCTGAATCCTGGTTATGAAGGTATATGTGCAGCCAGTTAACCAAAAGATCTAGGCATGATTTTACAGTACTAGAGAAAAGAAAAATTCAGATCAACTTTACACTTCATAAAAAAAAAAAAAAAAAAAAAAAAAGAAACCAGAGTAACATAATACACAACTGCCTTTCATTACAAACTACACTAAGTAAGTTCATAGGATTATTTAAATAATACCCATGGACACAAAGGAAAAGCAAACAAAGGAAGAATAAGGATGGGTTCGAAGGAAGGCAACCTTCCAGTTACAAGGTAGAGTAGCTCTGACCTTCTAGGAACAGGTTAGCCCCTAAGAACGTCCCAAGGGATGGAGAGCAGGTTCTCCTAACCATCTCAAAAGCAGCCCTCTTAGGGTGATTGGCCAAACAGGACAGGTTCACCAACATCTCCTAAGAGAAGACAGTCTGGTGGACTTTTGTATTCCCTGATGGAGCCTAGTGAAGTCCTATGGTCAATGATTTTGTGATTGGGGAAGGATTTCAACAGCATTCTTATCCAAAGATACCTTCATGGACCACTGGAAGAAAACGGCCCCTTAGATAGGTCTATTACCTTTAAAAGGTTTTTTCTTCAGCTTTATCAGATACAATAGATTTGGAATGTAAATGAAAAAATGACAAACCTACAAAAAGAATCAAAACAGAATACACAAAAACAAATGGATCTTCAAATGCAACCACACAGAACAGATGACAAAAGCCTTACATATGGGATTTCATATATATAAAGAGACACTTTATTCTAAAATCACTGTTTAGAAATATAAACATCTTGCATGGAGTGGGGATTTTATTCACTTAAAAAATCATACCAACAAAATAAGGCAGATATTTTTGACTTGAGACAATGCTACACTCTTTTTAAAGCATGATATTAAAAAGTACTTGAAAAATTAGGCTACTTACATAAGAGGAATAAATTTAGCTCTTGCCAAAAAGCTTCCGATATAATTTCCAGCAGCCTGCCTGATGATGGCAGGATTACTTGGATCCTGTAATTTTTTCCAGAGATGTTCCAGAAATGCCTCTGCAAATCCCTATAAAAAGAGAATGTGTCGGTGTAATCTTTTTTTAATGCCTAAGATAATATGGCTATCAAAATCCTAAGATTTTTACTTCACCAACGCGGGGAAAAGTTCCAGTATCTCACAAGTACTTCATGGTCTTCATTTTTTAAACACTTTGACAGAATACTATTAAAAACAAAAGGCATCTCAGGTGTTAAATAATCAAATGGATCACAAACAAATCAACCCGTGGCCGGTGCGGCGGCTCACACCTGAGGTTAGGAGTTTGAGACCAGCCTGGCCAACATGGTGAAATCCCATTTCTACTACAAATACAAAAATTAGCCAGGCGGGGTGGCAGGTGCCTGTAATCCCAGCCACTTGGGTGGCGGAGGCAGGAGAATCACTAGAACCCTGGAGGCAGGGACTGCAGTGAGCCAAGATCACAGCACTGCACTCTAGGCTGGGCAACAGAGCGAGACACCACCTAAAAAAAGAAAAGCCAGGAAGGTACAAATTCAGTAGGTTTGTGACTGGGCTTTGAAATCTGCAGATTCACGTGATTCCAATGTCAGCCAGAACTTGTGACCAACAATAACTCACACCCCACGGAGCTCCACATGGGCACTCCCGTGAGCATGAAGCACCCTTCCCGTCTCTGCACACCCTGAAATCAACCATCAACAGAAATATGGTCTAAAGTACAGCTGGTATTTGAGTAATTATGCCAATCATGGAAAAAAACAGACACAGCTTCTTAGTAAAGGGTGCAACTTCCCTTCTCCCAAATAGCACTTTTCTGAAGCTAGGCACAGACACGTGGGCAGACTAAGTTCAACCTTGTTTCCCATGACAAGCACTCTCCTTTTACGAAGCCACAAAATCGTTGCAGAGAAGGAAGAGACTTCCCCAACAATAACAAAAAAAGCCAAAGCCTAAAGTTTTAAAACTCTAGTTTAAAAAGTTGGTTTTGGGTAGTTACAACTCAACCCTTGGAAAGAACAAAGGAAATACAGTTAATTACCCTATATGAGATTTTAAGAAAAAGGCTTAAGGGAAGAGCTCCACCTAGTGACCAAAAGGCAGGATGACATTTTCACAGCACCTAGCTAGGCGGGCAGACAGCAATTCTATTTTCTCTCCAAGTGTACTGAGCAGGGAACGTGGCCAGGCACAGTGGTTCATGCCTGTAATCCCAGCACTTTAGGGGGCAGGAGGCGGGCAGATCACCTGAAGTCCGGAGCTCGAGACCAGCCTGGCCAAATGGTGAAATCCCAACTCTATTAAAAATACAAAAATTAGCCAGGTGTGGTAACCTGTGGTCCCAGGTACTCGGGAGGCTGAGGCCTGAGAATTGTTTTGAGCCTAGGAGGTGGAGGCTGCAGCAGTGGGCAGCAGAGCGAGACTGTCTCAAAAAAGAAAAGAAAAAAACAAAGAAAAGAGAATGTGATTTTATTAAGGGGAAAAGCAAGTAAGCTCAAGGAAAATAATTACTTACCTCATGGTCTCCATCCACCCCGGTTTTTAGGGAAAAATTGCAGGCAAGAACAAAATAAGCTAAGAGAATGTTAATGGCATTCTTACTTACCAATTTGAAGCTACAGAGGTAAAACATTAAAAACTGTACATGGCAGGAGGCATGGGTGGGCAACAGGAGTTTGTCAAAGATGTTTATCAGGTTGCGATACAGATCCTTCGTTTTGCTGTTATCAACCTTACCTATGGAGAAAACAACATGTTTTAGTTTTTATAAAGACATATTTTCAAGTTTCATCTGCTGGATTCTTTTTTTTTTTTTTAAATAAAGAACACACACCATTAAAAAAACAACATTATCAAGCCAGGCGTGGCGATTCACGCCTGTAATCCCAACACTTTGGAAGGCCGAGGCAGGTGGATCACCTAAGATCGGGAGTTCAAGACCAGCCTGACCAACATGGAGAAACCCCGCCTCTACTAAAAACACAAAATTAGCTGGGCATGGTGGCACATGCCTGTAATCCCAACTACTCGGGAAGCTGAGGCAGGAGAATCGCTTGAACCCGGGAGAGGTTGCAGTAAGCCGACATCACGCCATTGCACTCCAGCCTAAGCAACAAGAGTGAAACCACCAGCTCAAAAAAAAAAACACAAAAACAAAACCATTATCCAGCCATGCACAGTGGCTCCTGCCTGCAATCCCAGCACTATGGGAGGGAGCCCACGAGTTCAAGGACGGCCTGGGCAACACAGTGAGGCTCTGTCTCTACAAATAAAAATCAAAAAATTGGCCAGGTATGGTGGCACACCTGTGATCCCAGGTACATGGAGGGCTGAGGCAGATGAACAGCTTGAGCCCAGGAGGTCAAGGCTGCAGTAAGCCATGTTCATGCCACTGCATTCCAGCCTGAGTTACGGAGTAAGACCATGTCTACTTACAAAACAAACAACAAAAAAAAAACAAGACTTTGGGAGGCCAAGGCACGTGGATCACAAGGTCAGGTGTTTGAGACCAGCCTGACCAACATGGTGAAACCCTCTCTCTACTAAAAATACAAAAATTAGCTGCGCGTGATAGCGGGCGCCTGTAATCCCAGCTACTCAGGAGGCTGAGGCAGGAGAATCGCTTGAACCCGGGAGGAGGAGGTTGCAATGAGCCAAGACCATGCCACTGCACTCTAACCTGGGCAACACAACAAAACAACAACAAAGACACTCATTAAAATACAGTGGTTTACCATCTACATAGCAGACATCCTTCATGTAGGACAAAAGCAAAGACATCAGGATGTCTAGGCGCTCGGCTACAGGATGCACCATTTGGTCAAGCCGTTCGGGATTAGCCCTTGCTTCGTGTTCAGTTTCTTCATCTTCATCCTTGAAAGAAAAAAGTAAATGCTAACATTAAAAAATTCAATGTCAAAGTGGTTTAGTAGAAAAACCATCCTAAGTGATTATTTCCCCTAAAAGATAAAACAAAGAGGCTGGGCGCAGTGGCTCACACCTATAATCCCAGCACTTTGGGAGGCTGAGGCGGGAGGATCAATTGAGGTCGGGAGTTCAAGACCAGCCTGACCAGCACGGTAAAATCCCGTCTCTACTAAAAATACAAAAATTAGCCAGGCATGGTGGTACACACCTGTAATTCCAGTTACTTGGGAAGCAGAGGCAAGAAAATAGTTTGAACCTGGAAGGTGGAGAAGGCTGCAGTGAACCTGGTTCATGCCCTGGACTCCAGCCTGAGTGACAGAGTAACACTCGGCAGTGGCTCACGTCTATAATTACCAACACTTTGAAAGGAGGGAGGATCACTTGAGCTCAGGAGCCTGAGACCAGCCTGAGCAACATAGTGAGACCCATCTCTAAAAAAATATTTTAAAAGTAGCCAGGTGTGGTGGCACTGTAGTCCCAGCTACTTGAGAGGCTGAGGTAGGCAGATCACTTGAGCCCAGGAGGTCGAAGCTGCAGTGAGCCAAGATTACATCACTGCATTCCAGCCTGGGCAACAGAGCAACACCGTGTCTCAAATTAAAAAGAAAGAAAGAAAGAAAGAAATGCAGACATTGTTCCAGGGTCTCATTCAGGGATGTCAATCAGAACCACCTGCGAAATTTAAAATAAAATTTAAATATTAAAATTTAAAATAAGGCCGGGCGCGGTGGCTCAAGCCTGTAATCCCAGCACTTTGGGAGGCCGAGGCGGGTGGATCACGAGGTCAAGAGATCGAGACCATCCTGGTCAACATGGTGAAACCCCGTCTCTACTAAAAATACAAAAAATTAGCTGGGCATGGTGGTGCGTGCCTGTAATCCCAGCTACTCAGGAGGCTGAGGCAGGAGAATTGCCTGAACCCAGAAGGCAGAGGTTGCGGTGAGCCGAGATCGCGCCATTGCACTCCAGCCTGGGTAACAAGAGCGAAACTCCGTCTCAAAAAAAAAAAAAAAAAAAAAAAAAAAATTTAAAATAAAAGCCGAGACTCAGAGTACAAGCTTCTGATTCTCATTTAGCAGACCCAATGAGAGCTAGCCATGCAAACGTTACAGGTGCCCCCCACCTCTGCTCCTGGTGGGCGCTGTTGGAGCCAGGCCCCCTTTTCCAGGTCAGGATATCCATCTCCCTGCAGCTGCGAGTACTGACAGCCAACAGCTCCCAGCTGCCTACCTTCCCCAGAGAGCTGCCCTGAGCAGAAAGCAGCCAGGACCATCCTTGCCTCTCCCGCTAGAACCAATGACTGATTTGGAAGGGTGTCAGAAAGGGTATCTCCTTGGTCTCAAACTGACACCAAACTCTGTAGAGCAATCCATGCCCCAGAGTGCCTGGTGGGATAAGGCTGTAGTGACCTCCCAAGTGAGACCCAGACCTAGCTTAGTTCCCCTGCCCTTTTCTGCTCCCTGACATCCTCTGTCCCAAGGGCACCTGAATCTCACAGACACCACCCAAAGTAGTACTGCTATAAAGTGGAGAAGTGGTAAAATGTAGAAATTAAACAGGTATGCTTTTCTATATACGACAGCTTCCCAAACAGCATCTGGCTTGCAAAAACAAACACTGAAAGTTATAAGCACGAAAGTGAAATGTTGTTCACCAAATCCAAATTCAAAGCTCTGGAAATAAAACAATATACCAAGTGCTAAATGACATGGCTGAAAATGACTCATATAAGGAATTGTTTTCAAGTTTGCTAAACTATTTTAATTATTTCAATCTAAAGCTGTAACAAAGATGAGCAGTGCTAGAGATTTCTACCCTTTGAAATGATAAACTGTGTGTTTGCTTTCACCGAAAAAATGCTAACCATATTAAACAATCCTTCTGTGGAATCTGTCCCATCACAAGTTTGTGCTTCTGTTTCCTCAGCATCTTCAATATCCTGCCGGGATGCACTCACCTATAACAGAGGGGGGAAAAAAATAAAAGGATTTTAAAAATACAACTATGTTATTTTGGGACTGGAAATTCATCTGATATACACACATTCAAGGTGTCCAGATGAGTACCTTATAACACACTCCAATACAATACACAATTATGGTGGAAGCCTGTAAACTGACCTAGGTCATGAAGGAATTTAAATTATATAAACCAAGCCCCTTTTACTACATACTTACATAAAATCAACAACTATCACATGATGCTCTATGCCAGGCAGCCTCAACAAATTCAACATTTATTCTATCTCTGATATGGTCTGGCTCTGTGTCCCCACCCAAATCTCATCTTGAATTGTACTCCTGTAATTCCTGTGTGTTGTGGGAGGGACTCAGTGGGACATAATTTGAATCATGGGGTTGGTTTCTCCTGTACTGTTCTTGTGGTAGTGAATAAGTCTCATGAGATCTGATGATTTTATCAGGGGTTTCTGCTTTTACATCTTCCTCATTTTCTCTTGCCACCACCATGTAAGAAGTGCCTTTCATCTCTCGCCATGATTGAGACCTCCCCAGCCATGTGAAGCTGTAAGTCCAATTAAACCTCTTTTTCTTCCCAGGCTCAGTTATGTCTTTATAAGCAGCATGAAAATGAGCTAATAGGCCAGGCGCGGTGGCTCAAGCCTGTAATCCCAGCACTTTGGGAGGCCGATGCGGGTGGATCACGAGGTCAAGAGATTGAGACCATTCTGGTCAACATGGTGAAACCCCATCTCTACTAAAAATACAAAAAATTAGCTGGGCATGGTGGCGCGTGCCTGTAATCCCAGCTACTCAGGAGGCTGAGGCAGGAGACTTGCCTGAACCCAGGAGGCGGAGGTTGCAGTGAGCCGAGATCGTGCCACTGCACTCCAGCCTGGGTAACAAGAGCGAAACTCCGTCTCAAAAAAAAAAAAAAAGAAAGAAAAGAAAAGAAAATGGGCTAATAAAATATGCACAAGACGGTCACAGACATATTGTGTAAAATAAACATATCATGCATCAACTGAGCAGAAAAATGATGAACTGCAACCCGAATGTGAATTATTTTTATTTTGGTATATCACCCTTTAAATATCTTAATACCACTCAAACCACGCCTTTTTAAATTACCGGTACTTGACCTTCTTTGTAAACATTCTAAAATGTTGTTTAAATATATACCAGAGAAAAACTATAAAGAAAAGACACACAGTTGGCCAGAGAGGTGCAAATCCAAGTGAGCAATGCACCAGTAGGCCCAAGCTCCAGCTCCTCTAAGACCTCATTCCACCTTCCTGCTTCCCTACAGCATCAATGCTTCCCTCCATCAAAGCTCCTCTCCACTCAGTCCACAAACCTGCTGTCTCCTGACTCCTGAACCACGCAGGCCCCCAGCCCCAGTCTGCCTCTCCTTCCACCATAACCCTGCACCAAGGTCTCTAACAGTCCCACTTCTGCTTACCCACCACCCACATCCTCTCCTGAAATGCAGCTTCTGCCTCTTCACTGACATGCTCCTCCAGAAAGGAACAAAGACTGCCTTCTAACCACTAAATCCAAGGACTGTTGATCTTTTCATCCTTCTAAAAAATGACAGCGGTATCTCATGCTGCTGACCAAACTCCTCCTTCCTGCAGATCCCTCCTGAGCATCCAGACTCTTGGTTTTCCTCACACCTCTGATCACACTTCTCCTCCCCTGTCCTAAACTGTATCTTTCCACAGGTTTATGCTCAGGTCCCCACCTCCAGCCACGACTGCCTGTGTGTACTCTCTGGTAGGCCGCCCACCAGCAACTCAACCTGCCAAGACGGAACTCCTCTCCCAACAGCCTCCTATTGAGATTTCTAACTGCCATTAATGGCAGCACCAAGATTCTATTCCACAGGGAGCCATCTTTGAAGGATTCCTTTCCCTTGCTGTCTGCCTCTCCTCCTCCAAACCAGTCTCAAAGACCAGGTCACTTTTCCTCACAATGTTACTAGAACCACTTCCTTTCATTCCTACTGCATCTTAGTGTGGGCCTCCTTAAACAAAGTTTTAGCTGTTTACAATTAAAGCCTGTACTTGTTAAAAAAGGCCAAGCACGAAAAATCACTTCCTTTGGAATGCCTTCCTGACCCCACTGCGATTCTCTTTAGTTGTTTAACTCAAAATGCATGTTGCATTCACAGCATTCTTCACAACTGTACTTTGACATCTCGGTGACTTCTTAATGCCTTGTTCCCCAATCACGAGAAAGAACTGTTTATAACTCCCAGCACATACACAGATGGAGCTCAAGACACAGTCAAAGAAAGGAAGGAAAGAATGGTGCAAGTGGATTCTTTTCTACCACTGACTATTGTTTCCACATACTGTGATTATACCAAATTCAAGTCAGTAAATGAAAATAAAAGTAGATTACTCAGTACTTACATCCAACTTGAGTAACTTTTCAATAATAAGCTCCAGAATTTCATGCCTCAAGGTTGGAAAATAAACACTAATCCTTAGTAAGTTATGAACATAACATTCCTAAAGCAGAAAACATAAAACATTTCAACAGAGAATAAATATTTTTCATAATTATGTAAGCAAAACATCAATTACAGGACCTTTAGTTTCAAATATTTAAATAGAAAAAACAGACTACCCAGTAATATAAAAACTGTACTGTTTCTACATATGTATTATGTTCGGTACAATCATTTCAATCATCCCCAGTAAATGAAATTTTAAATTTGCATAACTACAGTTTTTTTAAATAGCTGTATTAACAAAACTCATATATCTGGTTTTTGTAATTTTCAGTAAAAAAAGAAAAAACCAACTCGTATCATACAATTACCAACTTAAAGTATACAATTTGCCAGGCACAGTGGCTCAAGCCTGTAATACCAGCACTTTGGAAGGCCGAGGCGGGTGGATCACGAGGTCGAGAGATCGAGACCATCCTGGTCAACAAGGTGAAACCCCGTCTCTACTAAAAATACAAAAAATTAGCTGGGCATGGTGGTGTGTGCCTGTAATCCCAGCTACTCAGGAGGCTGAGGTAGGAGAATTGCTTGAACCCAGGAGGCGGAGGTTGTGGTGAGCCGAGATCGTGCCATTGCACTCCAGCCTGGGTAACAAGAGCGAAACTCCGTCTCCAAAAAAAAAAAAAAAAAAAAATACAATTTAAGTTTTTAATATATTCAGTTATGTGACCATCAACATAATTTCAGAACATCTATTTTTCTTTAAGAGACAGGGTCTTGGGATGGGTGCAGTGGCTCATGCCTGTAGTCCCAGTACTTTGGGAGGCCAAGGCAGACGGATCCCAAAGTCAGGAGATCAAGACCATCCTAGCTAACATGTTTTGTCATCTTTTCACCAGTTGACAGATATTTGAGTTGCTTCTAAATGAGGCTACTATGAATGGAGCTGCTATGAACATCCATGTACACACAAGTTTTTCTGTGGAAATGTATTTTCTTTTTTTTTTTTTTGAGATGGAGTTTCACTCTTGTTGCCCAGGCTGGAGTGCAATGGCATGATCTCGGCTCACCACAACCTCTGCCTCCTGGGTTCAAGCAATTCTCCTGCCTCAGCCTCCTCAGTAGCTGGGACTACAGGTATGTGCCACCATGCCCAGCTAATTTTTTGTATTTTTAGTAGAGATGGGGTTTCAATATGTTGACCAAGATGGTCTCAATGTCTTGACCTCATGATCCACGTGCCTCGGCCTCCCAAACTGCTGGGATTATAGGCGTGAGCCACCGCGCCCGGCCATGGAAATGTATGTTCATTTCTCTTGTAAAAATGCAGCAGTTTGCTGATGCTTAGGACCAAACAAACAAACAAAAAACCAAAAAAAACAAAACCCAGCAGTGGAACTGCTGAGCCACATGGTAATTCTACATTGAAGAAATGCCAGGCTATTTTTCAAAACGGCTGCGCCACTTTACATTCTCACCAGCAATGTATGACAGTTCCCATGTTCCCATTTCTCCACATCCTTATCAACCCTTGTTACTGTCTTGTCTTTATTACAGTCATCCTTGTGGGCATGAGTGAAACCATTTCCCTAATGACTAATGATGTTGAGCTTCTTTTCATGTGCTTTTATGGCAGAAATGACTTTTCAGATCCTTTGCCCATTTATTATTGAATTATAAAAGTTCTTTACATGTACAAGTCCATTACCAGACATAGAATTTAGAAATATTTTCTCCCGTTATTTGGGGACTGTTTTCCTCTTGTTGAAGGCATCCTACAAAGCATGACAGTATTTAACTTTGAAGTACAACTGAGGTAGTTTTTCTTTGGTCGCTTGAGCTCCAGCCGTCAAATCTGGAAATGATTGCCTAATCCAACACCATGAAAATGCACCATTTTCTTCTAAGAGTTTTATAGGTTTTACTCTTCATGTAGGGCTTTCATTGATTTGGAGTTCATTTTTGTATATGGATATCCATATACCTCATTATTTTGCATGTGCATAACCATTTGTGCCACCAGCATTTGTTGAAAAGACTATTCTTGTCCCTTATTCAATTGTCTTGGACAGCTGGTGTATGCTGGTCTTCTGTCCCGTAACCATGCTGAATTCATTTATTATCCTAAAATTTATTTGTGGGCTCCTTAAGATGACAAATAAAATAATCTTACGAAAGAGAGTTTATGCCTTCCTTTCCAACTGGACGTCTTTAATTCTTTTTCTTGCCTAACTGCCTTGGCTAGACAAGCTGCAAGAGCAGACATCCTTGTTTTGTTCTTTATCTTATCATTGAATATGATGTTATCTGTGGGTTTTTCAGATGCCCTTTATCGGGTTGAGAAAATTTCCTTTTGTTTTTGTCACAAAAGGGTATAGTTGTTTGTTAAACACTTCTGCATCTACTGAGATAATCATGTGGTTGTTATCCTTTGTTCTATTACTACAAAATATTATATTAATTAATTTTCAGGTATTAAATCTATCTTGGCTGGTCATGGTGGTTTGAAATTATAATCCCAACACTTTCCAAGGTTGAGGCCAGTGGATCACTTGAGGTCAGGAGTTCAAGACCAGCCTGGCCAATGTGGCAAAACCCCATCTCTACCAAAAATAAAAAAATTAGCTGGGTGTTGTGCCCCATGCCTATAGTCCCACCTGCTCGGGAGGCTGAAGTGGAAGTTGCTTGAACCCTGGAGGCAGAGGTTGCAGTGAGCTGAGATGGCACCACTGCACTCACTCCAGCCTGACAGAGAAAGACTGTCTCGAACCCCCCCTCACCCCAGCCCCCCAAAAAAAGTCTTGCATTCCTAGCATAAATCGCACTTGGTCTTGGCATGTAATTCTTTTCATATGCTGCGAGACTGAGTTTTCTAGTAAGGCAACCAACCACCATTACTAAAAACTACCCAGATGATCTAAACATTGTACAAAAACTAAGCAGAATTCATCTATAGAAGGCTTTCCTTTCAGGTTAAAATAAAGCATGTTTACAATTAGTAATACGTGAATTATTACTATCTAGTAATTCTTATCTATATGAGCATGAAGCCTCTACAGATATTTCTGAAATGGTCTCAGAACCTAACTTGCACATAGTAATAAGAGAAAAAGGCACTGGGAAGCCCCAAGAGCTGCCTAGTAAGCAAGGAATCTGAGTCAAATTCTTAGACATCAGTTTAAGGTCTAGAAGACAAAACAACCTTTCAGAAAAAGACCTAACATCATCTAAAATGAAATCACACAAACAACTTTCCCATGATTTTCTCAATGAAAAGATTTCTTACCAGTGTTCTCTCTGATTTTCGAACAAATGGAAATTTTTCCACCAGGATCGGCATAAGAAACCACGGTGTCCTATTTAAAAAAATTAAATCAAGCCATGTTAACTTTACTTTCTAGAAAAGTAATACTACCATTCTAAAAGCAAACAGGAATAGACATAGGAGGCAAATAGGAACCCCTACCTCAAAGAACTGGAACTTTTTTTTTTTTTTGAGACAAAGTTTTGCTCCTTTTGCCCAGGCTAGAACGCAGTGGCATGATCTTGGCTCAGTGAAACCTCTGCCTCCTGGGTTCAAGCAATTCTCCTGCCTCAGCCTTCTGAGTAGCTGGGATTACAGGCATGGGCCACCACGCCAGGCCAATTTTTGTATTTATAGGAGAGGCAAGGTTTTGCCATGTTGGTCAGGCGGGTCTCAAACTCCTGACCTCAGGTGATCTACCTGCCTCAGCCTCCCCAAGTGCTGGGATTATAGGCGTGAGCCACCATGCCTGGCCAGAACTGGAACTTAAAATGTATAGCTTCTTGGCTGGGCATGGTGGCTCACACCTGTAATCCCAGCACTCTGGGAGGCCGAGCAGGGATGATAATGAGGTCACGAGATCAAGACCATTCTGGCTAACATGGTGAAACCCTGTCATTTAAAAAAAAAATGTATAGCTTCTGAGAAAATCTATAATAACTTAGAGAAAATAAGCTCCTGTTAACTCTGACATCAACAGTAAATCAAAAGGAGAGCTTCTCTCCTACAGAAGCATAATAGCAATTCAGCTGACATTTCCCACTACACATATATATTATTTTTAAAAGAAAAAATTATCAAGTTGGAGTTTTTTTAAGATAACAAATAATCAACGGGCAGTGGGAACTAAGTCCACCCCTCTAAAAGAAATCTACAAACCTGAAAAGTATTTCTTAGAAGTGCAATTTTTATTCATATGGCATGACACAAACACACACAGGGGTTTCTCACTGAAAATTTTGGAGAGCATATCTGTTGAAGATAAAAGCAAAATTCCAACCACCATACAAAATTGGGGAAGAATCTGCATGCAAACTTTGAAAAATAATTAAAGACAATGAATAGAAAATGGAAATGCCACTTTTCGTAGAATGTAATGTTTCTTCAACCGGATACCAAAAAAATCATGTGATGTAAGACTTAAGTTTTAATGCTATTAACATTTTATAATTTTATTGACTACAATTTTATTGGGAATTAAGCATTCAAAATAAGTAAAAGTATACTCACGATGGTACATATCTTGCTATTATTTGCAAGGCTCTGTGACATGTGTCAAAATTTGCAGGAAGATCTGCAGGGAGAAAAGTTGAGAGTATGAAGATCAAAATAAAACAGAAAGGTAACACACGTGAAGCTAAAAATACATGCTGGCCAGGCACAGTGGCTCATGCCTGTATTTCCAACCATGTGGGAGGCTGAGGTGGGGGGATCACCTGAGGTCAGGAGTTCAAGACTAGCCTGACCAACATGGTGAAACCTCGTCTCTACTAAAAAAAAAAAAAAAAAAAAAAAGTACAAAAATTAGCCAGGCATGGTGGCACATGCCTGTAGTCCCATCTACTCCGGAGGCTGAAGCAGGAAAATCACTTGAACCTGGGAGGTGGAGGCTGCATTGAGCCAAGATCATGCCACTGTACTCCAGCCTGGGCAACAGAGTAAGACTCTGTCTCAAAAAAACAAAACAAAACAAAACAAAAAAAAGTGACGTATTTGAAAGTAAAGACACATGCTAACTAAAATAGAACAATTTATCAGAGAAATAATAATTTCAAGATTTTTCTCCACAACCATCAATGAAAACTGAACGGACTAATTATATAAATAATGCATTCAGGACAAATAACTGTACATCAATGCTAAATATAACAAAAAGATTATATCAAAGGTTTTGTCATTTGTTGTAGTCTACTTATTAGAATAGGTGCCAGTATATTTTCTCATTCATCATGCATTCTCTAAGACACAGGAGGTATTCTGTGCTTTACTTCGAGAGACAGGGTCTTGCCATGTTGCCAAGGCAGGACTTGAACTCCTAGGCTCAAGCAATAAACCCACCTAAGCCTCCTAGGTAGCTGTGACTACAGACACATGCCACCCTGCCTAGTTCTACTTTAAGCCTCTTTTAAAAGAATATTTGAAAAATTTTGTGTGTGTGTAGAGACAAGGTCTTACTACATTGCCTTGAGGCGGGTCTCAAACTCTTGGCCTCAAGTGATCCTCCCGTCTTAGCCTCCCAAGGTGCTGGGATTGTGGGTGAAAGCCACTGTGCCCAGGCTTTAAATCTTTTTATACTTACTATCATCTTCATCATCAGAATCTGAAACATCTACGTCGCCTTCCTTAATGATCACTCGGGCTTTTGAGGAAAAAAGAAAATATGTTACTCTGTCATTGACCTAGACAATGAATAGCTATACAAAAAAGCTATTTTTCTATAATTCAAAGTCAGCACAATGACTAATTAAATGTACCATCTGAAAAAATGTTTTTAAACAGCTAAAAATTCCTAGACGAGGTCTAAGACTTCATCAGAAGTTCAAAAAAGCAGATTGCAATTCATAAAAATCACAGCAACAAATGAATCTAGACACCTCCCCAGGGGTTATTATGGGAAACATACGTCTACCAAACCTGGTGCCAATATGCAGCTGGAATCTTTTTTTTTTTTTTTTTTTTTTGAGACAAAGCCTCGCTCTGTTACCCAGACTAGAGTGCAGTGGCACAATCTTGGCTCACTGAAACCTCTGCCTCCCAAGTTCAAGTGATTCTCCTGCCTCGGCCTCCCGAGTAGCTGGGATTACAGGTGCCTGCCACCATGCCCGTCTAATTTTTTGTATTTTTAGTAGAGACAGCATTTCAGCATGTTGGCCAGGCTGCTCTCGAACTCCTGACCTTATGATCCACCTGTCTCGGCCTCCCAAAGTGCTGGGATTACAGGTGTGAGCCACTGTGCCGGCCACATCTGGAATCTTCCATGGTGGCAGTATCTCTCATGTATAAGGGGAAGGTAGTATTTTAATAAAGAAGTATTTAAAAAAAGAGAGAGAAGATTCCAAGCAAAGAGTGGTGACTTACGAGGCACAAAATGGGAAGCAATCATGCTGAGACATGGTCTGAGGAAAACAGTCTGTGCTGACACAAGATTACCAAGAAAAGCCAAATACTCTTCCACTACTGTTTGACTTCTGTTCAACCAAGGCAATCTCTAGAGTTGGGGAAGAAAGATAAAAGCAGCATTTTATTAATATAATATACACTATTTCCAAAGTACTCAATTACATACTAGTCAGCGAAATAAATGGTGAACTTACCAATATAATACTGATAAGCTGCTCAAAGTCTTTTGTCAAGTACATGATAGAAGAACGAAATTCTAGCAGCCAGTTGATGATCTGGTCATCCTTAAGTTAAACAAAGAGTACTTTCAAAACCACAAATCCTCTAAGATAACAGAAACTTACAGCTATCTTATATCGATCGTTTATCAAGAGTATTTAGATTGGGGGGGAAAGGGTCACAAACCTGAAAGGAAATCAAAACTGGGTACCAAAACAGAAAAAGATATTATAATAAACTTACCTGTTTTTAAAAAGTAATCTAGTAACTCTAATATACAGGAAAAAGACTTAAGTGCAATACTTCAGTGTTATCACTTTTGGAAATCACCTCAAATGTTGACACTTGGGACTTTTAAAAACTACAGAGCTCTAGCAGACTCAAATATGAAAAGATCACAAAGGATCAATAGTTACCTCTATTTCCTCTTATTCATACTGACCAGAAAGCATGCTGATAAAACTCAGTTTAGGCTGATCAACTGCGGTCATGAATAAACATAACTTTTTTGAAACCAAAACAGTAGATGAGTTAAAATATATGATGTGTTTTGTATAAATAATGGCTCCATTCCTCCATTAAATATTTTTCAGACTGGCCGGGCGTGGTGATTCAAGCCCGTAATCCAAGTACTTTGGAGGTCAAGGCGGGAGGATCACCTGAGGTAGGGAGTTGAAGACCAGCCTATCCAACATGGTGAAACCCCGTCTTTAAAAAAATAAAAATAAAAATAAATATTTTTCAGACAATCAAGTTACTGTTCATAATAGTGACATGAGAACTGCTAAATCTGAAAAGCAATGTACAAAATACAATGTCAATTATGTAAAATACTAATATATTAATTATATTCATGCATATATACTACACAAGAAAAAAAACCATTAAGAAAAAGCCCCCAATTTGTTAAAGAGTTGGACATATAAATAAAAGCAACACAAGGCCACACCTACAGGGATATTCATAGGGAGTTATCATTTAGTGAGAACACACCACATGCTAGGCACAGTGTCTGACACTACATATGTATCTTTATCTAATCCGAAAAACTCTGCAAGATGTTCAGTTACTCCCATTTTGCTGTTCAGGAAGCTGAGACTAAGAGAGATTAATAAGCAATCTGACCAACCAAGAAGCCAGTAAAGAAGCAGGTCCAAACCTGTCTGTCTCAGTCAAGGCCATCCTCTGTCCATTCTCCCACACACCTCCCTCCATGCACAGAAGGAGCTGTCACCTTTTCCCCACTTTAATTCAGCTACTGAGTGCTTACTATACCATAGCTATGTGACAAACTCCCACAGATCAACCATTTTCTGATGAAATCCCAAGTAGCCTGGCAGTAAAATAAACCATAACCCATTTGTACTATGGTAATTTCATAATGTTCACAGCTGTTAAGGAATTCACGGGAGCTCACTAAGGCCAAAGGCACAAAGAAAACAAGCGAAGTTAGTGCTCAAATAAAAATGATCTGTCCTATCTCTTTTCCACTAAAAAGACTGCAACAAAACTACAAGGATGACATTTAAACTGTTCCATTTTTAAAATTAATCAGTCCCAGACTCTGGTGCTTTAGTACTGAACTATTATTATTTCTACTAGCAGCCAGGAGCAGTGGCTCATGCCTGTAATCCCCACTCTTTTGTGAGGCTAAGCCAGGAGGAGACTGCTTGAGTCCAGAAATTTGAGATGAGCATGGGCAACGTAAGGAGACCCTGTCTCTAGAAAAATTAGCCAGGCATGGTAGCACATGCCTGTGATCCCAGGTGCTGGGTAGCCTGAGGTGGGAGGATTGCTTGAGCCTGGGATGTTGAGGCTGCAGTGAGCCATGATTAGGCCCATTATACTCCAGCCTGGGTGACAAAGCAAGACCTTGCCTCAAGAAGAAAAAAGGTCTACGTGCAACACTCCTCTGAACTAACAGACATACAAGTAGTGCACTTCTTGATATGTCAAAATACCAAGAATGTGGCCGGGCGTGGTGGCTCAAGCCTGTAATCCCAGCACTTTGGGAGGCCGAGGCGGGTGGATCACGAGGTCAAGAGATCGAGACCATCCTGGTCAACATGGTGAAACCCCGTCTCTACTAAAAATACAAAAATTAGCTGGGCATGGTGGCACATGCCTGTAGTCCCAGCTACTAGGGAGGCTGAGGCAGGAGAATTGCTTGAACACAGGAGGCGGAGGCTGCGGTGAGCCGAGATCGTGCCATTGCACTCCAGCCTGGGTAACAAGAGCGAAACCCCATCTCAAAAAAAAAAAATACCAAGAATGAGAACTGCTGATATAAAATATAGTGGAACACAAAGAAAATGGCCCTTTGTATCTGGGAAAAAAGGCAGGGATCAGAAAAAGCTTTAAAGAGAAAGCGATGCTTCAGCTGTCTTTAAACAGTAAGAGAGTTGAATCTTTTCTGGAAGTTCTTCTTACAGAGGGAAAAGTCTGTTTTCAGAAAACTGAAAGTTGTTTAGTATGGCTGGCGTGTATAGTAAGCAAATCAACAGAGAATAAATCTGGGGAACAAAGCAGCGGCAAATAGACCACGGAGGGCCTTGTAAACCAGATTTATAATTAGAGAGATCTGGAAGTTTGAGAAACGGACTGAATGAAGGAACAGCCATCTGCTGAGAGAGAACCAGGGCAAGCTCCATTAAAGATGACTTTTCAGCTCAGTTCAAAGAATGAGCAAGAGTTTTTAAAAATGTAGTATGAATGGTCTAGGTAAAGGTCACCCCCACAAAAAAAAGAAGAAAAAAACTGTAGTAATAATGGTAATAATAATAACAGTGAACACTAATATAGCACTTACTGTATGCTAGAAACTGTTCTACGATTTTAACATTTAGCAACTTATGAAGACTTTAACATTTAGTAACTCATGTCATCCTTACTCCACGAGGTGGGTCCTTCTGCCGATTGCCACTTTACAGATGAGTACACTAAAACAGAAATGAGCAACTTGTCCCTGGTCACACAGCTAGTAAGAAGGGAGGCAACGTAGCTACAGCCCATGCTAATACAGGTAGCAAATAAAATACATACAGGGGACCTCCTTCAGCCAGAAAAAGGCACATACAAAGGCATAAAGATGAAAAGTGGCAAATTCCAGGAATAAAGTATCTAGAGAGTAAACATAAAACAAGGTTGCAGGCCACGCTGATCTTCATTTTCCATAGGCATGAAGTTTTTCAGTAGGGGAATGACATACCTAGACATGTGCATTCTGGAGATAATTTAGGTTACACTGTTGAGGATAAATGGGGGTTGAGGGGGCCACAGAGGTATGAGATAGAGGAGGACTGGGAACATAGAGACTGCTAAAGAGGTTACTGGAAGAATCCAGACGAGAGAACCAACAAAACAGGAAGGCTTCAGAGATTTTTTTTCCCAAAGGACTTGATCCAGTGAATGGATCTGAGGGGTAATAAAATTCAAGACCCCAAGGTGCCTAACTTAATAATGTGGTAAGCAGTGAACAGTTAAGCACACAAGTCTGCAGAAAGGGTGGGTGTGAGAGAAAGATTAAGAGTTTATTTTAAGACATGCTAAGTTTGGAGTACACATAATGAGTCTGAGTAAATGCACCTAACAGACAGTTAAACAAGTCTAGGCTGGGTGCAGTGGCTCACACCTGTAATCCCAGCACTTTGGGAGGCTGAGGTGGGCAGATCACTTGAGGTGAGGAGTTCGAGACCAGCCTGGCCAAAATGGTAAAACTCCAAATCTACTAAAAATGCAAAAAATTAGCTGGGTGAGGTGGCACAGATACTCGGGAGGCCGAGGCAGGAGGATGGTTTGAACCTGGGAGGCAGAGTTTGCAGCGAGCCCAGATCACGCCACTATACTCCAGTATACGTAGGTGACAAGAGCAAAGCTCTATCTCAAAAAAATTAAAGTCCACCGAAATCAGTGTGTAAAAAAAACCACACACAAACACAAACAGGTAAACTGTCAGGGTAATTACTATAGTGATAAGAAGAATGGGCTTAAATGTGAGTGAGAAACGATAAGGTGCAGTCAGTCAGCAGGAACAAAAACAGCAGCTAACAATCACTGCCCTTACTTTGAGTCAGAGACTGTCCTAAGTGCTTCTTGTATATAAGCTCATAGAATCTCTGTTAAATATTTCCATGTTTAAAGCTAGGCACAGTGGCATGCAACTACAGTCTCAGCCACTTAGGAGGCTGAGGAGAAAGGATCATTTGAGGCCAGGAGTTTAGGGCTATACTGCACTATGATCCCCCCTGTGAGAAGCTGGGGCAACACAGCAAGACCCCATCTCTTAAAAACAAAACAAAACACTCCGTATTTTTAAAATCGCTATTGTTTTCTTGGTTTTACACAGTGGAAAATAGAGGCAGAGAGGTTAAAACAATTTGCTCAAGATCACATGCTGGATAACAATAAAACTGAAATTTTATCCCAGGCAATCTAACTATCATTGCCATGGTAATCAACTATTCTTTTCAAAATTGGGGAGTAAAGGAAGAACAGTGAAACAAAATGTACTGAGTTTTTACTCCATGACAGGTAAATCTTGAACTTGAAACAGTAGCTTTTTGTTTTGTTTTAGCTTTGAAGAGACAAGAGAGTTGCATGCAGCACGCAGGAAAGAGGTGGTAGTCTAATAGAAAGGAAGCACTAGAGCAGGGTTTCCCAGCTGCCACACGGGTGTCATCTGGGGCTGGATCAGTCTGGGTTATGGGAGTCTGTCCTGTGCACTGTGAGATGTTCAGCAGCATCTCCATCATTCATCTGCTAGATGCCAGTAGAACCCCTTCCTCCCAATTGTGACAAACAAAAACATCTGCAGCCATCACCAAATTCCTACGGGGTAAAACTGTCCCTGGTTGAGAACCACCAGATGAAAGCAGGAGAGGATCTCGGAAAGAGCAAGTTCTGGAGGACAGAACGGGACCCAAAGAGCAAACTAATGTCCGTATCAAGTGGCAATAATTTTGTTAATGATCAAACACAAAATTAATTACCTTTATGTCTGGATCTAACAGCTGGTTCTTCAGCAACTCAAAGTCATTTGTTTCACCCTTAACAAGAAGGGGAAAGAATTAAGTTATGTTTGTTTTTGTTTCCTGTTTAGTATCAACAGGACTTTTAACCACAGTTTAACATCAGATGAAATTATAAAAGGAACACTAACTTTCATACATCAGCCATAATGATCTAATTCAGGAAGATCTAAGAAAGTATTCACTCAAATGTGGATACAAATGAATATTACATATACACATCCAGTCGTTTCCCTCTACTGCTGAGATTTAGTAGAAATGCTTCTAACTTACCACAAAAACAAAAATCTCTATTCAGAGAACTGGCTTACTGTCCCAAAGTTGTGTTTAGGTAAGTTCCTCAAAAAATAAACTGCTGGAATTGTTTCTAACTCTAGCACTTGCTGAAGTTAAAAGATGCTATGTAAGTAAAGCATGTGAAAAGGCGAAACCTCAGCAAACACATTATTACTCTCACCTATGAAATGGGCCATGGTGGAGGGGAAAAAAAGGACTTTATTACTTTAATTTTGAACTGCCAGCATCAAACTATTATAAAATATTTGATTTCAACCGGTATCTAAATTCATCTTACATTTCTACTGGTCTTTAGTATAACAGCAATAGTTGTATTCTGACCTGACCAAAAGCAAACTTCACACATTATCTCCTCTTACCTTTTTGTACTTCAGCAAGACTTCTGTCACGGTTCCACCAAACCGAACAGTTTTTCTTGGGGGAGAATTGAAAAAATCGTTTTCTAATGCAAGCATATTTGAAATCCTGTGGAGCCAAGATTAACAAGCTATTAAGTTCATGAAAATAATAAAAATTATAATAGCCAACATTTATTGAGCCAACATCATTCAGCGGGGCTGTTGTTAAGGCCTCTTTACTGCTCTCCCTGCTTCCACTTTTCTCCAACAATCCCTCCTTTGCTCAGCAACCAAAAATTGTCTTCCCACTGCACTTCTACTAAAAATCCAAATTTCTTAGTGTGGTCTTTAAGGTCCTACATTAATCTGGCCCCTGCCTCCCTTTCTGACCTCATCTCCCAAGAACTTGTTTTACTACAGCCATAACGTCTTTCGTGCTCTTCACATATGTCAAGCTGGTTCTCATTTCACTTACTGTTCACTCTATTGAAAACAACTCTTTTCCCAAAGCTGTATGGTTGGATTTTTGTTTGTTTTTTGCTTTTGAGACGGAGTCTTGCTCTGTTGCCCAGGCTGGAGTGCGGTGCCGTGATCTCTGCTTACTGCAACTTCCGTCTCCTGGGTTCAAGCATTTCTCCTGCTTCGGCCTCCCACAAAGCTGGGATTACAGGCATCCGCCACCATGCCCGACTGATTTTTGTATTTTTAGTAGAGATGGAGTTTTGCCATGTTGGCCAGGCTGGTCTTGAACTCTTGACCTCAGATGATCTGCCTGCGCCTTGGTCTCCCAAAGTGGCGGGATTATAGGAGTGAGCCACCACACCCGGCCTAGATTTTTGCCTTCATTCAAACTGAAGCTCAAATGTCAGATGTTTTCCCCACGAGAAATCTCAAGTATTTATTTTCTCCCTTCTCCATCCCCTATTACCCTGTTGTATAACTGAAATCATCGTGTTCATTTATTTATTGGCCTCTGTACTGCCGTTCCTCCCTAGGCTGTAAGCTCTGTAGAAAGCAGGGACATTCACGTCTTTGGATAAACTACTTGTCCCCAGTATTTAATACAGTAAGCAGGAGCTCAAGAAATATGAATCAGGCCGGGCGCGGTGGCTCACGCCTATAATCCCAGCACTTTGGGAGGCCGAGGTGGGTGGATCACGAGGTCAAGAGATCGAGACCATCCTGGTCAACATGATGAAACTCCATCTCTACTAAAAATACAAAAACTAGCTGAGCACGGTGGCGCACGCCTGTAATCCCAGCTACTAGGGAGGCTGAGGCAGAAGAATTGCTTGAACCCAGGAGGCGGAGGTTGCGGTGAGCCGAGATCGAGCCACAGCCTGGGTAACAAGAGCGAAACTGTCTCAAAAAAAAAAGAAAGAAAGAAAGAAAGAAAGAAGGAAAGTAATATTATGAATCATATTATGCTAAATGTTTTACAAGGTCTGCTTCACTTGCACAGAGTAAATTAATGAAAAAACATGGCATCCTAATGACTGAAAGTTAAACGCCAACTGTGCTATGAGGGTTAGGGATTTTAAAACGCCAACCGTGCTATGAGGGTTAGGGATTTTAAAAGTGGAACAAAATAAAGACTGCTAAACAAATATGCGTGTCGAAACAAATTTCAGAACAAAAAAATTGTAATATTTTATCAGCCATGATTGACAGCATTGAGCGGAAAAACCAAATAGCCCAGAGATTCCCTTCCAAGAAGCGGGAAGGAAGAGGAGTCAAGGCGCAGAAGGCAGTACCCAGGCCTGGGAAACCACCAAGAAACATAGTCGGGAAAGGGGGCCTCCAGAACAGAGAATATAGTTACTTTCCCAGCCCAATCCCGCTCACTCCTGCGAATGTGAGATGGCCCTCGACCCCTGGCTCCGACCTAGCCATTCAGCTTTGTCCCAGACCCTTTCAATCCGCTCCCCAACGCCGTGTCCTGACGTTTGGTCCGGACGCGCAGAAGGAAGCGGCCTGGATCTTACCCGGTCCTCGACGTGCCCAGCGTGTTGACGGTAGAGGCCGAAGCAGCCGTATCTCCCGGCAACCGCGTGTGAAGCAGCGGCGCCGCCATTGGGCCGAACCAACGCGACTTCTACACTCCCCGCCGGATGCGCGGTGCCTTCCAGCCACAGCCCTCTGTCCCGGAAGTCGCGCGAGCCAGCGCAACCTTCAGCCAATCAGAACCCCCGCTTGGGGAGAGCGTAAGCTCTCGACGGGCTAGAGCGCCGCCAAAGTCATTCCCTTCCTTCTACTTGGAGGACTTTTACCGCCCAGCCAGAAAGCGCGAGGGTAGACTTGAACGGCCGGCTCCATCCAGCCTTGAGGATACCAAAGAAAGGGCGAAAGCACCCTGGAGGTATTAAGCTGTGGCCGAGTACACGCGAATGTTAATGTTCTGGAGACAAAGCCTCCGTCAGTCAAATCGAAGAAACTGAAGCCCTGTAATTAACCCAGATCCTCACGGAGGAAAGGGGATTCAACCCCGCTGACCCAGGAGCCTGGGCTCTATACTAAATGCAGCATCCTCAGACACTCAAGATGACGTTATCTTCACGGAAACGAGGTCGACGAAGTGACCTACCCCAAAGCCTCAAGGCTGTGATGATGCTGGAATGAGAAATAACAGGAGTTTCCAAATGTCACCCCTTGACCTTTCTTCTTTTTCCCCCGAGATCGAGTCTTGCTCTGTTGCCCAGACTGGAGTGCAGTGGCGTGATCCGGCTCACTACAGCCTCCGCCCTCCTGGTTCAAACAATTGGGTTCAAGCAATTCTCGTGCCTCAGTCTCCCGGGTAGCTGGCATTACAGGTGCATGCCACCACACCCAGCTAATTTTTGTATTTTTAGTAGAGACCGGGTTTCACTATGTTGTTCAGGTTGGTCTGGAATTCTTGACCTCAGGTGATCCACCTGCCTCGGCCTCCCAAACTGCTGGGATTACAAGCATGAGCCACTGTGCCAGGCCGAACTTAAAACTTTTAAAAGAGGAACACGAGTTAGCCCCACCAACAAAATAGCAATGGATGTTCTAAGCATAGGAAACAGAGGAGACAGCAGAGGCCAAGACCCAGGGACTGTGGGGGATGTAGAGGGAGAACAGGGGCTGCCCCTACCCTCTGGGAGGGGAAAAGGTTGCAACTTTGGAAACTGTACAGGCCTATCAAAAATACCCAGCCTGGGTGACACAGTGAAAGCTCATCTCTACAAAAAAATTTAAAAATGAAAATAATAAAAATTATGTGGGTGTGGTGGCACACACCTGTAGTCCCAGCTACTTGGGAGGCTGAGGATTGCTTAAGCCCAAGAGATAGCACCACTGCACTCCCGCCTGGGAAACAGAGCGAGACCCCATCTAGAAATAAATAAATTTAATTAATTGATCAATTTTTTTTAAAAATGTAGATGCGTGGGCCAAGCCCAGTGGCTCACGCCTCTTATCCCAGGCACTTTCAGAGGCCAAGGCAGGTGAATCACCTGAGGCCAGGAGTTTGAGATCAGCCTGGCCAACATGACGAAACCCTGTCTCTACTAAAAATACAAAATTAGCTAGGTGTGGTGGTGGCACCTGTAATTCCAGCTACCTGGGAAGCTGAGGCAGGAGAATTGCTTGAACCTCGGAGGCTGAGGTTGCAGTGAGCTGAGATCAGGACACTGTACTCCTGCCTGGACGAGAAAACCAAAACTCCATCTCAAAAAAAACGAGTGTGTGTGTGTGTGTGTGTGTGTGTGTATCTAGGAGTTCAAAACCTGCCTGGGCAACATAGGGTGGCACATACCTGTAGTCCAAGCTACTCAGAAGCTGAGGCAGGGGGACTGCTTGAGCCCTGGAATTCAAGGCTACATTGAGCTATGTACTCCAGCCTGGGCGACAGAGCTATACCCTTTTTCACAAAATAAAATACAGTGATTTGGTTCGGTTTTTTTTTGAGGTGAAGTCTTGTTCTGTCACCCAGGCTGGAGTGCAGTGTTGTGATATTGGCTCACTACAACCTCCACCTCCTGGGTTCAAGCAATTCTTGTGCCTCAGCTTCCCCAATAGCTAGGATTACAGTTATCTGCCACCACATCCAGCTAATTTTTGTATTTTTAGTAGAGATGGGGTTTTACCATGTTGGCCAGGCTAGGATGGTCTTGAACTCTTGACCTCAAGTAATTTGCCCACCTTGGACTCCCAAAGTGCTGGGATTACAGGCATGAGCCACCTTGCTGAGCCAGCAATTTGTTAAACAAGAACCATAATTCTGTGTTGCAACAGTGTAAAATCAGTAACGGTCAGTCCTGAGTCTCCATTTGGTCTTTACTGAGTTCCTTGGGAATGCTGGACAGGAATCATCTATGCCTCAAGGACAGAAGAAATTATTGCACCCCAGCTCACAAGGCAAAGGTGAGTGGATCACCTGACGTCAGGAGTTTGAGGCCGGCCTGGCCAACATGGCGAAACCCCATCACTACTAACAAATAAAAAATACAAATAAAAATTAACTAGGCACAGTGGCAGGTGCCTGTAATCCCAGCTACTCGCGAGGCTTAGGCAGGAGAATGACTTGAACCCAGGAGGCAGAGGTTGCAGTGAGCCAAGAATTCACCATTGCACTTCAGCCTGGGAGACAGAGCAAGACTCCATTTAAAAAAAAAAAAAAAAAAAAAAAGTCTGAGTCTGGGTATGGTGGCTTCTGCCTGTAATGCCAGAGCTTTGGGAGGCCGAGGCAGAAGAACAACTTGAAGCCAGAATGAGACCAGCAGGGCAACAAAGCCAGACTCCGTCTCTACAAATAATACTTTTTGCCTGTAGTTCCAGTTTTTTGGGAGACAGAGGTAGGAGAATCACTTGAGCCCAGGAGTTGGAGGCTGCAGTGAGCTATGACTGAGCCACTACACTCTCCAGCCTGGGTGACAAAGCAAAATCTCATCTCTGGAAAAAAAAGTTTGACATGTAGAAAAGAAAATGTTAATATAAGTCATAAAAACATAATGAGGCTGGGCACAGTGGCATGCATGCCTGTAATCCCAGCTACTTGGGAGGCTGAGGCAGGAGAATTGCTTGAACCAGAGAGGTGGAGGTTTTGGTGAGCTGAGATCATGCCATTGCACTCTAGCCTGGGCAACAGCAGCCAAACTCTTGTCTCAAAAACAAAAAATAAAAAATAAACATAATGAACTGTCTCAAAAACAAAATATAAAAAATAAATATAATGAACACCTGTAAATGTACCACCCAATTTAAGCAGCCAAACATTAACCAGGACAATTGAAGTTTACCGTGTGCTGCTCTGGGATCCCACCTTCTACGCTTTCCTCCCGAAAGTAGTCACAATCATGATTTTTTAAAGCCATTTTCGCTTTTCTTCGCGTAGTTACCATAGTTATACTCCTAAACAATGTACTATATTTGCTTTTATTTCTTTTTGCATTTTATAAAGTTATTTCCCTGCTGTATTATACTGCTGTTTTCAACATGATGCTTTTTTTTTTTTAGACAGAGTCTCCCTCTGTTGCCCAGGCTGGAGTACAGTGTCATGATCTCAGCTCACTGCAACCTCTGCCTTCTGGGTTCAAGCAATTCTCCTGCCTCAGCCTCCCAAATACCTGGGATTATAGGTGCCCACCACCATGCCCAGCTAATTTTTTGTTTTGTTAGTTGGCCAGGATGGTCTCAAACTCCTGACTTCAGGAGATCCGCCTGCCTTGGCCTCCCAAAGTACTGGGATTACAGATTACAGATTACACCGTGCCTAGCCAACATTATGCCTTTGAAATCCCTGTTGAACATAGTTGTGGTTTATTTTATTTGCTACACAGCATTCATTATATGAATATGTCATGACTTAGCAATTTTCCTATCACAAACACTTAAATTGTTTCCTTTCTTTTCTCCCTCCATTATGTAAATCACTACTACTAATAGTCTTTTTAATTTTTTTGAGACAGAGTTTCGCTCTTGCTCAGGCTGGAGTGCAATGTCGAGGTCTCAGCTCACTGCAACCTCTGCCTCCTGGGTTCAAATAATTCTCCTGCCTCAGCCTCCCAAGCAGCTGGTATTACAGGCACCTGCCACCACACCTGGTTCATTTTCGTATTTTTAGTAGAGATGGGGTTTCACTATATGTTGGCCAGGTTGGTCGAGAACTCCTGACCTCAAGTGATCTACCCACCTCAGCCTCCCAAAGTGCTGGGATGACAGACGTGAGCCAGCTCGCCCAGCTTTTTTTTTTTTTTTTTTTTAATAGAGAAAAAGTCGTTCTATGTTGCCCAGGCTGGTCTCAAACTCCTGGGCTCAAGCGATCCTCGCACCTCAGCTTCTCAAAGTGCTGACATTACAGGAAAGAGCCACCACGCCTGGCCTGAATATTCTTGTATAGTTTCCTGACGCATGTGTACCAGCATTTTTCTAGGGTGGAACTGTTGAGTTGGAGGGGGCACAAAAGGCTTTTGGGAAAGGAGAAAGGAACAAATTGAATACCTATCATTAGTTTTCCTTTCCTTTTTTTTTTTTTTCTGAGATGAAGTTTCGCTGTTGTTACCCAGGCTGGAGTGCAATGGCAGTGATCTCGGCTCACCGCAACCTCCACCTCCTGAGTTCAGGCAATTCTCCTGCCTCAGCCTCCTGAGTAGCTGGGATTACAGGCACGCGCCACCATGCCCAGCTAATTTTTTCTATTTTTAGTAGAGATGGGGTTTCACCATGTTGACCAGGATGGTCTCGATCTCTTGATCTCGTGATCCACCCGCCTCAGCCTCCCAAACTGCTGGGATTACAGGCTTGAGCCACCGCGCCCGGCGGTTTTTCTTTCTTTTTTTTTTTTTTTTGAGATGGAGTCTTGCTCTGTTGCCTAGGCTGGAGTACAGTGGTTCCATCTCAGCTCACTGTAACCTTTGCCTCCCGGGTTCAAGCAATTCTTGTATCTCAGCCTCCCAAGTAGCTGGGGCTACAGGCGCCTGCCACCATGCCCAGCTAAATTTTGTATTTTTAGTAGAGATGGAGTTTTGTCATGTTGCCCAGGCTGGTCTCAAATGCCTGACCTCAGGTGATCCGCCCGCCTCGACCCTCTAAAATGCTGGGATTACAGGTGTGAGCCCTCATGCCTATCTACTGTTTTCTATTTAGAAATTGTTCATCTGGATCCTCCCTACCATTCAGCCATTTACAATACATTTGTCGAGCATAAAGAGCAA